TAGGCTGAGTAAGCAAGATGTTCTAGCAGATTCCACCACAGAGGTATAAATATAAGGCCTACTCTGCCTGGGGACTGTCTCTGCGGACTTGGTCTCTTAGGATCATCCACAGGTACCTATACTGTGGATAGGTCTTAGTCATCAGGGCTACTCCACTTCCTTGTTGCCTGCTTAGACTCTTGGCACTCTTAGCTGAGCAGACTTAGTCAGCCTGTGTTGCCCTAACAGGTGTATGCCTCATTTGGAATTGGCATGAGTACCTGATCTATTGTCTTGTGTCCGGGTTGAAGCTGAAAGGAGTTCAGGAGAGGGTGTCAGCACCTCTTGCAAGAATTTTGGTGCAGAATTCCTGATGCAGAACGACTGGCAAAAGGAAAGGAAGTGATGGCATGGGACCCCCAGTCATTTTTTCTGAGCAGAGACAGAGAGATGATGGTGCATCTCACATGGGAGCAGCTGATGTCCTCATCTTCCCTGGTATGTGATGTGCTGTAATCCTGCAGCATAACAAACTGATGTCCTTCCAGTTGTGTGGAGTGTGCTGGAATATTTGCCCATCATGCATGACCTCATGCATTGAGTGTGGCAAGGACTTCTGCATTAACTCCTCTCATGGGGAAGATTGTGAAAAATTGGATGCACAGAGACTAAGAAACTAGGAGGCATCCAATGTGTGCCCTGTTATGCAGCAAGAAAAGAAGCTTGGCCTGTGAGTGTTTTTTTTTGTGGATTGAGTGTAATGTACTAAGGAGAATAAGTATGAAATTTGGGGGAGTTTGGAGGCTTGGGCAAGAGGGTCTGCTAAGCTGTGGCCTATCATGGCACTCTTTGTTCACTGGAAGGAGGAGGACAGATTCAGCATCAGTGCCTTTTCATCTCAAGCTGCCAAAGCATGTCCAGGGGGGATGTTCCTGTATGATAGAAAGGTGTGTCCATATAGGTATTGAGATGTTTGACTGATGGTGAACAGATGGAAATGTTCAACTGGGTCAACATCGAACTATCCTACCTGGGAACAAGGTGGCAGGTGGGAAACACCCCAGCCAAAGCAGTGGTCTCCATGGACACAACTCAGTTGCTCAAGGAGGACATTGCAAATTGTCTGTCAAGCATGAAGGCAAGGTAGAGTAGTGTCTTTGTTGGAAGATGAAAAATATATTGATGGATTACTAGGCACAGAGAAGACTTCCACATTCTGTGCATTGTGGATACACATTCAGATACAAAGGAAGGTGACTTGCAGCTATGCTTACCTGGCATGGACAGAGAATGGGGCAATCTGATGGATGTAAGTATGGGAAGAGCTACTGATGGGATGGAACTAATCTATGGAATAGGTGACAGCCTTCCTCTTTGGGGACCTGATGCCTTGTTTGGAGTGCAAGAGCACATGTTGCATGTTGCTTGCCTGCACAGCCGCAGTGACAAAGGGAGGGGGGAACATCAAGCAGGCTGGGTAAGGAATTTGAGGAATTCCAACTTGTATGGGCTGACTTTGGCTCAGGCACCTTTGGCATGATATCATTGCATTCACAGCACCAAAACTCAATCCCCACTGTTTGACTGAGCATTTCCTCCTCCCATTCCTCTGCCATCACTTCCTCGACCACAGAACCTTCAAGGACACTGTCATCCATGCTCATGACAAGGAACTGTGCATTGAGCATGATTACAATCTCTACTGGTTTGGGGAGGACAAAACATTGCAAATCACCACTGGTGCTCCTCAGAAGAACTGGAATGGAAATCTGCTGGATCAATTCTGTCCCACCTGCCATTGGATCATGCAATGGAAGGGAGCTCAAAAAGAGAAGGAAGCTAAATGTGGTCAATGGTTCCACTGCACAAGGAAGGACTGCAGGAAGGGGCAAGTTATGCTGAAATTCTGGAATGGACAGAATGGGGTTTGGGCAGCTTATCCAAACCCCCGGGATGAGAAATGGCATGTACTGGAAATTGAAGTTGACTTCAATGAAAATTGGCCCTGCCTTTGGCCTCAGCCTACTCATAACATCAGGTGGATTGCAGAGGCCGAAGAGGTGGAGGAAGATGGTGGGGATGCTTCATCACTTTCACCACCTCCTGAGTCCCCTGTTGAAGATACTGCATGGATTGAGGAAGAGCCTTCAAAAGAGGATGAAGCACCATGCAGCCTATCACCAGCAAACTCTGGGGAGACCAAATGGGACCCTGATTGAGTGACACCAGATCCTGATGCCATGGTGGTTGACCTGGTGACTGTGGACTTGAGGCAGCCAGGAGGGTCTAGCAGTGCTAAATGCTTGAGCACTGCTACCAAAAAGAATCCTGCAGGAGGTCCAGGGAAGGGGAAGGGGAAGACTGGTTTGAAGAAAGGGAAGGGGCAGTTGGAAGGACCAGGACAACATGAGGGGGTGAAGAGATTGCCCGGAGCAAAATTGATGGCACCAGGATTGAAGGCATATCTCCATAGCAAGAAGACTGCCAGTAGGGAACTAGAATCCATGGTTTTAGGATGCCTTGAATTGATATGCTTATGTTGTTGCCCATGCATTTATGGAATGATAGGATTAGAATGGAGAAATATTGAAGAAGATGTAAATGTTTGCAGATGAGAAGGTGAAAAAATATGCTACCATGTAACTACAGTAGATATTGTAAAAAGGCAGTTCAAAAAGTTGATATTATGTCTAAGTGGATTATATATTATGTCAAGGAAAACCTTTGTTGGAGTTCTGGTTCCTAAGTGACAGATAATAAGCACATGGATGCAAAAAATAAAGTTAAAGCAGAGCTTAAAGTGGCTTACTAATTAAAAATAAAATAATAATTGGGAGGCTGGGTCTCGCTGGAAAGATGGGTCTGAGAGCGATCTAGGGTCCTGTCCTTTCCCGCCGTCCGTAGGATTGGGCTACAATCACGTGTCCTCTATCTGCTTCCGGGTACTTCTGAATCTAATCAGTCCCCATTAATTCGTCTTCCATGGACTCGAACCACCACGTTCTTCCCTCCCCGCAAACTCTGACCCATTACTGCAACTGTACCATGACTGCGAGCTTCTACCCTATTCATCGCTGTAGTCGTTATATGTAGGATCTTCAACGGGTTGGAATCCTAGCCTTTCGTTTAGTTCAGCTTCACTGTCGAATATTCTACGCGTTGGCCTTGCTCATCCTCCTACGAAGTTGCCAAACGTGTATCCTATGGAGAAACGATCTTTCTGCGACGCTATGTTGAGGTATAGTATGCTCTAGGTCGACGGCGGAGCTTTGACTGGCTGCGACATGGCGGCTGCAACTTGAAGCCAAAGATACGCAAGCTTGGTATTTTTCTATGCCAGGATGCTTCACCGTGATGTGGGCTCGACCGAATGATAAGAATCGAACGGTCACCGACGGACACATCTGGCGATGTTGTCTTTGTGTCTGGAAATCCGCGACCCGACACACAAGAATGCCTGTGCAAGTAAGCAATTCGAGACACCTGTTTGCTAGAGCGTTTTCATATTCACACCAGAGTTGAATTATTCATCAGATACCAAATAGCTCAAGCCTTCCAAACAGCAGATGAACTGTTGCATTCTATGTTCTGGTCCTGAGCATCTCCAGCACGTCAATCTGACGACGTTATGACGCCTCCCAGGCAGTGACTGTTACGCTCCGAGAATTGACACTACTTTAGAGGTACTCCAGAATGTCTATGACGCGTGAAATACACAACTTGTTATGACCGCCTATTTGTTACAACAGCGCTGACCCAAGGGAATTCCTAGCGGCGCTTCCTATGACATGGCAAAAACAAGGCTTGTTATGACCGCCCACAGACCCGAGCGCATCGGCGTCGGCCATAGCTTAGCCCGGTCTCCATGGCGTTGTTCTGATGCAGGATGGGGATGGACGGTAGACGCCGAGTTTTCGGAGAAAGTGGAGCCAGGTGAGGCAGCACTAGCGAGCGCCTGCGTTGCCAGGGGTGAAGACTGAGATGGACCATCGACGCTTGTCACCAGTAGCTCACTCGTTGCCACACTATAGGTCAACGTATCGCGATAACCTCAACATTTTAATATCGTATTCGGAATACCCCCAGACGCGCGCCCAGTCAACCCTTCACGAAAAGAACAGGCAGAAATCTGAGCAGAGGAGAAAACCCGACATATCCGCCATGTCCGGACATTACGCCCTCCAAGGGCGTGTCACATTCCCGGTATCAAGTCATAAACAAAGCCAAGAGAGGGAGCGCATAACGGGTCTGGGAGAGCTTAATTTGTCCGGTCCCTTCGGATGCGTCTCGTCTTTGGGAAATTCGACGACACTGCCTCTTTGATTGAGGTGCTGTGATTGGTTGGAATTTGGGGCGCTTTTTTCGTGTATTGGAGATTGGGAATTTACGTATGTATGGTATGTACATAGTTTAGATGTGAGTCTGGTAATTACGAGAAAGATACGTGCCGTGTGGGATGGGGATGGTGAACAGACCCTTCTCATGTGCTGCGGTGCGCCGAGTCTGCCGCTGTCTATCTGTCTCTGTCCGTTTTCACCTTGTCCGCCCTTCATCCCTTTCTTCATCAACCACCACCTTTTTGCACCTTTTTGCACGTACACTCGCTACTACTCTACTCTCCCTCATATCTGCTTTAATCCAACAACCTAACTGTCAACGATGTACGCCTTCGCCGCTCTCCTCCTCGCCATCCCCGCTCTGGGCATCGCAGTCACCTCACCCGGCCAGTCAACAGTCTGGAACGCCAACACCGCATCGCAGACAGTGGCCTGGACGTCAGTGGACACCGATGCCACCTCGTTCGCCATCTTCCTCGTGAATCAGGACCGTACCGTCCTGCCGACGAACAACCAGCTGCTTTCCGCGAACGTGAGCACTAGCGCCGGCAGCACGACTGTCACGTACTCTAGCGGTACCTGGCCTATCGGGGATGCCTTCCAGGTGCGTACTGACCCCCTGTCCCTTCCCTTCCCCCACGCTAACACCGTGTAGATCAACTTCGCGCGCGACTCCAACTCCCCCGACTCGCTCTACGCCCAGTCTGTCCAGTTCAACATCACCGGCACCGCTTCCGTTTCCTCAAGCACGACGACCGCCTCCGCAGCGAGCAACACCGGCTCTACGCTCAATGTAGCCAACACCGCTTCCACCGGCATGACGAGCGGGACAGGGACGAACAGCGCGCCTAGCTCCGGGCCGAGCGACACCCTCCCTAACACTGGGGGCAGCACGAGCGGCGCGCTGGGCACTGACGTCAAGCTCGGAGCGATGGTGTTTGCCCTTGGGCTGTTGGGCGCTGTCCTTGCCTGAACTGCCTGAACGCGATATTGGGATGATCCTCTCACCCTTCCCCTTCCCCTTGCATGGAATAGGCAATGCACCACGGACTGAATTACGGACTGATAGAACGCCTCCCGGAGGCCTCTGTACCCTTCTCACCCCTTATGTTTCGTTTTCTCTTTCCCTCGCGAGAATGAGGGAATTAGTTGTATACCTTTCGATGCAGAACGGTTGTATGCGCGTTTGAAGGCGTCGACAATGGACACTCGTTACACTATCCTATCCTCGCTCTAGCTTGTGAGATCAATACAGCAACAACAACAACAACCACAACATGTCATTGCCTCCTCCCGCTCACGTCCACTCAGCACCCAAAACCCTCTCCAACCTCCCACCCACTCCACATCCCTCCAACCACCTCCCCACACTAGCCAAATCCTGCCTATTCCCCTTCTCCCCTCCCATCCTCTCCCCCCCAACCTCCTGAGCACGCGTCACCTCCCTCATATCCCCAAACGCGCCCTGTCCGACCTCTCGCAGCCTCTCAGAGACTTTCTTGTGTGAGGGGGGGATATCAGCCCAGCTCTGGGAACGGATCGTGCTCCAGTACCGGTCTAGCGCTGCGCTGGCGAGGGAGAGGTCTGCCTGAATAGGGGAAGGAGGGAGCGGGTATTCGAGCACTACCAGACCGGGCTTGCCGGCGAGGACAAACCCCGTCAGTGGGGGATGGTGGGATTGGGCGTATTGTACTAGGTCGGTACGCTTGCTTCGGGTAGAGAGGGAGGGGAGGTGGTGCCATGTTCTTAGGACTTGGGATGGAGGGGTGGGCTGGGCTGAGGTTTGGGTGATGGGTGTGAGGGGGGGAGAGGCTGGGGAGGGGGTCGCTGGGGAGGAGGAGAGAGAAGGGAGAGCAGCTTGTAACCTGTCGAGGGAGGACATTATCCACCCCAAGTCGTCCTCTCCCTCCTCCTTCTCCTCCTCCTCTCCACAGCCATCCCCCCTCTGTTCATCCTCTCTGTGCGGGGAAACGCTCAACACTTCAGCGAGCCGCTCGCTCTCTGATCTGGAGAGCCAGACCGGCTGGCGGAGCTTGAGTTTTGGTCGTTGTGGTTGTGCAGGAGAGAGGGGGAGGAGGATGTCGATTTTCAGGACTTGCCCGGGGTGGTCTTCAGCTTTGATGTTCAGGAGCAACTTGAGCTCAGATGGGAAAGGTGAAGGTAAGGGGGATGATGGGTGTTCTGTCCATGCTTTCAGCTGCAAAGGGTTAATAAGTCAGAAAGTAGGAAGAGTTGGTACGTACAGAGGGTAAGAGCGCCCCAGTCTCCGACTGTAGAATCAGTTCTCCTTCTGCGCAATAGACGGCTGTTAGGAGTTCTAGTGTTCCTAGCTGGCGTTCTATCGCATTGCGCATTCGCCTACTGAGGGAGGACGACGTCGAGGGACAAGGGGACGACGTGGAGGCACACGACCCTTGTCTTCATACCACCACCATCACCACCATCTGCTCGCTGCCTCCTGGATGGACACAGGTAGCTCCCATCATGACGACCATCCTCTTTCTACCATGCCGCTCCAATCAGCGCGAACAAGACTGACGATCCACCTTCCCTCTCACCCTACCCTCTGCCCGCCCCTCCTTATCCTCCCATCAACAAACACCATCCTCCAGCTCAAACAGCGGCTTTCCCATTCCATCCAAGGCACGCCCGATTCTGGAGGGCTGAGGCTCTTCGCGAGAGGGAAGACGCTGGGGGATACAGAGCTGCTAGGGGATGTGTGGGGTGAAGAAGGACATGTGCATGTTGCGGTCCATCCATCTGCTTGGGCGGAACGGGCTGCTGCCCCCTCGCCCTCCCCCGCTCCTACAGGATACCCCTTCCCACCCAGCGCCACCCCTCTGCAGCAACAGCAGCAAGCGCAAAGACAGTACATCCCCATCCCGCCCAGCTCGCTCTTCCCCCCTTTATTGGTCAGGAGCACACCGCAGCTCTCAGCCCTAGCGTACTACACCTACCTGTACACTTTCGCCCTTTCCCAGCTTACGAAGACGTCTCCACCGCTCTCGCCCTACACGTCTTTGAGGGAAGAACGGGAAGCGCGTGAAGCTGCGAGGGCGTGGGTGGAGAGGCTGGGCCTTAGGAGTGGGCTGGTGGGGGACAAGGGGTGTGAGCTTCCCGTAGCAGCGGTTGAAGGCGGGGAATGGACGACGGTGCTTGTGGAGTGCGTCTCTTTCGCGTATCATCACAGAGGTATACTAATGCTCCATTTTTCCCAGTGGCTTGCCCTACCCCTACCTTATGCGCTCCTCTACCTCCTCGAACGCCGAACAAGAAGCCGCACTACGCACGCTCCTCTCCACGCAATTCGTAGTCCAACTCCTCTCCACCTCTAGCTTCCCACAGGCATACCCGCTCCCCCTTCCCCCCGCCGCCGCGCCCAACGCAGGAACGATCACCCTAATCCGGATCCGCCTGCCGCCTCTGTCCCTACTCGCCTCCCTCTCCTTTGCCCTCTTCCGCATACTCTTCTTCTGTTTCCTCTTCACTCGCGGAGCGTCGCTAGAGAGGAATGCTGTTGTCGTGCTGTTTGCGGGCCTATGGGGTATGTGGGAAATGCATCGGCTGTTGGGGGAGTACTGGGCTGCTGCCGGTGCAGGCGGAGCGGGGGCAGGGGCAGGGGCAGGGGCTGCTGGAGGAGCGGGAGCAGCTCCAGCCGCAGGAGCAGAGGGTGGAGCAGGGGGAGGAGCAGGCGCAGGTGTCGGCGGGAGAGGTGCGAATCTTCCCAACCCAGCCGCCGCCCCCTGGCCCAACTTCCAACTCCCCCACGGCCCCCTGCTCCAAACCCTCGCGCACGCCTCCCTCGCCACCGAATCCCAGCTCCTCTTCCCTCCTACCACTCCCCCCGTCCACCCCTCAGCACTAGACGCCGCCCTCGCCCACCCTCTCCTCGGCCCTCCCCTCCTCTTCCTCTTCTCCATCCTGCCCGAGTTCTCCCGCCTCCGCGCGCAAGCCCTAGCAGAACGCGAACAGCAAGTACGCGAGTTCTACGGCCCGCTCAAGAGGCTCATGAGCCGCCGTTCGGAGGGGGATAGCACGGAGATGACAGAGGAAGAAAGGGTGGTCGTCGATTGGTGGGCACAGCTCGGGGAGAGGGAGAGGAAATACGTACAGCGTGTTCTGGCGGGGGAGATGGATGAGCTGGCCGTGGCTTGGGCGGCGGCGGAGGGGGAGGCAGAGGTCGGCGGGGGCGTGTGGTGACCGGTCGTTTGCAGGGGAGCAGAAGTGAGGTTGTTCCCTCTGGTTCCCCGTGTTCCTCGTATTGTGTGGGGCCCGTCCCATGTTTACTGGACAGGAAGGTGTTGGACTGTCATATTTCATATGCATATCTGAGATCTTCACACGTTAGATTCCTGTCAATAGCATCAGAACGGTTGGCTGCATAGGTCAGGCGTACGTAGCCCCATCAGCTTTCTTGGGGGAGGTTACCCAGAGCTGATGGGCATGTAAGCTCTGCTTCCGAAACCTGTAAAGCGCATTACGTCGTCCTCATCAAGATAGAGCAATACTTGGAGGAAATTGTGAAAAAAAAATCTGAGAATAGAAATTATGCAAATATGCATGCCTCACTGCGTAGCACCGTGTGTTTGGCCAAGCACGATTAATGAAGCCTTTCTCAAACCTTATAATAAGCTCCCGCCCCAAACTGCCCGTGCCCTCATCTAGGAATGCCTCTCAGATCAACATGATGCAATAGCCTCCAAAAGAGTTTTGCTTGTTTGTTTTGGCCTCTCTTATATGGCGTTTAGAGTGCGTGTGTGATGTAACATGAGGGGAAAGTAATTTAATTTAATAAGCTCCGCTCCCATATTCTCTGACAAAAACCGCAAAACAAAGACTACACCGACTTTCACAGTAAGCAGTAAAGCTTCCCAAAGATCATACCCTGATAAAGAACTTCTCCTTGTGCCTTGAGGTTTATGAGTGTCTTGCAGAGCAGTGCAGAGAGAAATGATTGAGCTGTGGGTTTTGATGAAGAGCTTGAGCTTAATACGCTCTGCTTCCGGAGTTGTCACCTCCCACTCCCCACTCTCTGAGTGCCGACCCTATTCCCCATCTCCGAAAGTCCAACCAGCGAATCACGGCCCAAATCTCAGTAGAAGTATGCGTTAATGCACTGAGGCTGACCATTGACGGGGTATGCAATGCGTGTCCCCATCTTCCCTGTCTCCGGGTGCAGCGAGAGCTTAAATAAGCTCTGACATTGTCTCAGCCGTCCCGCGCCTCCTGCGTGTCTCCTCCCTTCCCAAGCCAAGGCAGCCCCCTCCCACTTTCCTATCCCTATTCCATCGAATACCTCACGGCCCTCTGGATAGATCTTGGATAGCGTTGGGTGCCCATACATACTGCGAACGTACGACATTGGGATCGGGAGCGGATTTAAGCTCAGCTCCCTTGCCATCTCTCCCTCTCCCTCTCGCGCTCCCGATCCTTGCTATCTGGCTTGCGGGTACCAGAACACGTCGGTTACATGTATGAATATCCTACAACTCTGTACGTTGTACGTTGTACGGCCTACAGTGCTCTACATACAGCAGTCATACAGCGGACATACAACATACAGCTGTAAACGACCTCGCTTCTATCTGTCGGCCAACAATCAGTTATCAGCGATCAGGAATCAGCTGTGAACTACAGCACTGCACAACAACCCGGACCCGGAAGTGGGCACTTTCCAGCCAGGCCCGGGCTTCGACCCGTGTACACAATAGACACAAAACACGGCGTCTCCGACCCGAGCGGGCGGGGTCGGGGGTCGGACTTACCCTCCTACCCTCCTCGACTCGTCTCTCCCATCTCTCCGCTTCTTCGTTCCCAACCTCCTCGACTCCCCCCTCGCCTCTGCTCGACTCCCCCCAACCCCTCGACTCCCTCTAACCCCTCGCCTTCCCCCAACTCCCTCCCCCCCCTCTCCCAAACTCATTCAACCCCTCAAAACGACCTCCCACCCCCTAACGACTCTCCATCCCACATCCTCCACCCAGCCGGAGAAAGTGCTTCCTCTTGTGCCCCTGACCCAGTGTGCTTGGGAGAGGACGAGGGCGTCGATGATCCCGGTGAGGAAGGGGCCGACTTGGAGTGTCCGTGTCCGTGTTAGCGTTTGCGTTTGTACTTGTGGTGAGGTGGGGTCGGTACGTCCCGCTTCCGCTTCCGGCTCAGGAAGATCAACCGTCAACCCCCGTACATCATCCAACAAACCCCCTTCCAAACCTCCCATCCCCCCGCTCCAAAGCCCAAACAAACAAGGGAACGTCCTCCCCAACACCTCCACTTCCCTCCCAGGGTCCGTGGTAGCCAGGAAAAGGGGTACGTTGAGCGGTTGCAGCTCCGGGTGGGTATGGAGTGGGCGAGGGCACGACAGGGGGGGAGGAGGAGGAGGGGGAGGGAGGGGGAAGGAGGGGAGAGGGGGGTGGGGGTGACGGGCTGCTGTTAGGTCTGGGTGCTCTTTTGGTGGCGGCCCTAGGTCCGAATCCGAATCCAGAGGGAGAGGGGAGAAGGGGAAAGAACTGTTCCCCCCTGCATGCTCCGCATGTGCCCAGCGCTCCACCTCCCTCGCAAGCCCCTCCCCCACCCCAAGGGAACGGACAACCGCCCACCAGAGCTCTCTCGCCCTCTCCCTCGCTTCCCTCTCAAACGCTCCATCTCCCAGCCTAAGATGCGCCGCGATGTAGCTATCCCTGCCCCCCAGAGCGCGGACGATACTGTCGGCGGTACGGAGCAGTACTGGGTGGGAGAACGTTGTCTGGGATTTTATTTCCCCCCTGAGGCGTTTGGCACCAGCGGAGGAAAGCTTGATCCTCGAGCTCCCGAAGAGGGAGCCTACTGCTAGCAAACGAACGCCCGCTGTCTCCCGAGCTAAGGTGTCCAGGTCCACACGCGCACGGTACCGACCTAGCGGGCGGTCCAGGGCCGAGGACTCGAAGAACTTTGTGTGGTACGGGTGGGGGGAGGGAGGGTGTAGGTGTTGGAGGGGGTGAGGTTGAGTGCGCGGAGATGGGGAGGGAGGGGCAGGGGGGCGGGAGCGGGAGAGAGGGGATTGATGGGGGGAGATGGAAGAGGGAGGGAAGGGGCAGGTAGGCGTGGTCCGTCTCTTGTTGGCACCCTTCCTCTCCCTCCAACTCCGACTCGGGCGAAAATGACATAAACCCACATCCAAGTTCCCGTTCCAGCACCCCCGGCTTACGCCACGCCTGCGCCCTGCCAACCCTGACCATAGGGAGCAAGAGGGTGCGCCCGAGGAGGGAAGCGAGTAGCAGCGCATTTTGGAGTTCTATGAGCTGGTTGTGCAGTCCGGAATGGGGGAGGTAGGTTAGGTAGCGTTCTGTGGGGGGACGGGAGGGAGGCCAGGGTGTGGGGGGGAAGTCGGGGAGGGAGAGGGAGGGGTGGGGTTGTTGGAGGAGCAGGGGTTGGGGTGTCGGGTAGAAGTAGAAGTAGATGAAGAGGTAGAGGAGGATGAGAAGGGCGAGGATGAGGATGAGCAGGATTGGCCAGCGTATTCGGCCCCGTCGTGGGGGTGTATGCCCCCCCAAGGGAAGTAACGGACTCCCTCCCGCCCCCTTTCCCCAAGTGGGGCTCCACCTCGGACTCCCCCCACCCCTCTTGGGTGACATGTCCCAAGCTGGGAAAGGAGATGGAGACCTAGGTATAGCTGGAGAGGGAGGTGCTGAGTTTAGAGATGAAGTAGCAGAAGGAGGACCGCGGGATGGTGGTCTGAGGTGTGATAGAAGTGTGAGACCGCGTTCTAGTGTGAGTGAAGGGCGGGGATGGTGACGTTTCATAGTCGTGGGGGAGGGAGGGAGGAGAGGGAGATGTATGCGCTCTCCTTTTGACCTCTCTCCTCACAAACGCCCATCCACCGAGGCGATTCCCATTCCAATGCGAGCAGTGGCTATGTATTATATAATCTGATCCCGCTCTATTTCAACTTTTAATCTCTTCACCTTGTCCTTGTTCACCTCGTCGACGTCCATCATGCTACGCCTTCCTCTCCGACGGTGTACAACTCTCATCCCCCACACTCCCCTCATCCGTTCCTACTCCTCAACATCCACATCCACCTCTCCCTCCCCTTCACCCGCCGACCGTTTCCCAACCCCATTCCTCACCTCCCTCGCCCATGTACTCCAACACTACATACACGAACTCGACACCCCTTCCCCAACCCTGCTAGGCACACTCTCAGTCCTCCTCTCCCAACACAAAGACTGCCTCCTTCCCCTCTCCGACGATGTCCGGCTCGCCCTAGCTCCCCTCCTATGGACAACAATGGGCACTCTTCCTCCCTCCCCCCGCCCTTCTGCTCTAACCCCCGAAAAGCCCCTCACGAGACGTCAACGTTCCTCCCTCCGATCGCTCCTCTCCTCTCTCCTTTGGCCCCCCCAACTCCCCCGCCCAACCCTCCCTCTCCCCAAACTCCGCCTCCTCACTTCCCTCTACCACCGTTCTGCCTTCTATACAAGACCCTACAACCTCAGCGCAGCGATCGACGCTGCTCTCCTACCTGAGCACACGGTGAACCCGATGAAGTACACGACGAACGCCTCCCTCTTCCTCTCCTCCAAAGCGCGTGCTTCTCTCCCGGAGTTGAGTATCCCAGGTAGGGCGACGACGAAGTCCCTCCAGGAAGTAGGGGCGGAAGAGAGCAGCGCACTCGCTTCCCTCATGCCAGGTGCGGAAGCGGACATGTACTACCGGATGGGGAGAGCGAAGGGTTCCAGTGCGCAGGTGTTCACTGCACTCACGGGAGTGTCCTTTGAGGGACGGACGAGTCATGGACGGCATGTCCCTTCCCCGGGGGTGGAGGCTGTGAGGGAAGCGGAGAGGAAGGGGGTGAGGCATGAGCTGCTTGGAGTGAGGCTTAGGGGGAGGAGGGAGATTTTTAGGCCTTTGAAGGAGGAGGGAGGTAGGATTTGAAAGTACCGGAGTACGGGGGCAGATCCCTGAAGCGCCCGTCATTGCGCGTGTAGTAGACCTACTGAAAAGTACTTGACTCCTAACTACTCCTCGAACTCCTATCGCTTGAACTACCCCTACTTGAACAGCTAACACTCGAACTGCTTCTACTTAAACGACTGCCACTTGAACTACTCCTCCAACTACGCTTCAACTGCTCAAGTACTAAAGATGCCCCTCTCACGACTCCGATTCCCCCATCGAGCCATCCACACAACCCCTCCCAACCCTATCGCACGAATCGAAGAACTCGGACTCCCATTCAAGCCCGCTCTCCCAGGTCAACCACAAGGAACGTCCACGTCCACGTCCGCGAACGCACCGACAGCGACAGCCAAGATAGAACAGACTAGTACTGCCCCTGAACTCTCGGGAGGGGAGGGGGGGAGAGGGAACCGGTTTCCGGTCCGGGGAAATTCGATTTCCCCTCCCCTCCCTCTCCTCCTTCCAGCACCAGCACCTCTTCCAACTCCAACTCCAACTCCAACTCCACCCCCTCCTCCTCCTCTTCCCTCCCAGTCCCCTACCCCCCCACACCCCCCCTCCCCCCTCGGGCTCAAAGCCAGAAACCCCCCTTCGACACGCACGCCTTCATCCGCCATCTGACGGCGCACGGGTTTCCAGAGGGAAGGGGGAAGGCGATTATGCGCGTTGCGTTGGAGGAGGTGGGGAGGAAGAGGTGGGAGGCGGAGGGGAGGGGGATCAGTAGGGGGGATTTGGAGAATGTGGGTTTGGTTGCTTGTTTGTTACGTTCTTGCTTTCTTGATTTCTTATTGAGTTGGGTTTGGGGGGGTTGGATTTCGGGTCCTGCTGGGAGGGGGTTGGCTGTTGGCTACGCGGTTGGGGGGTGTTGGGGAATGTTGAGGTTGCTACAGGGGGAGAAGTCACCAGCTAACCCCTTACACTAGCAAGCCTACCTCTTCCGCGCCGCCCTCTCCGAACTGCGCTCCGAGTCCTCCTCCCGCTCCCGGGCATCGAGCGCCTCCATCCGCTCTACGCTCACAGCCCTACGTCGAGAAGTAGACAGTCTTTCCCAGAAGGTGAAGGAAGATGTGGATACGTTGAGGCATGAGATCCAGATGGAAGTCAATACGAGGAAGAACGAGAGTCGGTTGGAGACTAAGGTGCCGGAGGTGGAGATGGAGGAGGTGAACCATAAGAGTACGATCACGATTGGGGAACTTAGGTGCGTTGCATTTGCATTTGCATGTGCATTTGCATTTGCGTTTGCGTTTGACACTCCGCCTCCCCCGAAGGCGGGTGTGAGGTACCTGGAGCAACATGCTAATCCTGGAGTAGGACAGAGATCGAGCAAGCAAAATGGAACAACACCCGTCGTGGAGTCGGCGTAATCGCATTCTTCGTAGTGTTCATCATCGCCTTCGTCGAGCTCCTGCCCAAGAAGAAACCTGCACTTGCACTTCCGGCGCCCCAACCAACGACGGCGAAGGAGGAACAGAGGGAGACAGTTGGCTTGCCTGATCTGAGGGAGTGGGAGAGGAAGGACGTGGAAGTGGAAGTGAGGTATTGACCCGTGGAGGGAGAGAGGGGGAGTAGAATACAACATGAGATAGAGGGAGTGGAATACAACATGAGATAGAAGTACTAGCTACTGGCTGCGCGCCGCACTGGTCGTGTGCCTATTGCCCACTGATACAGAGACGTAATGATAGAGCAGCGTCGAGCGCCGAGCGCCAACACAGATCACAACCAAAGTGACGAAGTGACGACGGGACGAAGGGACGAAGCGCCCCGAGCCATAACACGTACGCTACACCTTGGCCTTCTTCTCCAGCTCCTCAGCAAGCTTGAGCACCTCGGCATCCGCTTGCTCACGCCTCGTTTCCGTTTCCGCCCGCACGTCTTCCTCGTCCCACGCGTCTTTGACCACTTCCTGCTTCTTCTCTCCGACTCCCACCGCCCCTCCTACAGCAGAAGAGGGAGAAGAGGCAACAGGCTCTTTTTCCCGCTTCTTCTCTTTCCGCTTCTCGTTCTTCTTCTGGGCTTTACTCTTCCCCTCCCCTCCCGCACCAGATCCAGCACCAGCACCAGATCTAGGCCCAGCGCCAGGAACACTCCTGCTCACTGCTCCCGGGGGAAGAGAAGGCCGACCGTCGGTCTGTTGTCGCCGGGAACGGAAGAGGCCGACGTCTTCTTGCGGTGTGAAGCCGGGCCGGATGCGTAGTTCTTTTCGCATGCTGCGGGACGGTGTTAGCGTTAGCGTGTTCGGATAGAGTGAAGGAGTACGTAGGAAAGGAGGGAAGAGGGGGAGATGACGGTGCATGAAGGAGCGACAAGGGAAGGAGAGGAGGAGGATGAGGGCGGAGGAATGAAGACGGAGACACTAGTACTCACGTCCCGTCCGCACGCCGAGTTGCGGGCACGATCCTCTCTAGCGTATTCGGGTCTGTTACAATACCCGACGCAGACCTTGAGGGCTCAATTGGCGGGAGAGTCGGCATCTTGATTTCTCCTGTCAAAGAAGCGCAGCAGATGGTCGGTAGGTGATAGCAGCTCGTGGGCGTGCTGGTAGTTTGGAACGAGAAATGGGATGAAGATCGCCAGTCGCGTTCGGCGTACTTCTTAGCGGTAGAAAAAGAAGAAACTACGAGATCGGATAACGATTTGCCGTACAACAGTCGCCGGAGGTGGATAGCGAGATATCAGGGAGGAGTCACGACCCTAGGTGCGTGCAGAGCTGGAGGTTGATGAGTCGCCGCCGGTTATATGGCCGGAAACCACGTTGCGTGTGGGATGTGGGGACGGAGGTGACTAACGCCCGGAGGCGGAGAGAAGCTACGGGAATGTTGGGCTGTCGGATCGAGGTGGTTTCGGCTATTTCTCTGTCTGTGCGCACCGCGAGAGATCTTTTTCTGCTGATATTAATGTTGTATTAAGCTTGAAGCTGGGATGGGAAAATGTGGGCGCCGCCTCGAGTGATTCCGGCCGGGAAAACCCACCGGAAATCGACGCTCGCCTCCGGTGGGTTGGATGGAACGAAAGCTGCTGGATCCATTCTGATGGCTCGGTATTTTGTTTTACTGATGGTGTAGCAATACAATGAATTCCTCTTTTTCCAGCCGAGTGCTTTGGGATGGACACCCCGGGGCAAACGGCTGAAAGGCGAACTTTGGCAGGTTTAACATGCCTGTCAACTCCTTTCCAGAAAATGAGTGCCAGATGTGGCAGGTACGAGTGAAGCAACGGCCGTGTACCAAAGACATGAAAACGCGATGGAAAGTTAAGGCTGATAAAGGACCGAGGTCTCCGATTTTTCTCAACTTTGTGAGCTGCTCAAGACTACAGAAGTGTCTTTACTAAAAGGAATATCTTGTTCCCTCTGGAACATCAGCTGTCCTCTAGGATGCGCTTTATGTCTCACCCACGAATGCCACATGCCTCTATTCAGCGTCCCGGGAAAAGGCAGGTTACCAAATCAGTAAGATAACACCAGTCAGGGTCGAGAACATGGTGCAGAGTGGTCCACCCAGCGTATCTCCCTCCTCAGACACGTGTAAAGTCTGACCGGGGCTTGACACTTTCCGACCGGGAGAAAGCAGGTTCCGGTGATAGAAGGGAAGCTTGGACTGATATCACGAACTCCATTTTTGACGAGCAATGGAAGACACCTCATGCTGCAAGGATCTCATCTGGACCTGCGGAGTCTCAAAGCGGGTTGTCTTCTGAGATCAGCTCTGTAGCCTTCACGAGGGCGGAGTTCCGCGCACACGAAGCAGGAGATGAGCTGTCTTTCCCTTGAAAGGACTGGCCAAGTTCAGCATCGGGCAGCTCAGTCGTTCGCTCGGGCCAACTGCTTCACCATCAAGACAGTGCAGAATGCTCCGAGTTCCTGCATGCAGAACTAGGGTGACAAATTTGCAGAATGGACGGTAGCTTAGGAAAAGTTGACCGACCCGATTAGTAAAGCTCCGAATACGAATGCCACCACGTTATTACCAAATATGGTAAATGAAGTGTGGGGCTCCAGCAAAGAGAGTTCCGGTCCACACCAACCTCCGGTGGCTGGCGAGACTTGTAACTCCAGTTCATTAAGAAATACGAGTGTCATTTCCCGGAGCAGGTAGATGAGCAAGTGAGGCTCCATGATGCAGAGGTGACCGAGCGCATTGGGTGGTGCAAGTTTGACCCCTTATCAAAGACCTGGAGCCGAGAAAATGGAGCGAGGAATATCCTTGTTTTCCACGGGTGCAGCTCGAGATGAGAACATACCCGAATGCAGAGGAGTCTTGAAACGTTTTCCTAGCCCAAACGGCAGATCGCATAAATGTGTGTGTTGTCGAGGTTTTTCCCTGACCCATTCCCTAGTCGATGGGCCTTGTAATGATCTCCGGGCTTGAAATCCAGCTCCTGATTCCTTGTCTCGCAGCATTGTCAATCGCCTGATCACAACAACCACACAAGCGATCACATGTTTGCTCGACCGCCGAAATCAGAACCCTGTTCTCACGGTCATGGAGATAGATACGATCGGCAGGGCACTGCATCTTTGCGCTCGATTCAAATAACAGCGGATCAAGTTACGGTGATCCCCCAAAATCTGGGGAGCTGATAGACCGCCTAGAGCCGGGACATGGCCAGAACAGAAGCGAGAAATAAAGCCGTTAACGTCCCGGCGGTGCTCGATCAACGAGCGGCAGCCGAGTGTATGTGTCCGGGGTGGGGCACGGATTTCGGCTGGCATTATGTATGGTGGTCCCTCGCCGTCTCAGCCAAGCTCATGGAAACAAGGAGCACAGTGGGTTATAAAGTCTACACTGAGGGGTCTGCAGCGATTCCAATTCACAGGTTCAGGGCCTCTCTTTTGAATGAGTTGATAGATAGAGAGAAGAGGAAGAGAAGAACACTAAGGGCACCAAGCGAAACCGAGGTGTGGCGTCTGCCTCCATTCGGGAGCAAACCGGAGCGACGCTTTCGCCGGAATATCGTGGCCCTTTTCATCAACTGCCCTGATGTTGTCAGCTAGCATCTTATCCCCTTGCACGAGGTATGCTGATCCCAACAATATCCTCCTACAAACGCATTCCGTATCTCGCCGCCGGTGAAAAATGTCTTTCACATCGGAACTTGAATTGCTGGCGAACGGCAGCACCGGGAGCCGATATCACTGGAATCTTCGTCGTCATCTGATGGGGTTTAATTTTGCATGATGTGCTGTCTGAGGTGACACCTACACACTGACGTAGAACTGGCGCCTGGAGCAACCAGGAATAAGTGAGGTCTGACGCCCACCATGGATATTGCGACGGAATGTCTGGCACGCTTGTGATGAAACGGCCCAAAATCTCTTTTACTTCTGTATGACGACTCGGCACTTACAATTCGCCGGACATGGGAAGCGTGCAGCCGTCGTAATCTAGTTCTTGGGCGGAGGCTGACTTGAGGGGCTTCTTATACGACCCTTCCTTCGAGGCGACCACATACTGTGTAGCGCCGGCATCGGCTCACGGATACCAACGCCAGCGCTCGTGGCATCTTCGGCATTCTTCTGCCCTGACTTGGATTCTTTGTAACCGGGGCATACTTGCTGCCAACATCGGAAATTTGGACCTGCTCCAGTGTTGTGGCTTAGGACTTGTATAAATCTTGCCACTCTTGCTTCAACAACGACTGGAGCGGTATTTCCAAGTTATCCGCCATCTGCCACCATGTCTCTCAGCGATGAAGAGCTCTTTGCCCATGTTAGTGAGCTACATGACAAAGTTGTTCTCATTACAGGTAAGCATACTGACTTTTCCATGTCGCCACATTCTGATGAATAAAGCAGGAGCGGCAAGTGGAATAGGCAAGGTTAGCTGCAACGTCACCTTCCCTAGGCAGCGTGCTCATGAATCCACACAGTCTGTTTCCCTGGAAGCGGCACGAAATGGGTATGTTTCCTCCTCACGGCATCTTGGCATGTAATCATGTTGCATCAGTGCGAAGCTCGTCATTGGGGATATCGACGAAACGGCGTTAATCGCGACATGTAACGAGATCAAGGCGCTGGGCGGGTGAGAACTTTTATCGCGAGCCATGTTCAGAAAGCTAATTTCCTCTTAGGAGTGTAATCGGTCAGCGGTGTGACGTGGCATCTTGGGAGGATCAGGTCTCCCTCTTCCAGCTTGCAATAGCAACCTTCGGCAAAATCCATATCGTGATCCCAAATGCTGGTATTAGCGAGCGTACACGGTTCAACAACCTTGACACTGAAGACTTGGGTTGTGGTCCGCAGCCCACGAAGCCAGACCTGAAGCCGGTGCAAATTAACCTGATTTCTGTGTTGTACAGTAAGTCGGCCCGCACACGCCTCGTGTCCAGTTTACCATTTTGGAACTTCCCCTAATCGCAGAGGCCTATTGTAGGTGCAAGACTGGCTGTTTTCTACCTCCGTTCAAATCCAGACCCTGGCAAGACCATGGTCTTCATCGGCTCAATAGGTAAGCTGGCCATGAACATCGGCCCGCAGGACACTAACCCGCGGAATAGCATCTTTGATGAGTCTGCCACCGGGTTGTCTCTACGTCACTTCGAAACATGGCGTCAGTGCCGATCTTTCCCTTTCAGTGATTGTCCGTGACCAGAATATACAGGTGCTCGGGCTTGCAAAAACTCTTTCTCAAGAGGCTCCCTTGTTCGGGATCCGTGTGACCACAGTCTGCCCTTGGTTTGCGGGTATGTCACTTGGCAACTTTACTCGTGATGGTGGCTTATTAGAGCCGCAGATACTGCCATTGTTTATCCCGCTGCTCGCAAATTGCTCGGTGGTCTCCCCATGACGCAAATTCGCCATATTGTCGGATCCATAATACACGGTGCGACTGATCCAGATCCGGCCACTCATGGCGCAGTATACACCATACCAGACAACATTGGGGCATTCAGGATTGAGGGTGATGATCTGGACCTCCTCAGCACCGGAATGTACAAGACCTTGAAGGAACGGATTCTCCGTGTGATCTAAGTGGACTCTGTAGCTGTCACCGATACCGCAAACAAGGGATTTGCTATACCCAGTGTCTCATTGTATAATGGAAATGCCATTGTAGACCCATTGTGCATGTGATCTACTATATCGACATCCACCCAGACCCTTAGCAATGGTTTGCGGGCGGCGGTGCATTCTTATTTGTTCGGTGTTCCTCATTACCGAGTTATGCTCGGAAATAACGTCCCCTCGGTTGTGAGACACATACAGACCTTCCTTTTAGCTGTCGTTACCGTGGTGGTTTCCCACAATTGAGGCTAGTGGTGATGCACCGGAGTTGCGGGAGGTGGCTGCAAACTTGTTTGCATGCGGCCGCAGTTGATGCTGTAAAATTCCAAATCCGGGTGCGACGAACTAGCTTCTTTGTTTTTGAAAGAGGCGCTCACGGGGAGCGAAGTTGAAAAAAATCATTAGAGCGAGTAGAGGGGGCAAGCTAGAGTAGTATGATCCGAATAGCGCTTCAAAAAGACCGTGTATCTCAACGCTGCGTTCGCAGAAGAAATCTGAGTCCCATTTCCGGTGTTTCGGAGATCCGAGCAGACTGATTACCAGCGGGGAAGATTGCGTTTGTCTCCAAAAGAATATCGGTGCATAAACCCCTCGTGGTGCGATTTGACACGTTGAGTGGTAGTAGCACTTGCGGCGATAAATCTTGCCTTGACACCATCGGAGCTTGCTGACCCGATCATGTCTTGTGCGGTTTACGGCTGGCAGGGCCACTATTGAACCCATGACCACGCGAAGAAGAGCTTGCTGAAAGGAAGAAGCGGCACGGAAGGTGCCGAATACGTGCCGAAGCTGCACTTCTGGATCCCTTGACGCATGTGTCGTTCAGTGGCCGATGACGACACAGGCAATCAACCATTCTATTCATGCGATACTCTCAACTTGAACGCGCAGGCATACATAAACAAATTATCTTTCTACTTCGTGTTCACGGACAGTGTTCGGCCAGAATCTGAGACAAGAAGACATCCAGAATAACGAGTCATTAATAGTGTACAACCCTCAGGATCATGCATACGTCCTAGCGTCCCCCGGTTATTGCTGCAGCATGTTTGCGTTCGCGCTCCCGGGACGTTCTACGTCAAGAGGGAAGAAAGTATTATCGAAAGCGAAGTCGAAAGAGCTGGGGTCAAGAGACATGCTGTTGTCGAGGAACTGATCAGAGCCACCAAAGTCTGACCAGCCTTCACCAAAATTGTTCAAAAAGTCCGCATCACCAGGAGGCAGATTCAGACCCTCGAGATCAAACGCCGGCATGCTTCCATTGGCACCCACGTTGAACGCAGTCTGATAGTTCGGTGGGGAGGGCGTGTAGCTTCCGGGATTGGGTGGCGCCGTGCCCGAGGCTTGCATAGGCGGTGCGGGAGATTCTCGCTTGACGGGCGCGTTCCACTCCGGTCCAGCAACATTATACGTCATGGCAGGATTGATCGCACTGTTCGGCGCCTGGTTCAGATACCCAGGTGGCGGCATCTGAGGATATCCAACTCCGGGAGCAGGGGGAGCCGACGCAGGGTTCGGGGGAATGTTAGCCATGCCGGGCGGGACGATACGAATCGGCGACGGCTGATGGGTGTGCATCTGGCGCAAGGGCTGCGTGCTCGCTCCGAAAGTGGGGATGTACGACGATCCAGAGGGGTCTTGCATCTGGCTTTCCTGACGTGTGCGCTTGTGGCCCGCCGCAGAGTCTACGCTGGACGGAGACGTATGCGTCGGCGATCCAGTGTTTCCGGTGCCGGACTGAACGTTGTAAGCGGGTGCGGCCATCGAACTGCCCGACATTGTTGCTGCTCTCAGCTGTCCCGGGGTATACGTTCCGGAAGGGGCGATTCCCTGAAGGACATGTTGTCCCACACCCCCGTAGGCGGAGGGCGGCGTTACCTGCTGCGGGACAGCGTTCATCTGACCGGGGGACATCTTGATCGGCTGATTTCCGGGCAAGACCTGACCAGTCGACATCTCCCTGGGCGGGGTAACATGCGGCCTCTTCCCGCTCCAATCACTTGGGGAACTCGAGCCCGTCTTGTTAGAATGCCTGCGGGTCTTGTGCATGCTACCCGCACGATGCAGCCTATTGTGAGGATGCGGATGTCTCTCTTTCTCCGCGCGGCGGGCTGCGTATTCCTTGCTCACCTCGAACAACTTGATGAGCAGGTCGCGGCATTTCTTTGCGCCTGGGTAGGAGGACTCGAGGTCGTGCAGACACTGGATACATTGGGTGACTTCGGCCATGGACTGCTTGCTCTGCGTCTCGTCCATGAGGCGCATGATACACAGGCAGAGGATGACCGCGCTGCTGAAGAGGTACTGAACGAAGAAAGCCAGGTGGTGAGAGGGGAAGATGATGTTCCTAAGAGCCTTGGCGAGGAGGATACAGTTCCTCGAGGCGGAAACGGCCTTCGCAATGGAAACTGACTGGGTCGGTCCGTGCCTGCGCGACGTAGGGAGGAAAACCCGATGCAGGGATATGAGGATGGCGTAGTAAGACGTGCACAAGATAGCAGCCATGAAGATCTCCTTCTCTCCTTGGGGCTTGCTCCTCAGTTCGGGGGGAAGGCTGTCGCACCACTTGCTGAGGGCGGAATCGAGCGCGTCTACAGACTGCTGGAGCGCAGCGGCCGCCACGGCATCCAGGTGGAAACCGGTCTTGTTGACGGCATACACTTGACGCAGCATCTGCCCGCCGATCTTGGCCAGGTCGGTGAGAGCGATAAACCCTACCATGATGGTTGACGGTTCGCCCATTGGCTGGCCTTCAAGGTGCAGTCGGAGCGCCTCGTCGTCCAAAGGCAGGGGGAGCTCAACATCACAGTCGCTATCCTCGATCCCGAGCGGGCGGCCGAGGGCGACCGCAAGTAGCCGGTCGAGCATATACACACACCACCAGATACGCTTGTGCATCTCCCGCTCGAGCGGGGTGAGCGAGGACTTTGGAGCCGCACGCTGCGTATATGCTCAGTATGATCCTTGTACTTCCAGGTGGTCACTCACATGCAATCCCAGATCCTGCGCGGTCCGGATCCCCTGACCAAGGAGTAGCCAACTCTCGGCGAGCAAGTTCCAGCTCGCTAGTGCACTGCTGAGGAGCACGACGCACTGGACATGCGCCAGCTGGGTCTTGTCCGCCCCAATAAAATGGAGGATCATAGCCCGATCGTAGAACGTCATCGCCAGTCCTCCATCCCCATTGACGTCCCCAAGCCTAGGGTCGTTAAGGAACCTCGCGGCAACGGCGAACACACCGAAGATCGTGCTCTGGAACCCGGCGTCGTCCCTGTACGTCCCTCGCTCCATATGATCGTGATACTTGGTCATGAAGCTCATCTTGTCCAACACGGGCAGCGTGTGGTGGAACATGGCAAAGTAGGCATCGACGAGCGCGTCAGCAAGATCCCGGGGAGGGTACTCGACTTCCGAGCTCCGGGGAAGAGCGACACGTCGGACTTTGCCCAGCCCGATAGCGTTCGGGAAGAGTAGATCGTCCATCCCACCACGTTCACCGGGTGGGGAGGGGTATGTCGGCTGCCTAGCAAGCATACGTAAGCTCTCGACGAGGGACATAGTGCTCGCGCCTCCTATCCACCTACAGATGACGAGGCATCAGCATTCAGGCGCATATACGATAGAACCCACGTACCTCCACTGGCCATTCTCGTCCACCTGCAGTTGGCCAAACTTCTGTGCCACCTCCTCACTACTATCGGGCGCATCATCCGTCTGCACACTCTCCTCCTCGCTACTCCCCTCTTCCTCCAGCTCGCTACTATCGTCCATCTGCGGCATGCCAATCCCTCCCTGGGGCAAGACGCTCGTGCCGACATTAGCGGGCACGGCACCGGCTGTGCCTAGAGTCATGCTCTGCTGCTGGGCCATCGCTGCCCGCGCAGCGTCGTTCATGTTCTGCATATAGTGCCTCGCGGCCTGAGCCGCTACCTGCTGGGGAAGTCCGATCCCGTTCGGCGGCTGGCCCTGGACTCCTCCTTGCGTGGAGGCGGTCAGCGCTTCCATTACTGGCGCCACGTGCTGGAACAGGGTTTCCATATGATGCAAGCGAGTCTCGAGCTGTTGGACGTATCTGCATGAGGCAAAGTCAGCGGATGATGAGAATCAGGTGAGCAGGGCGTACTGTCGACTGTGAGCGGCTCGATCAGCAGTAGGCTTCCAAGTACAAGCATTGATGTTTCCCAAACACTGTCCACAGACGGGCTCCACCCCATCGCACTTTATCTTCTTCCTCCTGTTCTCCCTATTAGGCAAGTCGAACCTAGTCAGTGAGGAGAAAGACGTACCTGCAGCTCTCGCACGCTCTGTACACCCTCGGCTGTCGAGGCACGTTCGCGTCCCTTGGTACGTGCCCCCGGCCTGTAGAAGCATCCTTGCGCCGTTTCTTGCGCGCTGCGTCTTGGTCTGACGCTGCGGCTGGAGCGGAGGAAGTGGAGGGCTCGGTAGACATCGGGGGTGCCGACATGCTGGGTGTTGACATCCGGTGGAGAGATGATAACGCACAGTTACAACAGACAGTACCCGTCAGGTGTGGTATGTTCGTGGGTAGGTGTGAGAGGTAAGAGAAAAGAGAGGAGAGGGTGGATGGAGGAAGGACGTTTGAGGTCGTAAGGTGTGTCGCGCTGGACCCACAAAGGGTTTCACGGGCGCTGTCCCTAAATAGGGGACAAGGGACGGTGAGCGGTAGACGGTGAGCAGCGAGCAGCACTTGAGCAAGGGGAGAGGGATATGCCGAACAGAGCTTCTCGAAGGCCCCAAGATGTTGGATTAGTAGCCGGAGCGCAGGTGGACTAGCGCTGAAGGGGGGAAGCTGGCGCAGGGAGTAAGTAGTAAGCCGAAGGTGGGTGACTCGAGTGCACTGCCTGTGGAATGTGGGATGTGCTGGCTGGCGGGAATAATGTCGTCGTCGTCGTCGTCGTCGTGCACAGAGAGGAAAGAAGTGAATTAGCCAAAGGGTCAGGGTAGTCGTCTCCCCCCCTCGGAGTGAGTTGATCGGCGTGTGCGGTGGAAGAGGAAGAAAGGACTGAATTGAAATGGATTGTGTCCATTTGCTGGCGGCTGTTTAGGGGCGCATTGTAGGCTCTGTATACTAATTACGGTAAATACTGTTATAATATCAATATGGAACGTTAACTAGTGTTAAATAGCTATTTATGTATTAACTTGGGGATATTCTCTGTGCTTAGGGGATACGCTCTGACCGGGCCCGTTGTTCCAGGGATACCGTGTACTGACAAACAATCGCCTCTCTCTGTCGCACCCTCGTGAGACCACCGGGGAAATTGACCTGACGCCGAGGCATGCCAGGTGGAATGAACGGAAACGGAATCAGAATCGCCACTTTGGGTATATCGCCGCCATTTGTGCGCGTGAACAAGAGTCACAAAACATTTTGGTGGCGCTGGACCAACTTTCTTACACTCGTACGGCTACACGGCTCGCTCTTCCTCTTGTCTACGAGAGACCAACACTGTGAGAACGCAATATGGCTGATGCATCTGACGCGCATACACCCACCGCAGAGGGGGAGGACATCGATCTAGAAGGCTACGACGGCTCAGTGTGTACTTATCCCTCTCAACCATTTCACTAACTGATCCTGCCAAACAGGAACTGGAGGAGATCAAAGCCCGCATGCGGCTGATGGAAGAAGAAGCAGCGACACTCCGGTCCCTGCAGGCTGACGCGCCAGTACGCGCCCCTTCTGCACAGGACGGCGCTGGTACTCCCGTTCCTGCGCCGAAGGAGGGGGAACCGAATGGCGAACACGAGGAGATACAGGTTGAGGGAGAGGCACAGGAAGATGTTGACAAGCGGTCGGTGTATGTTGGGAATGTAGGTGCTATTTTGGTTTGCTTGAGGGGTTGCATGTGCTGAATGGGCTGGGCTAGGTGGACTACTCAGCCACACCGACGGATATATCAAACCATTTTGCGAGCTGTGGACAGATAAACAGGGTCACGATCGTCTGCGACAAGTTTAGTGGGCATCCTAAGGGGTTCGTCTACCCGTGTAACATGGGACGTTGACAGTTGCTGACTGGCCGCAGGTTTTGTTATATCGAGTTTGCGGAACCGGAGACGGTGCAGAACGCGTTGTTGCTGAATGAAAGCATGCTCTGCGGGCGGATAATCAGCGTGCGTCCTCTCTTCATCTCACACCATTCCTTTCCCTCCCAGTGGAAACCCGTGCTCATCCACACACAGGTAGTAGCAAAACGCACCAACATCCCCGGGTTCAACCGGCGAGGAAGAGGACGCGGAGGGTACAGAGGCGGCCATCCTCGGGGGGGATACGGGTACTCTCCCTACTCCCGGGCAAGGGGGCGGTCGGTTTCTTCCTTTTTTTCTACTGTGTGAAGCTGACGAGTATACAGGGGCAGGGGAGCGTGGAGGGGTTGAGCGGTGATTGATGGGGAGAGACGTAAAAAACCCGCTACTGAAGTAACGGGGCTGTATTGTTCAACCATGGGAGGCTGGGGAGAGGAAGATGTTGATGTTGATGTTGATGTTGCTGTTGCTGTTGATGCCTACTTACTGCCCATTAATTGTATCATGACATGCATTCCCTGCAACAAGATACATAGCACGGGAGTTGCCGGCGGGAGTGCCTGAATTGCCACTTCTATCAGTTGTCAAGAGTTGCTCTATTGAACGAATACACTTCCTCTTACTTTCCTGCTCGAGTTGGTAGTAAGCCAATCGGTGTTGGGCGCGGGGAGGACCCTTTGAGGAATAGAGGACAGCAACCGCAACTCCTTTCTCCTCCTTCCCCTTCCAGGGGGGTGTCATCCACACACTGTCCTTGTTCCCTGACAATCTCCACAACGGAAGTGTGTAAGTAACAATCATCAATCATCGTTCATTGTTAAATAATAAACTGACAATATTGTAAAAGTGATCGATCGGTGATCGAACAGTGGGTTACGACATCCCGCACTTTGACACTGAACACCCGCTGCTCAACGTCCCACTTTCGCCCTTGACACGCGTCGTCCACAACCAGCGCACCGCTTCCCTCCTTCTCCCCCTCAACACCGTCCCCGTCCCCTTCCCCTCCGTCCACGCCATCTTCCTCACCGTCCTCACCGTCCTCTTCATCCTCCTCCCCGTCAACAATGGCAACCAGCAAGAACCTCAACCCTTCCTCAGCACCTTTCTTCCCTTCCCTCCTATCCACTCCCTCTGCCCCCCCGGGTCTCCCCCAATTCCCCCTCCCCGTCTTCCCCTCCCTCCCCGCACTCCCCTCACTCCCTCACCTCCCCCACCCCTCCCGCTCCCAGAACAGGCTTTCCGGGTCCTCCATCTCCAGCTTCCGCTCCCGAGACGAGCAGGACGACCCCGCCACCACCTTCCCCGTGCGGAACAGCATAGACAGATCCGGAGACGCGCAGAGCAGTCCAAGGACATACCGTCCCCCTCTGTCCAGTGCGCACTCTTTTTCTGCCTCTCCCGCTCCCTCTTTGGACAGGTTCGGTATCCCTACGACACAGAACGTCAACCCCCTCAGTGACTCTTTTTCAACTTTCGGATCCCTCTCTTTGCAGGAAGGTAGCACTCCCGCTGCTTCCCTCAACGGGCGCATGAGCAGCAGCAGCAATCATAGCACCAACATCGCCCCCGGGCGTGCGCCTAGCGTTGCGGGCGGGACAGCCATGTCCACCCCGTCGACCGCCGCGAGCGACTTCAGCAACTCGCCTCCTCCCGGCGTGCAAGCTGTAGAAGGCACAAGCGCAGCATCCGTCTCCGCCTCTTCTATGGCCTCCATCTCTGTCCATTCTACGGGTACGGGAGGGCCAGAAGACGTCTTTGACCAGCAGGCCAAGGCTAGTCCGTTTCTGAACGATATCCTCGACCGACTGGTCCGCACGGAGTATACGAGCAAGGAGATCCAGCGCGAACTGGGAGACGTGAACCGCAAGCTCTCTCTCTTGCTTTCTCGCATGCCCGAAACTGGCACGGGCACCCCCTTCGGCCCGGGACAGTCAGCAAGCAGCAGCGCTTCGAGCCTTACGACTCCTACTGCTCGGGCGCCGGGCACACCAGCCCTCGGTACGGGGGACAACGCCGCCAGTGCGGAGGAAGTGAAGCAGCTTTCGCAGAGAGTGAACACGCTCACTACGTCTGTCTCCCAGCTCCTGGCACTGCAGACCAAGGCCCATATGCAGAATGTGAACGCTTCCTTCCCCCTCCCGCCCACGCCTGGAGGAGCGCCAGTCACCCCCCGCCTGGGAGTGATCGCTGATACTCCCCCTGGTGCCCCTCCAGGCGGAGGGCTGCAGAGCCCAGCCGTCCTCCAGAGTCCGGGGATATTCGCTCTCCGTGACCCGCGCCCGAGCCCGAGCCCCAGGGCACCCCAGGCTGTGGGAAGCCCGCTCAGGCAGTGGAGCCAGGGATCGCTCGACTTGGCAGCCGTGAGGGAGGGAGCGGTCGCTGCTATGGGAGGGAAGAGGCGGCCTAGTGCCCAGCTGGTTAGGAGGGAAAGTGCTAGTGTCAGTCTTCCTTTTCCCTACTTTGGTTACAGTGTAGCGTTAGTAGGATATGCTGACTATGATACAGACTATCGATACCGGTGATTGGGGTGGTGGGAGCCCGAGAGAGCCAGGCCCAAACGTGACTAAATGGGACCAGCTGCCGCTCAGCCTCGAGCTGCAACACGCTATTGTCAAATACGGGTGAGTGCTCCTACCCCCAAGCGGAAGAGGGAGCAAGTCTGATCCCTCCCCTGCGTGCAGTATCGGCCCCCCAAACAAGATCCAGCAACGTGCTGTCCCCTTCCTCCTCCGGGGAAACGACATCATCGCCCAAGCACCCCCTACACAGGAACGTATTGCTGCATACGTGATTCCCGCTATCCAGATCTGCCTCAACACCCTCGCCCAGCGGCTCCCGACACGCGGGCCGACAGTACTCATCGTCTGCACCACCGTGGACCAAGCGAACCAAGGGCACAAGATGCTGAGGGACCTTGGTGGGCCTATCGGCTTGCGCGTCGCTATCTCCACCGGAGGGGGGAACGACGTCACTGCCGATCTGTGCAACTGGGCGCAGAACACCCCGCACATTATCTGCGGGACACCGCAGCGTATGCATGCGCTGTTCACCCCGCCTCAGGGAGGAGGTGTGAGTGGTGCAGATGTCCGCTTTCTGGTGCTGGACGAAGTGGACCAGCTCATTGCGCGCAACTTGCATGAACATGTCTTCAGTGTCGTCCGCCTCCTTCCTGCTGCGAGACGCTCCTCCAGTGGTCCAAATAGCGGAACACCAGCCGTCTCACCGGCAGCGCCAATGACCCCCGTGCACAACCCGTTCGACAACCCATTCCTCGGTGGGGCAGGCTCGCCCTTCCAACCAACAGTCCAGACGCCCGTCAACCGCCGCTTCCCCGCCATCCTACCCAATCTGGGATTGGACGTCCCCCCAGGTGTGGAACGGCAGACTGCGCTCTTCAGCAATACGGTGCCACAGGATGTGCTCAACCTTGCTAATGCGATCCAGATGCGGGAAGCGGTGCGTGTCCTCGTCCGTCGGGACGGGAACGGGCCGCATCAGGCTGGTGAGAGCGGGGGCGGGCACTCCCGCCCCGGGCTGAAGAACTACTACCTCTACTTGGCGTTCACCGCTGGTGGGCGGGCGGAAGCGCCTCCTCAGACGCCGGGTGGTGGGCTGGGGATCATCGGCAGTGGCAGGGGTGCCACAAATGCGGAAACGGAGATGGCCCGTCAGTGGAAGCTTGACGCTCTGAGCGAACTGCTCGAGGACGTCGATGTCAGCCAAGCGATCGTCTATGTCGGAGGGATGAACGCGCTCGAGGCGGTGATGTACCGGCTTGCGGGCAAGGGGCTCGAGGTCGTCCCTCTCGTGAGCGAGCATCCTTACTTTTCTCTCGTCTTGCGAGCTAATGTGAGAAATAGCACGGCGACATGTCCCAAGGTCAGCGCGTGGCTGCGTTCCAAAAGTTCCGGGTGTCGCACGGACAGCGACAGGGACCTACAAAGGTCTTGATCGTGTACGACGTGCCTGTCAAGGCGCCCGATGTGTACCAGGTGCCGCTGGTCATCAATTATGGTCCGTCTTCTCATGCCCTTATACGATGTTGATGCTGACGAGGTTTCAGACTTGCCAAAGGCTGTCGAAGAGTACTCCCCTCGGTATGTGCATGCATGATGTTGGTCGTTAGGAACAGGATGCTGACTCGCCGCTAGTGTTGCCCCCGCCATGTCCAACACACGTGGTACCAAGGACGGCGTGGTTGTCAACTTTGTCACTGCAACAGGCGGCGATGTGGAGATGCTGCGATCTATCGAGTGTTTCTATAAGTAAGTCGCCATATCGGAACCCGCTGCCTGCGGGCGCTCATTTCCTGACACAGGATCAAATGCCCCGAAGTCCCCTCCTCTCTTCGCGATGTGCTATAGTCAAGCCTTGTATCGTTAGCTTCTCCGGTCGGAACCTGTCTTCCTAGGGATCAAGGTATCATCACCAAATTACCAACAACCAACACTTATATATAACTCGCCGCCGTCTGCCGGCCTCTGCCCGCTGTCTGCGACGCATTCTGTTCGCTCTACCCTACGTTGTTCTTCGTTTGCATCCGTATTGCGTCTCCCTGAACATCCTTTGTTTCTCCGGTTTACTTTCGCCGTCTGGGTCGATCCTGTTGCCCCTCCTCTCATCCTGGCTTGCCTCGCCCCCTCAACTCAGCAGAACGTAGCTGGAGTAGAGTGTCGAATTGTATTTTGTACAAAAGCTTTGATCTCTATAGCGTGAAATTATCATCGTCGTTCCCCGTTGAACTAGTGCTAGGAGACATCGTGGAAGCTACAGATGCAGGTCGATCGTAAAGATGCGAAGTGAACCATCATCTCCGCAAGAGGCTAGCTGGTACTTCATTGAGCCGTTTTCTGGTTTTCTCGGGCTCCAGCGCAAACGGTGAATCTCCTGGACGTGTGCGAGACTAGGGCAAGATGAGGTTCAGCTTTATCTAAGATGTTGTTTGCTTACTCAGAGTCCAAAACCAGTATTTTCTTCCACTTCTCCGCCAGATTGTCGGATGTGTGTAGCTCAATGTGGCCAGTCTCCAAGCCAACAGCAAGCACATAGCTGCAGGACACATAAATCATCGTAATGAAACGGGTGGGAACAACGCACTGAGACTCTCCAAGAGAATGGAGGTCAACTGCTGTGGCGGACTCGCCGAGTTTTAGTGTGGCGACTGCCTTCCAAGCCGAAGAGTCTCGGCGCCAGATTTTCACCTGAGGTATTTATGTCAACGCTTCTTCAATGTTTCAAAGTCTGAGCTCACGGTCTTGTCCCGCGCCGCTGTGACAAACAGGTTGTCATCAGAGCCCCAAGCACAATCCCAGATGATGCGGGCATGACCTTTCTCTGATGAGGCGACGGGCAGGAACCCTGCGTTGTTTCAGTGAGCGACATTCAGTAAGGACGTGCGTGACCTACCCTCTGCGTTGAACTCATGGAGGTGCCAGCTACGATCCCGGGAGACCGAGAGGATATATCGACCACTTGGACTGAAGGCGATCCGCGTAATGGTCAACGCGTGGCCCGCTAAGGGTGAGCCAAACTGCTTCCAATTTGTCGTGTCATAAACCCGAATGACGGCATGATCCGGTGTTGTGGACTTGCACGACGTTGCTACAAATTTCTCGTCTGGCGAAACCGCCAACGCAAATAACTCGTAGCCGTGACCGAATATTTTCTCGATTTCCGGCCAAAGTGTTGCAAGTGCTAACTCGCTCTCTACGGGTGGTCGCTGCGACAAGGCAGCATCGTCCAATGGTGCCGTGCTTTCCTCTGTAACGGACTATTGTGACACGGGACGGCGTCTGAGTCATTCCACGCACCTTGACTAACAACCTTGTTGGACAATCCCAGTGCGGGGACGCTTGCAGCGGCCGGTCGATCGTCCTAGGCCAATTTTGTTAGGGACAACATCGGTTAGCGCGGTCGATACGTACAGCGGATATGGCCTCTTCGACTAGATGTGATGCGCGCAACGTGCGAACAAAAGAGCCGGGAGCATCGAAGACTCTTGCTACCTTCTCATCTGAACCGCTTACGAACCGCAGAGAATTAACGAACGCGCCAGTCACGGGATCATAGCCGTGTATCTGTGGCCGAGCCAACTCGTGCCAAGTGATCTCACCAGCCTTGCTGATCGATGGATCAGATCGCCATGGACCGTGTATTCGACTGGTCTGATCCGAACTGCAGGATGAATCAGATAAAGAAGAAAAGAGACATTTCCATGGCATACCTGCACGACAAGACGTATCGACCGCTGGGCTCCCAAGCTACGTCACGCACTGGTTGACTGTGGCCAGTCAAAGCGAGTGCCGGCTCCCATGACCCCGAGACACGATCTTCAGCATTCTGAGCATCAATGTGCCATCGGTGAAAGCTACCGTTCCAGGCATGAGCCAAGACATCACACCCGTCATTCCCCCAAAGAGCACCAAAGAAACCCATCCCTTTCCCGGCAATATCACCAAAGCGTTGCCTGTTCAACCAAATGGAAGAATCGGGATCCTGCGACCACATGATAAGCGAGTTGTCTGATGCAGACGTAAGGAGGACAAGAGGCTGCTTCGAGCTGGAGGGAGTCTGGAGCTGGGGATACCAGTGCAAGCCGGTGACCCATCCTTCATGGCCAAGCAGAAGGGCATCAAAAGTAACGGAATAGCGCCCGCTGTCGAACACCAAGACATGCGCCTTAGTTGACAGCTGACCACCTTCTGCGAGTGATTTCTCAAATATTTCAAGCAAGTCGTTGCTTAACCCCCCAGTTGCGCCACTCCTTTTAGATTCCTCCTGATGGATTTGCGCAATCGTCCACAATCGGATATATCCATCTTGGGAGCCGGATGCAAGAATAACGCGCATCGGTTGCTCTTGCTCAATCGGAGGTTCTGTAACAAACGAAAGGCATCGAATCCAATCCCCGTGACCCTCAAGCGACATGCGATATCGGAACTGGAGACTTGTTAGTCTGCTCCTTGTTCCCGTGACGATAACTTGCCTCTTCACTATCCCGCGCCCATATTTGAAGCTTTCTATCAGTGCACGCGACAGCTAGCACAATAACTAGGAACAGATCGGAGTTAATACCAATGCTCATAGTGATCAACTCACTGTTGGTGTTGGGAAGGATTATAAGCGCGAGGTCCAGAGAATACTTGCCGTTTAAATTCAGGATCTGAGTTGGAGCTTCTTTTTAGATGCACAATTTCAGCATATATTTGAAATTCCAAAGAAAAAAACTAACCCTCTGCTTTAGAAAGGTCCCACACATTGACCGTGCCATCGGAAGCGCCCGTTAGCAGAAGACCACTCTCCTGTCCTCCGTTCACAGCGCCTGATGTTGTCGTTGCAAGAAGACCAATGGAAGCTATTGATGATTTATGAGCCTTCAATCGAGCGCTGAGAGCCCACTGTCCTTCTTGTAACAGAGGTAAATCAGCACAGAGATGCAGGACGAACCACATCATCCACAACCCTCCAGACAATGACCTCCCCACCTGCGTCGCCGCTGACAAGTCCAAATGTTCTTTTGGTGCCTTTCTCATCCACTCGAGTTTGAAACTTAACTGTTGTTACAGTATGTGAGTGGCCTGATAATGTGCGCTGAATACCGCGACTAGAGTGTTGCTAGGAGAGATCAGGGCCGATATCCTAGCAGACGGACTGTGAACGATTCGTACAGATAACTGCCACAGGGCAATAAATTGACCAGCACCAAATGCAACAAGGTTTTCTGGGCTGCAATCTGCCGCATTTGAGAAGCGATTACAGCCTATTGAGACGTAGTCGAGGGAGATTTCATTTCTGGAGAATGCCATCCTGGTCAGGGTCGCTGCAGGAAATCTTGGGAACACGACGCGGCAAGCGCTCATAAATTTCACTTCGCACAGTCTCTACAAGTCAGTGACTCACAATGACAATCTATGGTATCGGCACGGACATACTTCGAGCCAATCGAATACGATTGCTAATGGAACGAAGAGGGCCACTGCGGGTCGCGAAGAGGTTTCTCACCGAGCAAGAGTTCGTGGCATTCCAGCGCTTGAAACACCCGTTTCCTCCAAGAATGCAGTCATGGGAGGAGGACACACGATATATGTGGTTAGCCGTGCGGTATGCACTATCATGTATATCACTAGACTCAGTCTGAATGCACCCTCAGATTCTCGGTGAAAGAAGCAGTGTTCAAAGCCGCTTTTCCTCGCCTGAAGCTAACGTGGAAGGATGTTGACCTCAAGAAGAAGTGGGGCAAACCATACGTTCGAATCCTTGATCCACTGAAGAAACATTTGATTGGGAACATACATGTCAGCATAACACACGACGGCGACTATGTCAGCACGTTTTGTGTGATTGAAAGACCGAAATGGACAGAAGATGGGGAGGAAACTGAGTGGGACGACCAACTTGCGATTCGTGGCAAACATTTGTCACCAGAACAAAAACCCGTGTCTTTCAGAGATGCTGTTTGGGGAGATGAAAAGGATGATGCCAGAGGAGGAGGTTCGGGACAACCGGTATGAACTTCCTAAGGAGCGCTCAGGTATTCGCTAAGGAGTCTGGTTGAGTTGGGAGCGTCTGAAATTAAAGAGTCAACGAATAGATGGTGCTATACATGATGTACACATTATCACATCATACCCTCATGTATCGTTATACCCTGCGATGGTAGTCAGATATGCAGCCCTCCGATTGCCATGGATGCGTACGAGAGATGTCCCCCATCATTGATTGTCTGTCGCAGCAGTTTGTGTTGCATTGACACCCGCTCTTGATTCTCCAACCGGTGCATTTCCTCTAAACCGTTTTCGCATATCAAGCTACAAGGAGCTTCATTAATTCTGCCAATGAGACAGATCCATGTGCTCACCATTCCCCGCTTGCACTCAAAGAGTGCTCGCCTCAAGTGCTGACAGGGGGTTGGAAGTTCGTCCTGGTGATGCGTCAGGCAATCGCTGGGTGTCCTGCCTTGTTTGAGGACGCAGTCTGAGTGAAGAATACATTCGGCGAGATCGTCACGGATTGGTTGGCAGGACATGCTGGGAACCGTTGAGCTGACAAAGTTGGCAGGAAGGAAAGGCTGCCAGCTGACCCGGGTAGGGATATTTCGCTGCATCGCACCTGCATGCAGCTGCGCCCCAACGCACGCCTATGTTTTGGAAACCTTCCACATCACCAATGTCTTTTGCACCTGTAAAAAGATCCATGCATATAGGCTGTCTGAATGATATTTGTTTAATAGCATTCTCGTTTTGAAGAGTATCGAGTGCTCTATGCAGCTTGCACCGATTTCCCACCAAACTCAGAGTGGCGTTGGCGACGCGGCTGCGTCTGTAGGTGCAGTTCGATGCAGTTCGATGCAGGTGCATAAGGGATACTAATTAGCCCAGGGAAAGGGCCTGGAAACCCTATCAGAAACATCAACTCGCTTACAATCTCCAGCCTTGTACACTGCCTAATTGCTTACTTCAATTCTCCAAGGCTCAATAGAAGAGTCATCAAAATACTTTCTATTATTGCATATTCTCAATCAAGTAAGAATCTGGCCGACTTTGCACCTCCAGGAGGTTGGACGGTGCAGCTGCAGTGCGGTCCCTGCAGTTGGACGGGGCGATTCCTCCCACCCCCAGCTGACCCTGACTTAGCCCTTTCGTGTTCTCAACCATGAACCGGGTACATCGCTTCATTCGGTCAACACCTCTATGCAGAACATACTTTACCGCCCCTACTGTTGCCCCTTCTGCAGCCATTGTACCCAATAGATCACTCCTCAAGATCTCAAGCTCCGATGCAACTGAATTTTTGAACGGCTTAACAACGAGGAAGGTGATTCCCAAGCCCAGTGCGGGGATCTTCTCGACGTTCATTCATGCTCAAGTACGCGGCCTTCTGCTTTATCTCCTGTCATGCCATCTAATGTGATACCAGGGCAGAGTGCTATACGACTGCTTCATATACCCGGTCGAAGATGGTTTCATAATCGAGTATGATCGTCGACCGATACTCTCCCTACGCGACTACCTTCGCCGATATGTGCTTCGGTCTCGCGTCAAGTTCACGGATGTGACCGACCAATGGAGCATTTACCAGCTATTCGGAGGATATGAGCCACCTATGAAATGGCAGTGGCAGTGGGGACCAGGTGGAGCGCTGGAACCCGTCTGGGAGGACGAGCCCGCGAAGGAGTTTCCTAGCGCTCTCGACAGACGAGCACCTGGGATGGGTAGAAGATGGCTGATACCGACGGGGGGAAAACGTGAGCACGTCGGCATGTCAATTGAATGTACTCTAAAGGCATTTGCAGCACCGACTAGCGGACAAGGTTATACGGAGGTTGACAGTATGGCATACACACTCCACCGAGTCATGATTGGCGTACCCGAGGGCGCGGACGAGATCGTTCACGGTCAGGCATTGCCATTCGATATGAACCTCGATATGATGGGTGGCAGTAAGTGACGTTATAATATTATTGGCGCAGATGCTGATTCTGCTCTCAAGTCGACTTCCGCAAGGGCTGCTACGTTGGACAGGAGCTCCTGGTTCGCACCTACCATACCGGCATTGTGAGAAAGCGGACGTGGCCCGTTACTCTCTACCGGAAAGGCGACGAACCTCCGTTCACTCTCATGATCTTGCCCGAAGGACGGCGTCTGCCCCCTCCTGGAACGGCCATCCCGATTCCAGGAGCACGCGGCAAGGGTCGACTGTTGTGTGCGTACCAAAACGTTGGGTTGGCTGTATTGCCACTATCGAAGGGTGAAAAGTCTAATGGTGAGGTGGAATTGGCCCTCAATTGGGAGGAGGATCCGGACTGGATGATTATGCCAAGGCATCCAAAGTGGTGGCCTACACGAGAGGGACAGCACGCGACGTTACGTAGTGAACAATAGATTATGCGATGTCATCTTAACCGGAACCAGTTGTATCTTAACAATGTCTGTTTATATAGTGTCCGACATCTTATTGTCGAAAACCTGCCCTTCTCCTCTTGACCAGCACCAGAACTCTGCAGTCGACAATAGAATTATCAAGAATGTTCATTCCTTCGCGTTTTGATTATCCCTAGCCCCGGGTTGGGGATGAGCTGCGCATAACCGGTAAGAAGGCGCACGTACACAGGGCCCGGCACACTGTTTTGCTCTAGAACGACGACCATAGATGCATCCTGCCTTCCTAACCAGCGTGACCCAGTTAAACGAAAGGATTTTCCAAGCCGCATTCACGCATTCTTACAAGCTTGCGAAAGGGCAGACTCTGGTGATATATGCGCAGCCGCCGGAGCGCGTGACTACCCTCTTCCTGTTCGTGACCGGTGCGTGGATTTGTGTCTTCGTTGCTAGTCGAGCTAACGTCATACGACGAAAATAGGCAACCCTGGCATCCTCCCCCTGTACAGGTCATTCCTCGATAAGATAGCCACTTCGGCGCCGGACATTGCCGTCTTCGGACATGCGCTCTCCGGGCAGGTCTCCGAAGTGCCAACACCACCAGAGAGCACTTACTCTCTAGACGCACAAGTCGACGCAAATATTGAGCTGTTTGACTCACTCCTCACCCTGTTCGATAAAAATGTCAAAGTTGTGTTATGCGGCCATAGTGTGGGAGCATGGATTATGTGTAACGTAAGTTGGAAATTGTGCGCACGAGACCAAATTGACGCCCGTCCTCATAGGTCGCCAAACGACGGCCAGACAACATCGACGCGCTATTCCTCGTCACACCAGCCATTTGCAATATTTCAAGCTCGCCTAATGGCCGACGGCAAGGGGTATGCTTATCTTCGTGTATGACGACTTGGCAGACGCTCATGAATATTCAGTGGATGTTCACCCCTTTTGGGCGCACAATTCTCCCCATATGCGCCTGGATGTTACAGCCCATCGCCTCTCTAATCGCTCCTTACATCGTCCCACCTGGCATCAACAAGCGTGTCGACGCCGCTCACTATGAGATGGTGAAGGACAAAGCATCCCAATTCATTTCGCACCCGAGCATCCTATACGCCGCGCTGACTCTGGCACAATACGAAATGCGAGAAATCAAGGAGCTGGATCGCGAGTTCTTGCAAAAGAATAGGGAGAAGATATTCTGTCTGTTCGCTAGAGTAGACAACTGGGTTGGCAAGAACCGGGCGGAGATCGAGGAGGCTCTGGGGCTCACGCCGGGCGCTAATACGCCGAGATCGTCGGAGGGCGAACCTGGTATCCCGCATGCATTTTGCTTTGGTATGAACTGTCTGTGTATTGAGCGTCTGGAGAGTGATGAAATGATGTTCTAGAACATAACATTCCAGTCGCCAACGTTTGTATTCGTTGGCTGGAGGAAAACATACACCGGCCGGAGGGAGCTCCGGCAGGTGGACCAAGGGAGGTAGAAAGCATTGTATCACCCCGCAACCTCGTTGAGGAGCTCTTCATGTAAAATACAAACAAAAAGGATGTGTCAAAAGGATGTAAGCAATGTATGTTTGCAAAGACTGTCAAACCCGAGCTCGAGTGAGTACGACCGAGTAGGCTCATTTTGAAATGCAAGACGTGCTGCCTAAGGACAGACAGCTTCCTTCTGTGCTCGATAATACGCCAATACTCGGAGTGTACACTTGATTCCGGCGGGCACCTTGTACGAGCTGAGTTGCTAGGCTCTCAGGACGAGAGTTGACTAGGCTGATGGAAGAAGGACACAGACCGCTACGTAAATGAGGGTACCGGTTATTCACGTGTCCCTACACGTGGTACTTTTAAATTGAACCTAACGATGACCGGCTATTGGAAGTTTCAAATGATCATCGAGACTCGTGACTATCATTCTCGCACTCAACAAACGTAATCGAAAGAGGATTTGTTGGATACGCCCAAGAATTATGTCCATTAGCTGTGCATGAGCACGCCTCAAATGATCAGCCTCTCCACTTTAGAATTTCGCCGATGTACACATTCGATTTGAGGCAAGCGTGCACCTTTGCATAGGAAACCGAACTGCGCAACATGAGAGATGATGATTCTGATGTTGGTAGTTGCCCCTTGACAAGAATTATCTGCTTCCGCCCTCTCCGAGCTTGCCATTTCCAAGTGGACGGATAGAACAATCTCCAATTCTCCACTGGTGGCTTGCGGCACCTCGTATGGTCAAAGAAAGGAAACGTCACGCGCCTGCCGTTGTTTTGCCGCACTGACTACGGGAGATCTAGAAGGTTGCAGGGCTGACCAGAGTTCGCCCAGGGCTAAAGAGTGGGACGGCGAATAATCGTATTAGTGCCGAGCAGCCTTCTCTTCCAGCGTCCTGTCATACTTCTCATCCGTCGCTTTTCGCCCCGTTCCCCCACCAAGCCCAGGCAGGGGTTATAAGCCCGGGATCCCCGATCCAGCAAGGAAAACTCTCAAACCATGTCGACCATCCTCGAGTACACCCCGCTGGCGACTATCGAGCAGGTGAGTGACAATACACGACTCTTGCGTCCAAAACTGAAATATATCTGCAGTATCACGCCGACCTGCAGCGCACATTCAAATCGAACAAATGCCGGCCAGAGTCATACCGTCGGACTCAGCTCCTCCAGCTCGCCTACATGATCCAGGAGAATGAAGCGCGTATGATCGATGCGTTCTACAAGGACCTTGGGCGACCGAAGGAAGAGGTCACATTCATCGAGACGCATATCATGATCGGGGCGTGCGTGTATGCGATCAAGAACCTGCGCAAGTGGATGAAGACGGAATATGCACCCATGGACATGGTGACGGGCATACTGACGCCGAGAATCACTAAAGATCCAAAGGGGGTCGGGTTGATCATCGGACCTTTTAACTATCGTACGTCAGATGTGTGTTGCATTCTTTGAATTATGTCACATTGATGAACAGCAATCTATTGCACGGTATCTCCCTTGATGGGGGCGATCGCCGCCGGATGTCCATGTGTAATCAAAATGTCCGAGATCGTACCCAATATCTCCGCCTTGTTTGAGGAACTGGTTGCAAAGTACCTCGACAACGACGCGTATAGGGTAGTCAATGGAGGGGTTCAGGAGACCACCAAGTTGCTAGAGCTGAAATGGGATCAGAGTGCGCAACGTCCAAACCGTATTATGGCCGCTTCTGACACACAATCCGCAGTTTTCTTCACCGGAAGCGGTCGAGTCGGAAAGATCGTTGCAACCGCAGCAGCTCAGCACTTGACGCCCGTCTCGCTCGAGCTGGGGGGAAAGTCTCCTGTGATTGTCGACTCCACCGCCAACATCGACGTTGCAGCGCGCAAGATCCTTTGGGGCAAGACGGTCAACGGCGGGCAAACATGTGTCGCCCCTGATTATGTGCTCGTATCGGAGGATTGCGCAGATCGTTTGGTAGAGGCGTTCAAGAAGACGTGAGTCAGTTTTCCTAGTCGCAGCGCGCGCTGAGCGCGATCAGGTATGCGAAGTTCTACCCCGAAGGTGCGGGAAAGTCGGCAAGTTTTGGACGGATCGTCGACCACAGGAGCTTTGACCGGTTGAAGGACATCATGGACCGAAGCAAAGCTGAGCTCCTATGTGGAGGAGAATCGGATCGGGACACAAAGTTCATCGCTCCATCGATATATGTCAACGTCTCCAAGGAGGACGCTCTGATGGAGAGTGAGCTGTTCGGACCTATTCTTCCCATTGTGACAGTCAAGGTAAGTTGCCAACAGAAATAGAAGCTCGACTGACGTGATGGGGTGCAGAATGTGCAAGAGGCAGTCGAGTATGTGCGGCAAGGGTACGCCGCACCTTTTCCGATGCGAATTAAATGCTTAATGACATTCAGCCCTTCACCGTTGGTAATTTATGTGTTTACAACCGACGGCAAGACAAAAGAATATAGTAGGGCATCCACATCATGTCGAACTTTTGCGCTTACGTGCCCATACAGTTCGGACTTGGACTCGGAGCGGCGGCCTGATGGTGAATGATGTCATCATACAGGCCGCTTCTGATCCTGTTCCATTTGGCGGCACCGGTGATTCTGGATGTAAAGCTGCACAGTTCTCTTCGGTGTTCTATGCTAATTTGTCATAGATGGAGCACACCACGGTCGGGCCGCATTCGATACTTTCACGCATCACCGAACGATGATGGAAGCGCCGCGCATAGCTGAGCTCTTCATGGCCCTGAGATATCCTCCATATACAGTAAGCGGCCTTCTTTTGCGTACCTTGGCTGGTGTGTGACTCAATCTGTGATTGAATAGGCCAAGAACTATGTCCGTCTCAGACTGTTTGCGAAGGTCAACATTCCCTGGGCAAAGCCGGGCTCAAAGCTTTCACTGCTGCAAAGATTGTGGATCAAGATCTTTGGGGCAGGTGTTATTGTTATGCTCGCTGCTGCAGTTGCTCAGAGGTTAAAGTAGCGAAAATCACTTACGCAGGGAGCGTGACGAGACGGGTGTATTCATTTGGAGGCGTATGCATGTGATGCGCAATGAATATAAAATGAAACAAAGAGTCGGCTTGAGCACCGCTCTCGTGTGCCCCAAGTTTACAGCGAGAACTAGAATTGAGACGTGCTTCGGAATGAGTTTTGGATTGACTATTAGTAAATGTTTATTGTTGTTTCTATCGCGGCTTATTAGCATGAAAATGCGGAGGCCAGAGGGATATAACCAAGTCCAAAATTCCTGTCCCAAGCAGTTATCCACATCATGTCGACCCTCGAGTACACACCACTAGCGAGTATTGAGCAGGTGAAGAGCAATAATTCATTTCCCATCCCAAGCTAAATCACCCTTCAGTACCACGCTGACCTGCAGCGCACGTTCAAGTCGAACAAATGCCGACCCGAGTCATATCGGCGAACCCAGCTCATCCAACTCGCCTATATGATGGAGGAAACGAAGCGCGTTGGATTGAGACATTCTACAAGGACATTGACGGACCAAAAGGGGAGGTAACCTTCGTCGAGACCGATCCCTTAGTTGGGGTGTGCGTATATGCGGTCGAGAACCTGCATAAGTGGATGAAGACAGAGTATGCGCCTTTCGATATGGTCACGACACCGGGCATAGCTGAGCTCATCATGAGCATGAGGTATCCTCCCTACTCCGTAAGCACTGTGACACTCTTATATCCGTACAACTATTAACTTATCTTATAGACCAAGAACTACTCCCGCCTGAGACTCGTTATGAAGAGGAGAATACCGTGGGCCAAGCCAGGTTCGAACTCTCTGATGCAGAGCGCGTGGACGAAGTTATTCGGGGCAGGTGTTATCGCTATGTTCGCTGCTGCTGCTGCTCAGATGTTAATGCAGCGAAAGTGATCAATGATCGATAGTTGCGTAACAAGCAGCAAGTATGACGTGGTTGTGTTTCGTTTTCTGGGGACAGTACGCGTGCTTCATTATAAAATCACCCTTCAGAACAAAAGGACTCTGCGCTTTGCATGTCTGTATGTCGATGGTCACCGGGCAGCGGGGCTAGCACTGGGATTTAAATATTCGGATTGAAAGTTTTAGATTGATTACTAGTGGTACAGTTGCCGGTTATTAATTCTATTATGCAAGTCAGCACAATTTTTATGCAGAATATAGTACTCACTTTGCTCCATCCTCAAGCTACCTTTATCGGTGCACTTCTTCGATCCACTTCCTCTTATTTGACCTCCTAAACATGTCTTCGGACGAGACGTCGTGCTCCTTCGGTAATCCCCTGATATTCCTCTCCGTCGCTGGACAAGGGAAAGCGACAGTAACGAGGGCGGCGAAGAATGTAAGGCCGAAGAGCGTGGAAGTGACTGACCGCCGTTGGGAGGCGTTCATGCGGAGGAGGCGGGATATGGGGATCATCTTCCTCGCGATGTTAGAAAGATCAGCATATCGAAAGGTGGGTAAGACGCACAATGACCGTGTACACCTTCCCATTCCACTGCTCCAATAAACCAACGAGCGTCTGTCCGGAAGGAGAGCAAACTGATCAGTTGCAAATGAACGGACGACTCGGAGAGAGGAGGGAGTGGCGGTGCGAAAGCCTTCCCTTAAAAAGTCCCGCTCGTCTTCGTCGGTCTTCCCCACAGGCGAGCCCTTTGCCGGCCCGACCGGTTATTGCATTCAGCTCCCTCTGCAGGTTCTGCATCAGTTGCATTTCCTGTATATTGCTGCTCAGTGTCAGCTTAGACTTGCCCCTGCTTCCTGCCCCTTGTAAAAGACAACCATGTCCACTTACACACATCCTGTCGCCGCTGTGACCTCCCCCGCTGCTTGGGCTCTGGTACGCGCAATTACTACTGTTCTGATGAGGTGTTGAGCAGAGCTGTGCGTGGTAGATCGAGGACAAGTTCAGACCTCATGCGAAGGAGATGCTTGCTAAGCTGGTCGACTTCGTCCAGGTCCGTGATTTTTCTCAACAACCTGATCGACTGATCCTATATGCGTTCTGTGCGAACAGAACGAAGTCGTGCCTGCCGAGCGCGTCTATCTGGCACAGATCCCCACAGATCCCGTAAAGCGATGGCAGACGATCCCGCCTATCCTGGACGAGCTCAAGACGAAAGCTAAGAAGCTCTGTCTGTGGAATATGTTCCTGAGCAAGACGCACTATCCGGATGTGGGGATCGACTTGACTAATTTGGAGGTGAAGGCTTATGCAACGTCCTGCAACTGAGGGGCTAATGAATGCAGTACGCCCTCATGGCTGAGGTAATGGGTCGCACAGGAGCTCTGGCCTCTATGGCTACCAACTGCTCGGCACCGGACACAGGCAACATGGGTGCGCGATGCCGATGCTTTGCTATCACACCTTTCTGGATTCTGAATGTGCACCAGAGGTATTCGCTCGCTATGGTACTCCTGAGCAGAAGAAGAAATGGCTTGTGGACTTGATGGCGGGAAAGACGAGGTCGTCCTTCTCCATGACAGAACGCTTCGGTATGCGGTGTGCAGTCATGCACCCAGTGGAATCTGACTTGACTGCTCAGTTGCCTCTTCCGACGCGACGAACATCAGGACGTCAATTCGGAAGGAGGGAAACGAGATCGTCATCAATGGACATAAATGGCACGTTATGACCACTGTATCTGATCTCTATCGCTGAGTGCTCTCCAGGTGGATCAGCGGCGCTGGTGACCCGCGCTGCGCCGTCCATCTCGTTATGGGCAAGTCCGACCCTACGAACCCAGATCGGTACAAGCAGCAAAGCATCGTAATCGTCCCCGTCAACGCACCAGGTGTTCGCGTCGTCCGACCCATGACCGCATTCGGGTTCGATGACGCGCCTGAGGGACATTGTGAGGTTATCTACGAGAATGTGCGGGTTCCAGAGAGCAACTTGATCGCTGGCTGGGGGAGGGGATTTGAGGTCATCCAGGGAAGGCTCGGGTTGGGTCTCGTTTACAGACGGCAAAGAGATAGAAGCTGATGATGAGTCAGGCCTGGACGCATCCATCATTGCATGCGCTCTATTGGCCTTGCCCAGCGCGCACTTGATCTCATGCTAGAGCGCATTACAGACCCAACGAGGAAGACATTCGGCAAGTACTTGCACGAGCACGGTACGTTTTCCTTCTGCCACTGATCGGCAGGGCACTGATAGCTGGATGTAGGAACGATTGTTTCCAATGTTGCTAAATCCAGGGCGGAAATCGACTCCGCGAGGCTTCTAGTGCTGAGCGCTGCGAACCAGGTACTACTAATCCCTCTCGTGCTAACGAACCTGAGCTCATAGAAATCCTAGATTGACAGGGCACGCGCTAAAGGAGCGATGAAGGAGATTGGTATTGCTAAGGTCTGCATTCTCAAGTAGAATGCTCGCAATGTGTTAATTGGGTACCTCAGTTCGTCGTGCCGTCTATGGCGCTCGACGTTGTCGACCGGGCGATGCAGTCTTTCGGCGCCGAGGGGATCTCGCAGGATACGCCGCTGGCATATTTCTTCTCCGGATTGAGGCAACTGCGGTATGCTGATGTAAGCATCCATTTTGGCTTCTTCGCCGTAGTCCCCGGTCGGCGGCTGACTCCGAACTTCTAGGGACCAGATGAAGTGCACATCCAGCAGATCGGAAGGAAGGAGATTGAGCGCGCGCCTGAGCTGGTGCGGCTCAGCCAAGTTGCGGCTCGGAAGGAGAAGCAGCTGTTTGCGAGCGCCGGGCTTGAGGCGAGGCTCTGAGAGCGCGTGGAGATTGAATGAGTTCGTGCAGTTGCATCTCCGGGCGGGTCAAACGCTTCCATGTGCCCAAGTCCGCGCGCCTAGGGATTTCAGGTACTCGGTTCTTCACTTGAGAGTTCAGTCGGATTCCGAATCTTGCCGTTTCCACTGGTTGCGCAGATGGATGATTCAAATACCATTTGCCTGTTGTTTGCTATGTACTGTGAATATCAAATGGACAAGAGAAATGTTTCGCTGAATTGTATGGTAAAAAGGTTCATGTGACGTATGCGACTTGACCGGAAGCAGAAGGGCTTAGGTTGAGGGACGCGGAGAAGTCTTGGCAGAATGCAGGGGCTAATAGAGGGCGAACGGTCAGGCGGTGGTTGTGCTAGCACTCTGTTTGCCAACGCACACATTATTCAAACTACCCTTCTCTTCTGCTTTTTCAGCATCCTCTCTTGCTTCCTTGAAAACTGCGTTATCCACTTTTTGCTTTGCTCTACAACCGCCCTGTTCACTCCACACGCCCCGCGCCCCATGACATCCCTTGCCAACACATCTCTCAACCCCGCCGCACTCGACTTTCTCGAGCGCATCGAACGACAATTCCATGTCGATGACGCACAGCTTCAGATTATCGTCGATCAGTTCCTGAAGGACTTCGAGGCCGGCTTGAATAAGAATGGACAAGCACTCCCTATGGTGCCGACGTATGTAACCCACCTACCTGATGGGACTGAGAAAGGGTGAGTATCGAATTTTCACTTAGATAGGAGGTGCTGAGTGCTGGCAGGACTTTCCTGGCTCTGGATCTGGGTGGGACGAACCTGTGAGTGTCTTTCGCTGTATGTTGGAGAGGTGTTGATGGACATCTCAGGCGTGTGTGCCAGGTCACTTTACTCGGAAACCAACAGGTCGAGATGAAGCAGTCTAAGTACCGGGTATCGGATGCGTTGAAAACTGGAGAGGCGGTTGACTTGTTTAGTGTGTTATCTCCTAAAGAGTTGAACGTTGGCTGATGACGTGCAGATTACATGGCCGACTCGGTCGACCACTTCCTCACAACTACCGATGTTGCACCTGGTGCTGAGGATGAGGACTTATATCTTGGTCTCACGTTCAGGTGTGCATGTGCAGATCTACTGCCGACAAGATCTAACCCCATTGCAGTTTCCCCGTTGACCAGACGGCCATCAACAAGGGCAAACTCATACACTGGACCAAGGGATTCATGGCCACCAATGCTATTGGGCATGATGTGATGCAGATGCTCCAGGATGCATTGGACCGACGACACATCCACGTCAAGTGCGCCGCGCTGATTAACGACGTACGATTCTTTCCATATCGGCGGAGCAATGCTGACCAGTGAGCGACAGACGGTGGGCTGTCTGCTTTCACACGCCTACTTTAGCGGTGGCTGTATCCTGGGCGCTATTTTCGGCACGGGCACGAACGGCGCATACGTCGAGGACTTTACCAAGGTGACAAAACTGCCAAAAGGCGCCTTTGAGGGTACGCTACCCAAAAGCATGGTGATCAATATCGAGTGGGGGGCTTTCGATAACGCTGTACGCCGATATTCTGCCGAACTCACTTCAATGACTTACGTAACTTTCCCACTGTTTATAGCGCAAGGTCATTCCGCGGACTATTTTCGACAACAAACTGGACAGGGAGAGTATCAATCCGCGGTTCCAGGCGTATGAGAAATGCATTTCCGGCATGTACCTCGGCGAAATCGTCCGAAATATTCTTCTCTACCTGGTTGACAACAGCATCCTCTTTTCGGGCTACAGTTCAAAGCAGCTCAACACACACTATGGCTTTGACACCGAACTCATGTCTAATATCGAAAGCGACAAGAGCGACGAGGGCCGGACGGTACGAGAAATCCTGACCGAGAAGATGGGCATCGACGACCAGTCAATCGGTCCTAACGACATCGCTATCGTTCGCTGGGCGTGCAAGATCGTCGCTGGGCGAGCGGCAAAGTTGTCTAGCTGCGCCGTCGCTGCAATTATCCACGAAACACATTGTGCCGAGGGTAATGAGGACTTCCTAGATGTTGGTGTTGATGGCAGGTACGTCGCGTGCCCTAAGCATACAGCTCCTTGTATTGACGCCTGGCAGTCTCATCGCTTTTTACCCCGGATTTGAGGATGGCTTACGCGAATCCCTGCGTACCTTAGTAGGTGAGAGTATCGAGAAGCGCACACGAATAGGGCTAGCAAAAGACGGCTCCGGTATTGGCGCTGCCTTGGGTGCGCTGGGTGCGCTGAAGGCGGAACGGGCGAGGGCAGGAGTGCCGATGGGTGACGGTGTGGGGTTGAACCACCACTTGCCGAAGGGGTTGGCGATGACTGAGATGCACCCAGAGACCGCCGCGGCGTGATGCGGGAGGAGGGGGCGCGTGAGCATGTGATGAGGAGGCTCAAGAGGTTGTAGTGAGGTATGTGGAGAGCAGCAAAACATAATTGTGGTTTCTATTGTACAATTGACACGAGCATACGAAGAAGAAAAGAATCAAGATTGTTGTACGCATCGTAGAAGTACCGTAGTCCAGCTTAGACTGATATTTAGATGCTGGAGATAAGGTCGCGCGACGATGCCGAGCAAAGACGTGAGCGCCGAAATAGGGACCACCGCCGGTCTCTAACCACCTTGTCACTGCCTGCCTCCTCCTTTCATCTCCACCCTTCTATCCTTTCCAACAGCAGAAGAATGTTCGGCCTCGGAAAACTCTTCCACTACGCGTTCGACGCGGTCCTTATTAGTGCCTTCCTAGCCGGTGTGCGGAGGAGTACAGGCCTAACGTCCGTCTCTTACCTGTCGCACTGTCTCTTGCTGATAGGAGGATAGCCCAGCATTAGCGCTGGTACCGAACAAGGATATACGTCGTGAGTTATTTCTGAGATGGCGTAGGTAGAAGAGTCCTGATGGGAGGGAATTAGAACTGCTGAAAAGCTATCTTGAACTCGGAGAGGTGCGCGTGTTGCTTCCCCCAGCATGAACACATCCTGACCGGTGCTCAGTACACCTTCGACTTTGCCGTAGTGGTATTTGGAGTAAGCCGTTGTATCCTGGCTTCGTTTTCTATGGGGTTGACACAGTACTGTAGCGGTCGAGCTCTTTTGAGCGCAAGCGTTAGACTTGACCAGGTCGACACATCGTTCTGTACCCGCGGTACCGTCCGGCTGGTACGGATTCCTCTACCCCGTCTGTACAGAATGAGTTCTCATGTTTGATCCAGGCGCTCCCTCCCCTGCCGTACAGGCTAGCTCTTTGTTCCCCCCGCTCATGTACAACGCATGTACACTATCATTTTGCATGTTCTGTCAATGGATTGATCACACACATATCCTTCGGTCCTCTGTTTCTATCATCTGGCTGGGTCCCAGGGATAGAAAATTCGACTGTGGTTATGGCATGTAGGGGTTTCAACCGGGGATCTTTTGCGGTCAGAGTGGCTGACTGAGATATGCGTAGTATCATCGCTAACGTCTAAGAACTTTTCTGTGGAGATGAGACAGAGATGCCTCTCTGAACCGCACATACATCAACTAACCTAATAGCAGCCTGCTTCTAGGGTCTCAGTTGACAATTAAGAATGCGATGGTCAGTGGGCCTATACTGATCGCTTTGGGTCGACCATTTGTACGACTTCTACGAAGGTGACATACCCTGAAGTTCTACAGTTGCAACGATCAAGAGCTGGGCGGGGACTTTTCAGTAGACGACGATATGACATATCATTACAAAAGCAGGGGTAGGCTGACACTTGCATACAGTAGTGTCCTTTTGCTCTCCTGGACTGCAGTTGGCCCGTATCAACAGCTCAGCACGTTCCCTCCTCCTGAGACCTGCCTTAGGGGTATCCTTCATCCACCGCTCGCCTCTCATGCTACTCTGCACAAGGCTTTTTAGCGTCTCTAAGTCTTCCATGCTTGAATTTAACCGAGAAAGTTGTATACAAAGAAATGCAGGATGATCGAACCAATGCAGAAGTCTGCGAACGCTCTGCATTTGATGTCAGACTTCTACTCGGATACAAGCGCTCAAGATCGGCGCACCTTTCTGGGGAAATGATTGTGAATTCCGACCGTGTTGACGGGTTGACTTGGGCACGGAAGGCGGCGGTGAGTACGAATTGTCCTATTGTGCTGCCGAACCTGGTATGACGTGTCAACTAGGGGACACAAAAAAAGAACAACGGATCATACCCAGCCAGAAAAGCGTTGAACGGGAAGTTTGTGACCAGTGCGCAATAGACGAACTGGGCAACACCCGAGAGCATGATGAAGAGGAGGAATGTATCGATGATCTTTACTCGCTTAGGGGTGTTGTCGACGTAGGACTTGACGAGATCTTGACCAGCAGAAGTGATAGCAGAGACTGGACTTTGCGATGAAGCAGTAACTGTTTTCTTTGGCCCTGCCATGTTGGTAGATGCTATGAAAGAATGTCGATGTCAAAGGTATCGTCGGTCAAGGGACTCTCCACGTCCTCTGTCACGTCCAACGCGTCGGCGATGAATGCGGCCATACTGTACTCGGAAGCAAATTTCAAAAAGAGCAGCCGTCCAAAAGTTGCCCTCATCCTGCAGCACCAGAAGTACAAGGCGCTCGTCCGACCTCCCTCCCTCCCCTCTCCCGCTCCCGCTCTCTGCTTTCTATCTAGATATTCTGTCGAGGAAGTGGAGATGTCCGCAACGCCGCTACGACGTGCATCAACCCTTCTGCCCTCTTTTCGTTCTGCCCACCACCCAACCTGCCGACATCGTGCTCCTCGAATACCCGCATCTTCTTTGTGTTCTGCTGGAAGAATAGCGAGGACATTACCGAGCACCCGCCGAGACCAGCATACGCTTGCGCCATTGCGTTATCCTCTGGATGAGCCACTTGGGAAGTTGTGGACCACGGAACAGTTGCGGATGGTCGCTGTGGACTATCAGGAGGGCTTACTGGAACGGCTGAACGATGAGATCAAGGGTGCGCAATTTCATTTTTGTCATGCCCTCCACTCTTTTCATCGTCTTTGGTCATGTTTGACGTGAAAGTGATGACGGCGGGGGCTCAAATGCTGACAGGTGCGCAGGGACGGAGTACGAAAACAAGAGCGTTGTGGACACTGTCATTGGAAGTGCTAAAAAGAGGGAGGATGCGCTCATATTCAATTACGCAAGTCAGGCCATGAACAACAGCTTCTTCCTTGACACCCTCGTGAGTATTCCTGTCTTCTGCGCGTAGCGCAGCGGTTTCCGGTCTGCTGACCATTCGTTTTCCATGTCCCTCACAGCTCCCAACCGTAGAAAGCACCCTGCACCACATGTCCCACTCACTCGACGAACACCTACGAAAGGAATTTGGCAGTATTACGCAATTTGTGTCGTACATGTCGGCCGCAGCAATGGGGATGTCCGGTTCCGGCTGGGTATGGCTTGCGATCGACCGACAGAACCGGCTCGCTATTATTGGGACGTATGGGGCAGGAACCCTGTTAATCAGGGAGAGGCAACAGGCAAACCCGATGGGAAACGATGCGCCCTTGCTTGGTGGAACAGGGATTAGCAATAGTGCTCCTACACCGCCGGGTACGTACTCTTGCCGTTACTATACCTCTGCAGGTTCCTGTGCCGCTGCGCGACTATGATTACTGAACCGTCTCCCACTAGGTAACTACTCAAATCCACAAATCCACACACCCTCAAACAGCACCAACTTCAAGTGGTTTGGCCAAACGCTAAACCCCATCTTCTGCATCTCCGTGCATGAGCACTGTTGGCTGAAGGACTATGGCGTGTGGGGGAAGGAAGAGTATCTGAAACAGTTTTGGACTGTCCTCGATTGGGGAAAGGTCTCGCGGTACCATGAGAGATGGGTGGAGCGGAATGACGCTGCCACTTCTCCAAAGAAGTGAAGCGCTCAACCAGAGCATGCAGCTCGAGGGCCATCACAGCCCAATGTTGCTCGGGGTTCAGCCGACTAAATGAGGATATGATGAAGCGCCCCTCATACCATACGTGCAGGCTTCTCGCGCTGGTGTGCAGTGCACAGTTCATTTACGCTGCAGTACCAGAAATCTGTCCTAATCAGACCCTGACCAACCCAATTGTTCCAATACGAGGTTGCGGTGTTGCCACCTTTTTTTCCCGTTATCCGTTCATTCCGGGGTACAGGCTATGCAATCAACAGTGGCGCGATCGTTGGTTGAATAAGAAGGCACACGACCCTTTATTCATGACGCGGAAAATCGGAAGCGCCGTTATCATTCACCTTTCCTCCCTAGCACACGATTTCGCATCATCACTCCAGCGCAGCTGTATTCGAATTCGTCAGCTCAATTGTCTACTCATATCATTGCGCATTTTTGCGCAGAGAATTCACCCGCCTTGCTGAATTACCGCAGCTGTCTTCTCTGATACCCCGTGCTGTATCGGAAGCCCCGCCTCGAGGCTGAAGGACATAGGGTGTAAGAGCACAGCCTTTCAGCGCCTTTGTAACCACGCTTGGCAAGCAAATCCGTTGGTGCGAAACAAGAAGAGAAGATTCATCGGGGGGCAGGGCATCGGTAGGGAAACTACGGGAGTGAGTGGGGACGTGTGAGGACAGGGTGTGCTGTTTATAGATCAAGGCGCTGAGGTGAGGCCGGATTTCCGCCGCATTCCGGTGCAGTCTGTCATCCGCAACATAAACCACCACCATCGACCCACAACAGTCTTGCTTCCAGCCAGCGACTCGCATCCGCGTCTTCTCCTATTTGCCAATCTTGCTGTGACGTGTGCTAATCAGCATATTCGAAGCTCAATCTTGAAGTCTAGGCGCCTGATTTCCTTGCCAGTGGGACACTGATCTTGATCGTTGTCCCGCAACGGAGTTCTTAGCATCACCACCTGGGGTCGCACCACCGCCCTGAACGCTGAAATCTCACAAGCGCAGACACCTCCCTGTCGAGATATATATGCGACAAACATGGCCAACGCGGGCCCCTCTCCCCCAAGCCTGCTAGCACAGACGCCCTCTAGCCGCATTTCCACTGCACCTGTTGTTGGACTAGGCCTCGCTCTTCCTGGATTGTCTGTTTTGCCTACGTCCTCGCAGTCGAGCTCTGCTGTTGGTTCGCTGTCAGGTTCAAGTTCTGACGAGTCCCTACCACAACAACAACGACACGCACGACATCCTCAACATCGACCCCCGCCTCTCTTGCTCAAGCAGGACCATCACCCTCTACGCACCGCTTCGCTTCCCCACCCCTTACAGAGCAGTCGCCAGGAGCGCCCATCTCCCCAAGACATTCCTCCACCGTCTGCCACCTCAGCCGTCACACCACACACCGCAACTTCCGCTAGCTTCAGGCATAGGAAAGCAAGCATGGATGTCGATACCTCACATCCCGACGCTCACGTAAGAGACGTTCACCAACATCGACAGCATACACCGACGGGTCGATACTCGCTCGATATGCGTCAGAAGTCCCGTTCCCGCGATCCCTCCCCTCCCCCTATATCAGCAAAGACCCCTATATCAGGCCCGTTGAGCGGCGCCGCTAGCTTTCCGCTTCTCTTGGCTCCTGCGGCGCCAGCAACACCAGGCAATGCCGCAGGAGACACCCAGGCATCTGATACCACTTCTCGATTAGAGCGTAAAACACTGTGGGCCCGAATCAAGCCTTGGAGTCTTGCGGCGCTGTGGGTGATGACCACCCTAGGCTTCCTGATCGCCATTGCGTTTTGGAAAAAGCAAGTCTTTTCCGGTATGTCTCCTTTCTTCTTCTCATGACTGGAATACGGCTCACAGGAGACAGGATTGGACCATTTGGCGACATGGCTGAGAGACCATGGCATTTTGGGATACTTCTTGCTGTATACCCTCATTTTCATTACGACCATACCCCCACTGCCGATGTACTCTACATTGATTACCCTGGTTAGTGGGATTTTCTTGGCTTTGGAAGGACGACACACTAATAGCATCACATAGGCCGGTTACTGCTTTGGAACCTGGATCGGCGCCATCATCTCCTATCTCGCTGCCTTAACTGTGCGTCCCTTTTTTCATGACCCTCGGTCGGGCAAGATTTACATCTGCTGTCTATCCATAGGGCGCGGTGGTGGTGTTTGTGGTGTCGCGGCGGTGCTTCCCCGGCGCCGTGCACAGGACGATTTCAGCAAGCCCGTCCTTTAAAAAAGTAATTCGGGCAATCGAGAAGCGCCCAAAACTCTTGTTTCTTATCCGCCTTGCACGTGAGTAGACATTTACCACCTAGAGCAAAAAGCTGATGGGTGACAGCATACCCTTATAATATGATGAACGTGTTGTTATCGTCATCACCTTATCTTACATTGTCGACTTATACCCTTGTCACCGCCCTCTCCCTCTTCAAATGCCTTATCTACACATACGTCGGCTCCGCGATCCACAGTTTCGCTGATTACCACACCTCGGCGCACAAGGGCGGCAAGCACACCACCCAGCAGCGAATTATGCACATCTGGGGCATAATCGGGGTTATCCTGTGCGTGGGTATCATGATCTACCTCACTTGGCTCGCGAGGCGCGCCGTCAATGAGGCAGACGATGAAGAGGAGGCTGGGAATATGGAGCTGGGGAGGGAGGTGAGGGACGGGGAAGCGAGAGAGGAACAGATGCCTTTCTTGACAACCGAGACTGAAAGTCCCGTGGCGTTAGAGGCAACAGAGGTGCCGTTCAGGACACAAACTCCTCTCTCACGACCGCACAATCCAACACTACAAAATGAAATCACCACCCGTCTAACAGCACAATAACGGACGAAGAGCATTGATCCCCAGATGGAGCATTTTCCGACCTGAAGGGCGGATATGGCACGAGCGGAGGACGGTGGTTGTATCCCTATCAAGAATGAATTTTAGCAATAATCGGTCTTTTTTTGTTTCTCTTCATGTTATTCACGATGCTTGCATATACGGACAATCACGGTACCCCTTTTCATATTAGGGCAATCACGTTGTCAGCTTTCATATAAGGGTTTTCGAACTTCGTGAGACCCAGTCCAATCAGACCATCTCTTCCCAGTGGATCATTGTGAGAAACGTCTACGGAAACGGGTTTCCCGAGACATGTTCGCCGACGAGTGCCCGAGTAGGCACAGTAGCCCGCTCCTGGAGCCTGGAACCGCCGTTCCACCTGCATCCCAACGCGTTGCTTGCACGCACCAGCGTTTCTTTCGTGCTGACAACACACCGACGACAAGTCAACAATCCAGCATCAGCAGGTCGCTGTTCCTGTCCTAGAATCTCCGCCGATACCCACGGTGTCCCTCCCAACCAAGGATATGGGAGGCCCCGGTGATACGGATCTTATCGCTCTATTCATATGTCACACCGGTGGCTTCCGCTCATCCCCATCCACCTTGGTTTCTTCTCCCGCTCCTGGCTGATTTCAAATCCCTGGGAGCTCTAGGAAGCACTTCTGCCCACCTTGCAGCTCTCACAACTCCTGAGAAGATGATCCCCCTTCTGCGGCTTCCTCTGTCTCATGCTCCGCGGGCTCTCACGGGAAGTAAAGTAATATATGCCGGGTACGGATCGGGCACCCGATGGTGCTGACGCCCACTAAGGGTTTGATAGAAGGTTGCGGAAAGCTTGATAGGCTAACCTATTGAAATGCACACGTGTGCCGAGAGCGACGCATTAGATCGAAGGATGGATGGAAGGTTTACACGCGGTCTGGACAAGTGGAGGGTGGTCTACCTTATATTTAGATATACATGAGTTGGACGGGCAAAAACTGCTTCAGGAAATAACCAGTGTGCCTCGCCAGAAATGAAATAGTTGCACGTGCAGACAGAATTTGGGTCATAATTGCAAGTTCATTACTACAAATCGGGGACCGATACAGCGTTTCACAAAGAAACTGGTTGCAACTTGAAGGAGATTTCCACCGAAGGCCCAAATGGGGAGGGAGTAAAGATCATTAACATGAAACGAACACACTGCAACTCACAAAACAACGGGTGAAAGGAGGCACACAATGGCACACCGGTGACATTGCAGCCCAGACGAGCACAAAAGCATCACAAGAACGAAGCAAATGGGTAAACAAAGTCCATTCACGCGTTGGCGTGATAGAAACGTTTTCGGCATACATCTATGTACGCCGGCATGCACTGCCTGGACTCCGCTGCAAAACGACCATCGAGAACAATTGGCAGAGCCAAGCAATTATCACAAGGGCAGCCGGAGACTCGGGCAAGCGACATGATGACAGTACCAGATACAACAGAGAGACCAGACCATCCATAAGAGCTGAGAGAAATGAAATCGAAATCGAGACCTTGAAGTTTTGACTTTCCGAACGCCATCCGTCCAACCAAAGCCTTTTACCGACAAGACCGCATTGCACATTGCGCGACCGAGAGACCAGTGCACGCTGGGTATCTTGACCTTGCCACTCGTGGGTGCCGAGGGTGTGGTATCCAAAATGCAGCATTTATGGGCGGATTCAGGCCGCCTCCATCCGGACCGACTCGTGCCCGTATGGCTGAGACATGCTGTCTGCTGGCGTGGGAGTGGCCATAGAGCCGCGGGACCTTGCACTCAAGGAAGAGTGTCCTGTGGAAGGACGAACCAAGTGTGGTTCGTTTCCCTGCGATACGGGGATAGAGTGCGCAAAGTCGGCCGTGGTTGGCGAAGATGCGTACGGCTCCATCTGCATACCCATAAGCCCCTTCGTCGGCTGTCCGTTCATGTCCATCGTCATCCCCCCACCAGGAGCAGTGAGCGGGCGGAGGGGATAGGCGCTATAGCCACTTGCTTGGCGCGGGCGACCGGCGCCAGGAGAAGCTCCAGCGCCGATGGAGGTGTTCGGGCGGGAGAGAGGGTGCATCGAGTGTTGTTGCGGGTTGGAGAGAGGCTGCTGGTTCGCATGGGATGAGCGGGGACGGTAGTCGTACGGCGATTGAGGGCCGTTCGGGCCTGCAGAGGCTGGGCCAGTAGACGTCACCGAGGAATGCGATTCCATGTCATAACTCATACCTGGCATGGAGCTCGCCGTACTGTACGCCGTCCCCGGACGAGTTGCCGCGGGGGACATGGCGTTGGTATAGGGCGAGTTGGAAAAGGAGCCATTAGCGTTTTGCGTCTGGATGGCGATGGGAGGAGCACCGGTGGCGGTACCTGGTCGAGAATAGCCAGCAGGATTGAGCAGGGAGGAGAGGTTGGAGTGCGGGGTACTCTGAGCGTGCCCGTTCTGTCCTTGCTGAGGGAGACTCTGACCATTCGAGCCCGCGTTAGGGAATGACGGCCAGTTAGGGTTCTGCGGCGGTTCCTGCTGCTGGTAACTTGAACCCGGGTACGAACTAGGCACCGCGCTAAAGTTACTCTGGTGACTCTGGTAGTGGGGTGAAGTGGGGTCATCGGTAGGGGAAGTGCCATAGGAAGAACCGGAGTTGTACGTAGCATTGGGGTATTGTGAGTGCATGTCTGGTTTGATCATCAGACGAGAAGTTTAAGAAGCAGATTATCTAAGGCTTACTCTGGGATTGCTGCGGATAGGCGCCGTTCCATGATGGCTGCTGTGAGCCATAACCACCTGGTCCAGCACTCAAAGGACCGTGAGAAGACATCGGACGCGTATTCACGTGCAACGAAGGCTGGGTGTATGCCCTAGCGCGGTTTTGGTGTGCGGGGTTACCCTGCATGCCCAATCCTTGGGGCATCATCCCCGTTCCTGGACGAGACGCAGTCTGTGGGTATCCGCCAGGCTGCATCCCCGGGTGAGCCCCAGGCAAGCCAGGCTGACCATGACCCGGCGGAGACATCTTCTTCCGACCCTTGGGTTTGCGGTCTTGCACGCGCCGTTTGAAATTTGTAACTGCGTCAGTTCCCCTCGATGACCTACGCAGTGTTGGGTGTGCTACATGGGAATGAGTGAGACTGAGCGGATGAGCTGTGTGATGAATTGACATACACCAAGTACTCGCGTCTGGGTCCTCAATTCCAGGGTTCAGATTCCGAAGATTGGCTTTCCGGAAGAAGCCATAGATCTTCCACCGAACCATTAGCATTTTGACTAGATGTATGCACCACAATATATGCGCATGTATTGGAGGGTAAACTCACGTTCAACTGCCGCGTAAAACTCGCGAAACGCGACTGACGGTAAACAGAGGGCAGGACGTGCAACGCGAGCATCTCGGGACGCTCCACGATGATGTGCTCTCCTGTCGCGTCCCACCGTATCATAGACTGGTACTCTGGCTTCTCCAATAAATCATATAATTTGGTTAGGAACGACGTCTGCGCCTTGGGCTGGGACTTCTTGCTCCCCCCTGGCGAGAGCGATGGGTCTCCATTCTCATCATGTTGTTGAGAGCTTGACCCACCATGCTCTCCGTCGTTGTCCTCCTCAGGGGACGAGCCAAGATCGTCGTCGCGGGGTGCGACAGGTTGCAAGGGGTACATGGATGGGGCGGGAGCGTTGACGGAGGAGGATGAGGAATGTTGTGGCGCGGATTGTTGTGAGGATGAAGAATGAGAGAAGGCCATCGAGTTTTGATAATCCATCGTCGATGATGGAGGTAAAGAAGGCGGTGAGAAGGCGTTCCGTGAGATGGTAGAAGGCTGTGAAGGGGAGGCTGACCCAAGTGAGGGAGGCGGGATGAAGAGGAGGGGGAGGAGGAGGGAATGGGGAGGGGGGGAGAGAGGAGGAGGTTCAGAAGGCTGAACCAAGGGACTGAGGAATTGGGATGTGGGCGGAGTGGGAGCAAAAAGTAGCAGATTATAAGCTCGCGAAGGAGGAGACAAGGGGGGAAGAGGGAGGAAGGAAGGGAACCAAATTGGGAACAACCGTGCGGGGGAATGGGAGAAAGAGGAGGAGGGGGAGAGTGGGCCCCCCTTGTATGTACTCTTCAACAACAGGTAAACGCGCACGCGTGAACGAAGAGAGAGAGAAAGAGGGGGCGAAATGATGACCGCATTCGATTGGTCCGGTCCCTGCTTTGGTCGGCTTCTTCCTTTGCCTTGATTGGAGAACACAACGGCAAACCGGGGGAGGGAAATCGGCGTTTGGGGGTCACACTCCATATGCGGCAATCTCAGCGACGCATCTTTGGTCTGGCCACGCGTCGAGTGGAAAACTGGGACCCCCCTCCCCGCGCCCTCCTTTGCTCCAGTGATGTGATGCAAAAACACACCTGGTCTGCCATGCAATCTCGTTCATCTTGGACTTCCCCTCAGAACCGTCAATGCCGGCACGCGAAAAGGCGAAGTCTATCTCCTCGGCGGAGAAGGTGGCTTGCCTCCGTTTGCTCCCGTCAGACCGGAGCTTCCATTTACTTCCGCTGTTTTCACACCCAGGCGCACTCGAAGGAACTGGTCCATTGATTCCATCACCTCTTCCACATTGCTCGACCCGACCACGCCGGGTTCGCAGAGGACCCCGGGAACCTCGTTGGTCACTCCCTGGGTCTCGAATTCAAAGCCCTCGCCCCATGCGGCAACTCCTATCCGGTCGTCGTAAATAGAAATCGCGGCGCCGACTCCTGCCCTCTGCCTGGCACTCCAGCAAGCACATTTCCCAAGTCCTACATTCAGTAATCCATGTTCCACGCTTTACACGCCACTGCCGGGGCATGTTACGGTCAACACATCGGTCGAGTCCGGGAGCACAAAGGAATATTCCACAAGCCCAGGCTGTGTAGATAGCACCCGAACTAGCCTCCAAAGGGCAACCAGACCATTATTGTCTTTTCTCGTTGCTAGTTCACGATGTCACTATCTCGACTGGCCATCAACGATAACATCCTTACTACGACAATGACGACCGTGCACGCCTCGCTGGCAACCTCCAAGATCTCCGGAGATACCCTTTCTCAACTGTCGAGCGCCGTAGGTAGGCAAGGCAACGGTAACAACGATAGGGATAAGCAGAGTCGTCTGATACCACTAGGTCAGTAGCAACACATCTGCCAGTCCTTCGGAGATCTAGCTCAGAGCCCAGGGCCAGGGGCGACTGGTGTACGAAATTGTAAGGTACAGGTCGATGGCGAGTGACAGCTGCTGTTCGGGACCATACAACACTAGGAATGCGAACCACAGAAGCCAAGACCGTCCGTCTTCTGCGAAGTGCAGGGCGTCCGAATTTCTCACCCAACCTTCGTGTTGCACCCCGCCTCAGTTTGTTGGACAACGACGATCGCATGTACTATTTCTCAGTCGAAAAAAGCTTTCTGTGCTCGACCGGACCTGATGACCCAGTGAGGATGGCCTGATTTTGCTTACAAGGCAATACTCATTTTCTCGGTGCATGTTGGGGCAGGAAGATGAGGCCAAATTCGGCAGGGGTTAATCATATTCGTCCCCTTTACGTACATGCACGTTTGCCATGCGAAGAATTGTGAATGAGGCTAGAGCGGTGCTATGCGATGCTGAATAGGGGAATCCTGCCTCATTGCTGTTTCCCATGTCGTGAAACCATCCAATGCACCATATAAGACATACTGGCCGGTGTCCACGGCGGGATCACACATCACGCTGGACCTCTGACCCTTTCTGCATGAGCCGCAGGCGGGGAGCAGACCCTATTTGGGTGTGTGGCAAAATAGAATGGGAAAAGGAATATTCATACTGGATCGTGCTGGGGGGTGCATCGAACGGAAAAACTAATCGCGGGATATGCGCATGATATCAGACGTTGAAAGATATTGCACTTCCGGGAATGCGGACCGTCAAGCACCCTCGAATTTCTTTCTACGGGCAGTATTCTAGGCATTGGAGCCTGGAGCGTCATACCAACTGGTTGGAGCAATGCACCAATGGTCCGAACGGTTGGGAAAATCATTGGCCCAACATACCAAGACAGTACTATGGCCGGGGATTGCCAGGTAGTTTGTTTACGTTTGGTCACATCCACATGCGAAGCATGTCATGGGACTGACTCGTTGCACGCAGGGGCGGATGAAATGACCATCGTCCAGGCGTGTGGTAGACCGGCTGAAGATTCCACAAAACTCGTTTACCGAGCAGTTCCGTGGTGTTGAGGTAGCCGACGCGCAGGGTTCCATCATCGTGTGCAAACGTAGCGCGTTGTCGCTAATCTCCGATGACAAATGAAGAGAAGCAGCCAAAAAGCCGCCAGGGGCCTGATCGGGCCTAAGAAGAAGAGACCGTGGTGTTCACATGGGAAATCCCAACAGACCGGTTATACCAAATTTCGACCTGCTGATGGATTCCATGATGCTTGTATGTTGGTAAGGGTTTGCCTTATCAGAGATGTGCATGGGATCTCCTGGTACAAATAAGTCGTGCACCGGGTAGAGGAGGCCATTGTGGATGTATTGAGTTGTGGGTCTGAGCGCAGGTCACCGCTGTAATGTTCGGCCGAGATGCCGGAATGGCAAAGAAGGAAAGGAGAAGAAGTCCCAGTAGAATTCTGAAGTGAACAACTGATGTCTCGGGGTCCTTGGGGGTTAGAGAATGGTCACCTGGGTCGCGGCCCCGGCGCAACCCGCAGCCACGCTTCCCTCAAGCGGCGTATTTGGTTCGCTTCTCTCATGATCGAAAAGGGATTAAGCGGAAGCGCTTTCAGTCGGCATGCGATGATCGGACACGGAGCGGAAACAGTGCCATCGGTTCACATCATGATTCTGGCCCAACCCTTTCCACGTGGACGTGCTTCCATTGCAAGCTTCTGTGAACCCACAAGGGACCGCGTGGCCTGCGATATGCCACATACCCCGCACACCGAGCCCTCTTCCACCCAACGACGTTGATATGATTGAGAAGTCAGTCATGGTGGTCAATTCACTTTTCATTCTGTTCAAGCTTGATGCACGCGCTGACTTCGGGCTCATCCCCTTGCACCGTTGAATAGTGTGTATCCAATTTCGCCGTCGCTTCATCTAGTTCGGCTCACTAGTTCAAGTTCCGGCCAGTTGCATCATTGAAGGGTAAAAGCTTTAAACTATTTCGCGGACATCATCCCGTAATGTCAGTTATGGGATTGAGCCACAGCGATGACCGTGAACAGACTCCGTTCGTCATTGGTTGCAATATGATGGGGTGGAATTACCAAATCCTCGTCTTCACAACTCGCACCCCCCGGCGGACCTCAGTCAAAGTCCCTGATCGGTCCTTCGGGAATCGGCCGAATGCACACACCAAACCCCTTCTTCGACATCGAGCTGGATGACTTCTGCCCCAGCTTTGCAGCAGCTTCTCCTGGCTCCCCGATGCAACCGATAAGGTTTTCTGCCAATGGAACAACGACACGCGAACTCTTCAGGGTCCCCCTGTCGACTTCTGAGCTCTCCTTTGCCAGCTTTCAGCGCGAGGCGAACCTGCCCGAGGTGTTTTTGCCATTATGCCTGCGTTGTTGTTGTTTCTGGTGACTTCTGCACCTAGATGTTCGGCAAAGGTACCGACCGACGGCACCTTCCGAAGGCCTCATCCGGCAACTCATCCTCCACACCACAGGATCGTTCCGCCCTACTGTCCCTAGAGTCACATATAAAGGCGGACACCGCGAAGCAAAATGAAGAAGTCCCAAATAAGGAACTTCCGGAAGACCCGTCCCCAAATCGCCGGGGACTCAGGAACGGAATACAACAAGCTCTGGCATCTGCACGCTCGTCTTCCTTTGTGCGTCTTGGCCCCGTTCACAACCCGGTGACGTTTACCATCCACATACCCGGACATCAACTCGAACTCTACACCGAACAGTCATGCGATCCAGTTCCCGTTGCAGGTTGTGGGTTTCATGTGCCACTGATCATCAACGGAGCCGTAAAATCGGCATTCCCGACGCAGCAGGAGCGCTACGTAAACGAAACGTTTGGGGCCGTCAGAGCGATTCCCTTGATTGGGTGGCCGAAGACTCATCATGGCTGAATATGATTATCAATTTCCTGACATTACCAATCTATCATGTCCAACCGGCCATTCTCGCACATTTTTCTGGGACAACAAAATGCCTGCTCGCCTAACATTGATCACTTGACTATTTTGATGGTCAGAGGCTCCACGGTTGAGGTCCGGCGGCCGCTTGCGGCTGCATGCTCCGCACGCTCTCCAATCTCGCGGACACCAACTCTTTCGCGACAACCACAAATTTCCCAACGAATCAAGCGGGGTGGAGGTATCTTTCGCGACCTTTCTCACTATCGTTGCGCCGGATTCTGATCGAAATCCCGAATCACCGCGGACAGCGATTCCCAGTCAAAACACAAATAAGGCTTCGCGGGTCCTTTCTCACACAACACCAAGCTTGTTATGGCATCTTCTCGTTCTGATCTGATAGTGACGCAGCCCACGGGCCAGGAACCTCCAGCTGAAAGGCGCCACAACACTACGCAACGACGCACGGTCTCGTAGCATCGCGGGAGCGGTGCCGGGTACAATGTCTATTTTCGCCCACCCAGGTTTCCCGCGGTCATGACTCGTGATGTTTTTCTGTCTTATCTTTCGCGGCACCACAGGAAGGCGCAGTGCTCGCTTGGAAGCCAGACAGCGAATGGAACAGAAGCCCGTGGGAGGCCGGGCAGCTGCCCAAATATGGTGCAAGCAAAGGAAGGCTCAATACTGGTCCGCCGGTTCTCGCGGATGTTTTCCGCCGGGTTGCATTCCTCTCCTCGTGCCTTCCTGCAAGCGTACAACTGCTAGCCTGAATGGGCCATTTCTCACGAGAGCATTGGACGAAAGCATCGAGCACAAGCAAGCGCGTGAACCTAAAAAAATCGTGAGTTGGGGTCGTTTGTTGAGACCCTCTGGAGCACCTGGACTCGCTAATTGTTCAGGAATGCCGGTCCGCCTGGGCGTGTGGGGCAACCTTTTGGCGATGCCTCCTAGTTGGTCCCAGAAAACTGGTGTGCAATTACTGCTGGAAAGAAGGACAGAAATTCTCGAAATACCGCGCTCTGGACTTCCCGTAGGCAGAACCCATCTCTCCCTCCCCTTCGATCCCTTCCAGCGTCTTGTATCTGCCAACAGCCCGAGACGATCTCCTCCTCGCATGCCCTGAAAGGGAACCCATACCCAGCGACTGACTTCCCAATCTTATCAGCTACCCATGTGCTTTCTTGCCCCTCCTATTTGACTCAGAAGCGCGACAGGATGCCAGCGTGCTGGGGCGGCTTCGGGAGAGGATCGACTGGCCGTAACTGGTGGAGCTTCTAGCGCAAGGGATGTGCGACTAACTTGGAGTCATGTGACGTTGTCGTGTCGCGTCTCTGAGGAATATTCAGCGATGTCACGAGACAGTATCAGCGCCCAGGCTGTTTCAATGTTGTTGTAGTGCGGCGCGACAGCCGCCCTCCGCCGCATGTCTCAAACTGGCGTCTTGGCGAAGTTGCCACGTGTCCTAAGCAGGCTGGACCGAGCTACTCAGCTCTTCGCAAACAGGCGCTTGGATTGACGCCCATGCACGACTTCGGGACGTCATGAATTGCTGACAACAGAAGTCTCCGTTGTCAATGAAATTCTGTTGTAGCCATCCAACCTCGTTGTCTCAATGAGGTGGTGGTCTATGTCGATTGTTAGGACAACACTTGGCTCACGGTCGCTAAGTGTACACAAGGTTCTCACTGGTGCACTATGACTGCATTAATTGGCTGTTGACAACCACCTCGTGTATGAGGCACGACAAAGTACGTCATGACCTCATTGCACTATGATTGACTATTTTTGGCGGCTTGTTATGTAACTCTAACGAAACAAAATGTGATAGCTCGTCCGTCGTCTTTGCAGCAGGCTTCAACGACAGGCAGTGGCAAGGCAATGTGTGTCGTTGCCGAAATTCGGCGTAAAGGACCCGCGCATTCACTGCTGACAGAGTTTGGCCGAAGTGCCGTCTGTAACATGTTAGGGCAAATTTCGGCCCTTCTAAGGGCCGGTGCGGGATGCGATGAATGCAAGAGATGAGAGTTCTTTGCAGAAAAAGGCGCGCTTGGCATGGAGCCGCCTGTGGATGTTTCCCCCCAGTTCGAAGAGAAAGGCAGAAAGGCAAGAAGAGGTGAGAATTTGCCGCGTGCAGCGCCATAGCCACTGGGAAGTGTGCCTGACGGTCTGCGTGGTCTTGACAGGGGGTCTTATCAACTGAAAGGACATTGACGGCACACGTTGTTCGATTGAGACGGACGGGCGGTGCTGTGCAGGGGTCTGGGGGGCTCCTTTCTTCACAAGTTTTGTATTAGGGGGTAATTGCGGTGGATGTTGTTATTGTTGACAAAGTGCGCCATTTTGTGAGGAAGGGTCGTGCGAGCTCGGGAGTGGGAGGTGGCCGATTGGAACCGGTGATGAAGGTCTGGAAGGTGTGCTGTTTAGGGCATTAATATATGAACAAGTGCGACAAGTCTAGGCAGTGACGAGAAAAAAGAGGGAGAGAAAGAAAGAAAACGAGGGGGCTCGCACGCTTGACGGGAGTGAAAAGTAAGTTGAAGGGTCCATGTTGCACTGTATCCAATCAGATCAGGCGTTGACGTCCCCTTCGTCTCCATGTCTAAGCCACTGTCTCTCTCTCCACTCGATATACATCTCACCGTTGACCTCTACCTTCACTCTCGACAGCACTGACGACAACTAGCACAAGCGCTGCCCTTCTCTCTTCATTACTCGAATCGTCGATTATTGCGCAGGTCACGCACTTCTTGCTTCAAAGCCGCACATCTTACTGTAACCATCGGCTTCATCTTCACCCCTCATCACCCTCCTCACAGAATGCGATCAACAATGACCATCACGGCACTACCGTCACCACCTCTCTCTACCTCAGAACGCATAGAGAGAGGCTGGAAATCCGTATTCAGAATTCCAGGCACCAAACGGACTCCGTCACCGGCGACCACTCCGCACACCCTGCAAATAGACACCTCAGACTACATGAGCGTGCACGGGTATGAGGAGGGTGCGTATCGCGCATCTCCAGTCGCTGCAGGCCGTAAAGACTTCCCACCAACCCCGTCAACGTCATATGCAAAGTCGGAGGAATCGTCCCAGAACCCGTCGCTCGAGTCGTCTACCTCGCATAGCGTGCTTCGAGAGAAGAAGTCGTCTTCTCAGTTAGCCACGCCTTCTCTTGGCAGCTCGACGCGTACACCTTCCCTTTCGCCAACAGGATCCTCAATACCTTCCTCAACGTCCAATTCGCGGCTATCAAACAAGGGCATTAAGCGCCAAACGTCGCGTCTTGCCCTTTCCTCCACCACACCAAGGACACCAAGATCCAATACTACCAGCATCACCGTCGTTCCCGGTCTTGGAATCAACCTCGCCTCTCCCCTTGGCTCACCCAAGCAGGAAAAACCACCCACACTGTCAACGCTATCCCCCAAAGCTGTCTCCCGCTTTATACGGCGCGTCGCATCCGCGCCTAACGCCAAAGCACTCTTCCAACCCAACAACGGGGGCTCGCCCAACAGCACACATAACACTCGCAATGGCCTGCTATCCCCACCCATGCCAGACATACCCCCGCTTCAGCCGGCGCTGGATGAAGAGCCTGCACGTGGGAGCGAGAAGACGGACAGCATGGACACTGCCTCTTCAATTGGTGCGGACGGGCTTAGCGGACCAGCATCGATGATGAACCTCTCGATACCTCCTGGTCGGAGACGGGCAAATACAAAAACTGGCCGACCACCGCCGAGCCCGAATATGTCCGTGGGCAAGCCGCCAGGTGCGAAAGAGGGCTTCAGGAGAACATATTCGTCTGCCTCGATCAAGGTGCGCCAGGTTGAAGTGGGCCCGAGTAGTTTTCAGAAGATTAAGCTGCTGGGGCGGGGAGACGTGGGAAAAGTATATCTCGTGAGGGAGAAAAAGTCGTCCAAGCTGTATGCGATGAAAGGTGAGGTCGTCTTTCCCCATTTGGGAGCTTGCGTGCTGAGCAGGACCACAGTCTTGTCGAAGAAAGAGATGATAGAGCGAAAGAAGATCAAGCGTGCCCTGGCCGAGCAGGAAATCCTCGCTACTGCAAATCACCCATTCATCGTCACGCTGTACCACTCCTTCCAGTCTGAAGACTTTCTCTATTTCTGTATGGAATACTGCATGGGCGGCGAGTTCTTCCGTGCGTTGCAGAACAAGCCCGGAAAGTGTCTCAAAGAGGATGAGGCGCGTTTCTACGCTGCAGAGGTAGTCGCAGCTCTCGAATACCTGCACCTTATCGGCTGTGTGTATCGGGACCTCAAACCCGAAAGTAAGTGCTGCACATGCTAAACCGGGAAGAAGAGGAGCTCATTTTTCTGCACCGACACAGATATCCTTCTCCACCAGTCCGGGCACATCATGCTCTCAGATTTTGACCTGGCCAAGCAACACACGTCCGTTGGTGGTCGGCCGGCCGGTGTTCTCCGTACCGACCCGAATGGGGTGAGTCCGGTGCCTCGCACCGTCGTCCCTCAGTGCCGAGGTATGCTGACAAAGCCACTCCCCTAGCCTCCGCTCGTTGATACCCGGACCTGTATCTCGGACTTCCGAACGAACTCCTTTGTCGGCACGGAAGGTGAGACCCGGCCGAACTCTCTTGCAGGAATCATGCACTAAATACGATGTCGATGACGTAGAGTACATCGCTCCGGAGGTCATTAACAACAAGGGCCACACCGCGGCGGTGGACTGGTGGACACTGGGGATCCTCATCTACGAAATGATCGTGCGTACCCGGAAGCCACGGTGTGGAGGCTAGATCTGACGTTCCATCCAGTTTGCGACAACCCCTTTCAAGTCCAACAACCGTCTCAACACCTTCACAAACGTTCTCAATGCCGACCCGTGGTTCCATCCCAATGCGCCGGTTTCCCCGTATGTCGGGCTCCTACGGGTGCAATTTTCGTCGGCGCTCACCTTTTCTTTTTTTTCCCTCAGCGCCTGCAAAGATATCATCTTCCGACTCCTTGACAAGCACGAGAGTACCCGACTAGGAAGCCGGTCCGGCGCGAGCGAAGTCAAGAACCACAAATGGTTCAGCAAGATCAACTGGGCACTTCTTCGCAACCAAACTCCACCGGTTCGTCCTCCATCATTAATTATGATTATGTAATGCGTGATGCTGATCAGTAATGCAGATCGTGCCTTCCACCTCGAATGGCATCGACGCCGTCAACTTCCGCATGATGCGTGACTCCAAGTCACTAGACCTCGAGAGCCAGGTCATCGCTGCCACCGCGGGACGGCCGGTACCGGGCACGCCGGGGCTGAACGAGCCTGACGGGATGGACATTGGCAAGTCCTCATCCCAGGAAGATCTCTTCCAGGGATTCTCCAGCATCACCTTGCTGCATGATGGCGAAGCATAACGCTGCGCCGATACCTTGTGTTTGACTTGAGTTATTTTCGGACTCTGCATTATTACTACCATACTTCATTCCCCCGTCAGCACATCATTCTTCTTCTCCTGCAAAGAATCACTGTCATCAATCTTCTCTCCGTGTAACTGAACATCCGCCCCATGCTAGCGCTGCATCTCCTCCCTCATTCTTCTCACACACTTCTTGTTGTCATTTGCCATTTTTGTTCTCGAACCTGTTCGTTCGATCTCGTCTATGTCAATAGTCTGGTGTCTTCGTGTTGGATATTTCACCGAAAAAGGACTTTGGAGCATTCCAACCCAAAATCAAAATCATCAATCAAATTAATAGACTGTACATGTGCCTCATCACTCCGTCCTAGCCGGATATCGGCGCACTTCGCATGAACTATTGTCGTACGACGGCCGATGTCTCGCAACATGAAGCCCGAAGAGACCCTAAGGATAACGGAACGGGTCGAACACCCGGCGCCGCACTCTCCGCATTCCTGCTTCCCGAGCGTGTAGGCAGAGCGTGACCTACCGCCCTTGGAACCTACTCCACCAAGCCCTGAACCTCGCGGTATTGATCTTTGACTGGTCCTCACCCTCCTTCGGCTGAGCAGCGCCCGCCTCTGGGGAGGAGTCGGTCAGCCCCGACCAGTGCTTGCCGTACTTTGCCACTCCGGCAAAAACGACCCTTGCCTCCTCTTCCTGAGCTTCGAGCTCTGCCAACACCCGGGCTGCAGAGGTCTCGTGGAACGTTCGTAGTTCGGCTTCGAGTGCCCGGATCTCGGTAAGGATCTCACCTTTGAATCGCTCGTGTGCGAGGTGCGCGCGCGTCATTTGCATCGTCTACAATAGGTTGTGTTAGATTGTCGGTTTGAGGGGGTACATAATGCAGCGGGGTAAAAGATGGGGAAGATAGAAGATGAAGCAGCGTGGACACCGGGGAGATCGGTAAAACACACCGCCTCGTCTCGCGTGGGCAAGATGAATGTAAGGGGATTGAAGGAAAAGACGCACGAGGAACACGGCGCTGCCTATGACGACAATTGGCCCCCAGGTAGGGAGGATCGAGATCCAGAAAAACCGGTGTCGTTCGCTGCCTGTGAGTTCGCGGAAGGGGATCTCATGGTCGTTTGGTGGTGGGTGGGACGAGGAGGTCGAAGACGAGGTCGAGGACGAGGATGAGGAGGAACTGGAGTTGGAGCTGGAGTGACGGCCCAGACGAGGGAACGATTTTGTAGGAACCCGTGGAATGAGGATGGACTGGGGGCGAAGGGGCATCCGAGGCATTGCAGAGATTTACTGACGTCGGTAGTCGAGGAAATTGCAAGTGAGTGGGGTTCAATGGGTCTTGGCGGGGTTGACGTGGACTGTGCGGTATGCCCCTTGTGCCCTAAAGTGTTCCGTGGGGAAGTGTTATTCTTCTTTTTCGGGTGTCGGTGCGTGGTTGCCGGTGAGAGTACGAAACGGGTCGGCAGAGTATAGAATGGGTTGCTATGAGGGATGAACTAGGATGACGATGGACTGTACCGTTCCTCTTCGGCCAAGGCGGTGTCGATTAATGGATTGATGAGAAAAGAGCGCCCACGACGGACGAATTATCGTGGACGGTGTAAGATGGGCTGCCGCGTGGAATGACGATGGGGACTAGAACTGCTTACTCATCATTTAGGTGTCAGCGGTCTATGACATCGCCGTGATTTCCGGAAGCACCCGAAAGCGTGGCGGGGCAAAGAGAGGATATGAAAGCAGCCGTTAGTCACCACAACTAAGAGAGCTCACCTCCTCCGAACTGCCGTATCTGACCAGCCCAAAACTATCCACTCTCCTCCGAGGTTCGACATCCCATTCCTCTCTTCTCTTTCCCAATCATCTTTCTCTTCCTTCCCACCACCTTCTACTCCAACTGTTGACTCCCCTCACTTCAACCCACCACCAACTCTCCGGTACATGCCCTCAATGGCCAACACCGACGCACGCGCAATGTCAGAGCTAGATCACGACCATGATCACAGCGTGAGCACACGTCCCTGGAATATCTCCCGCCTCTATCTTACCCAACCCTCCCCGACGTAATGTTTTCCTAGTCAGAAGAACCTGATGATCTCGACAATGCCAAGAAACCTGGCAGGAAACAGAACCCAGAGTGCGTCCTATTATCAGCCATTCTCCGTGATCCTTATTCACCGTCGATTGCGTTATCAGTGCTCAGCAACAAAGACGCATTCAGAACCGTGTAGCTCAGCGTGAGTTTAGGCTAAGGAAACAACAACGGGTGCGTGTCTCTGTCTACCAGCCTTGCTCCAAACTGAGTGCATACATGCTACTTCAGATCCGCGACCTCGAAGCACGCGTAGAGATGCTCTCCGCCGGCCAGGGCCAAGGCTACGAGCAAATGCGCAACATCCTCCGTGCCATCATGGCGGAGAATCACCATCTCCGGGGCATCATCCGCCAACTCACCGAATTCATGGCTGAGGGTGTAGGCGGGTGCCTGCCCAAGATGGGCTACACCAAAGAGAGCTTTGACGAGCTTGTAAATCGTGGAGAGACCGATACGGCTTTCTATGCGTACGATGCATACAAGAAATCGCGCGGATCTAGTCAGCCGGGGTCTGGCAACCTCCCGCAGCTATCTGCGATCCTCCCGGAGGCGGGCGATGGGCCAAATAAGAAACGCAAGAGGGCAGAAACCGACACGACTGAAGATGTGAACTCAAATGACACCCCCTCGACATCCCCTCCCATCGCTTCCAATCTCACGTACACCACCAACGGCGTCTCCTCCCCCAACGCGATGCAGACGTTTTCGGCACTCCTTGATGGCGGGTACAGCGGACAGTCGTACAATACTTCCCAATCGTTGTCAAATTCCCAGATGCGTGCAAATACTGTGCCCCAGTACGGGTTACAGAACGAGTCGATGATCCCGCGCAACTCGAACATCTTCGGCGCATTCAATGGTTATGAAACGTATAACCTCCCGCCGCCGCCACCACCCCAGGAACCGCAGTTGATGCAACTTGCCCGCGACTCAGCAGAGAACACCATGCTCCTGAACAATGTGGAGACTGCTATCGAGGCCGCGAACCCGCGGCAGCTCGAGGCGGGCAAGCTAATCAAGTACCACCTGAGCAATTACAGGAATAACCACAATTACTGTCTGCCGATAGCTCTCCGCCCCACCCTTGTGCAGCGCACGATCGCGCACGGTACGTCCCAAAATTCTGTTTCTCAGTTCCCTTCCCCCGCGCCGACGCCGGTCCCCTTCGCTATCTCATCCCCTTCCTCTTTCTCTGCGCCTTCCTCCTCTGCTGCTTCCATCATCTTCTCCGCTCCTTCTCCCGCCTCGCTGCGGCGTCTGTGACCCCTCGTTCGTTCCATGTGCACGTGCAGTCGCAGCGCAGCCAGGCTGACACCTGCTTCCCTGCAGACCCGATCATTGACGGCATCCCCGCGCCTGTCATGCGCGATCGGATGATCCTTCTCAAGGGACGGTATGATCTTGTCGACTGCATGCACGAGTTCCTCAAGGGTATCACAATACATGGCGATGATGTACTAGCATATACGAACTGGGAGGTGTCGGAAGTATGGTTGAAGAAGTATGGGTGAGTGCCCCGCATTCCCCCTTCCCTGAAGAATGTTGCCTGATTGGATTACCCCACCCAGATTCCTCGTCGACGAAGCGACTGTCACTGCTATCAACCGTTGGCGGAAAGAACGCGGCGAGCGCGAGATCATGTACGAAGACCTACCAACGATGGAGGAGCAGCCCCAGATGCCTGTGCAACCCTACGGCGCAGGCCAGCAAACGATTGGTTCCATCTAGCTGCCCTCTTCTCCCCCGGCCTCCGTATAGTGCTCGCTCGCATTGTCCTGATTCTCCCTCCCTACCCTTGGACGGCGCCCGTCCTCTTCGGTCTTCGGCTATTCGTTGGACCCGCATTTGGCTGCCTCAGCATCTTCTTCTGCCCTCTCTCCCGTGTTTATCGCTATCGCTAGTCGTTCTTCCCATTCTTGCTAGACCCCCACACCGGCCCCCGCATCGCATCGCATCGCACCACACTCCCTCAACCCCACCTTCCCACATTCGTTTACGCCGCAAGGTCCCGCGCGTTCCTCGCGCCCCCTCTCTCGCCTGTTGTTCACCCGTCTGCTCGTATGTTCATATGTCCCTGCTTGTCTGTCTGTCTGTCTGTCTGTCTGTATTACTGCCCTCTGTTTTTTCCTATCTCTATCTCCCTCTCTATCGGTTCCGCTCGGTTCCCACAAGTCCCAAACCCAAACATAGCTTAATTCACCGGCTGGAGCTGCCAAGGCGGCCAAGCTCCCGGTTGTTATTACTAGTACTCTCTGTAATTGTTCCACAATTAGCTATCTAAGATCTTGATCCAGACTGGAATGAACTTCCCGTGTGTATCATGTTCAGGTGGAATGGGTGCGGTGCTTGACTCATTTAGCTTGATTCCCATAAGTTCAGCTGCGGCGCAGCGCGCAGTTTATTCACATCCAATCTATTCCGATATCTAAGCCAAAAATGAACGACAGCAAGACCCCCGACTCTAGTAGCGAGTGAGTGACTTGACCTACTGACCTACTCCTCCCGCTCTCGCCCCTCCCGTTCCCGGCGCTCCCTCTCGTGCTGTTCGGCCTCCTCGTGCGAACCCCTACGTCCGATGAGTCAGCGTCCGCGGGCCCCGTGAGCCCGAAATAGGAAGGGTAACAAGAAAGGGGCCCCGCGCGGCCTGGGGATGGGCTGGGGAAGGGAAGGACGGCGGTGCACGGCGTGGAGTTGGCTGGGAGTCTAGTCGCAGGGGCCGACCGTTCCCCCGAGAAAAAGAAGGAAACAAAGAGTGCGCGAAGGGTTCCATTTAATGGTAGGCCATGGGAAGGCGGGCAGTGCCCGTGGAGTTGACCGGTCTACTCGTCCGGGAACCGTCCGTTCCCCCGAGAAGTCAGGCAGGAAACCCCCAAAAATGAAGCCACAGCGCAAAACGTCAACTTTGTAAGAAAGTGAAACTCACGGCAGTGGGTTCTCCTGGATCGGAAGCGTGCACAAGAATGTCAGGAAAGAGATCACAGTTTGGAGGATGAAGACGACGCGCAGGGCTTGAGCGTACGAGTCGACTGCTGCGGCTTGGGTGGGTGGGTCGAGTGTTGGGATCAGGGCTGTGGAATGCCGGATGCGCTCGATGAGCTGTTGGAAGGATGAGCTGGTACAGTGGGGCATGAGAGGGGAGGGGGGGACGAACTTCTTTTGACCCGGGACCGGTGATCCGTTCATGGAGGTACTTGTTCAGCAACCCCTGTACGACAGCACTTGACAAGCTCACGCCGAGCACCTGTCCCGTAGTACGAAACAAGTAGGAAACTATGGCACCCAATCAGTACAGTGTTCGTTGTTTTCCTTGCCATTGACGACGTACTCCCTGTAGCGACGGCCAGATCTGCCCGATCGACACTCGCGATCAGCGCTATCAACGTGCTGGTTATCAAGCTGCTGTGGCCAAACCCGCTGGGGATGATGTCGAACCAGAGGTGGAAGTCGGAGGTGTTGCGCGTCCAGAGGGAGAAAAGGGTGGAGGAGAGGATGGGGAGGAAGGCACCGAAGAGGTTGAGAGACCAGTATCGGCCTGTGTGCCGCATTATCCTGTTTTGTGTCAGGGAGGGGAGGGGAGTGGGCAGGGGCAAGGGGAGAGGGCATACCAGCCTGAGAAGAGAGATCCGATAGAGAGGGCAACACTGTTCGGCAGCAGGTGCAGACCGGACTCCGTAGCAGACGTGAGGCGCACAGCGGAAAAATACTGGTTTCCCTGTTTAGGTCGTCTTCATCTGCATGTTGGGGACTTACGAGAGGGACGTTGTACAGTCCTGAGAAGGCTGATATGCTCACCAGCCTGCTGGGGGTGAGCACAACCTCACGCTCAAGGGGAGGAGCTTACAGATTGGTAAGAGCGACGAAGAACGGGTTGCGCCTGACTAGCAAGCGCAGGGGCATGACCGGCTGGGGTGCGACCCATTTCTCCACCACGACAAAAGCGACCGTGCTCGTTCCTCCGGCAAGTAAAAGGCCCCAGACAGCCGGATGAGTCCAAGGGAGTTCCTCGCTCGTGTTTAGGCTTATGCCTAGCAGGGAACAGCCGACCGCTAGGACGAGGGTGAGGGAACCGAGATAGTCGATCCGTTTTATCTTTTCGCTGAGGGACTGGGCCTGGGAGGGCAGGTGGATCGTGACTTTGAACAGGACAATGACGTAGGAGAGGACGAGGAAGGGGATCTGGATGAGGAATGCCCAGCGCCATCCTAGCCGGTCTGAGGGATGAATGTACGTGTTAGTCGATGGACTCTCGCTCGCCTTTGGGGAACGTACCGTTCAGGAAACCACCGAGCGGACCGCCTAGCCCTGCACCGGCGCCGAATAGACTGCTTCTTTCAGCCTATCCAACCCTACAAAGAGCTGGAAACTCACATATTCGCACATCCTTGATACAAGCCCCGGTGCTTCAACGGTATCAGATCCGTGACCACGATCGAGCTCACTACGTATTCCCATCAGCCACTTTCCCCGTCTTTCTAGTCTAGCGCTGGGGACGTAGACGCACCGGTCATGATCCCCCCTCCTCCCATGCCCGCTACGGCACGGGCGATGATAAGGAACCTCATGCTAGGCGCTATGCCGCACAGGACGGTCCCGATGCCAAAGAGTGTGAGCGCTAGGAGCTCGGCGCCTTTCCGGCCAAGGATGTCCGCGAGTCGGCCGTACTGGTCAGCCGCCAAGGGTTAGTTAGTGCTGGGTGATGATGGGAGGGAGGACGTACGAGAGGCGTGAAACAGCAGACGCTGAGCAGGTAGGAAGTGCCGAGGTAGGAAGCCTGTGTGTGAGTGCAAATGAGGGACGCTGTGGGAGGGTGCAGTGGGACAGGAACGCACCTCGTGGGCTTTGTTAAAGTAGCTCCCTATTGGTGTCAGGAGGGTAGCCACGATGGTCCCTTTCCACACGGAGTTAACATGTCCACTCGCCAGTAACCAGAGTAGTATGAGACAGACACACCATCCAGCGCACCGAGGAAGACAGCGCTCCATAGCCCAGTGAGTATCCAGACGAGGTCAGCGCGGGAAGGGTGATTGAGCGGTTTTGGTTCTTCCGAGGGAGGAGGGAGAAGAGGATCTTGTTCTGTTGGAGAAGGAGGGAGGGAGCCGACGGTCATTGTGCTTGTGCTGTTAATTGAATTGTGCCAGCCAGGGAGCAGAGCGGGGAGATGCTGGGAATGACAGCCAGATGAGATGAAACAGTCAAGGTGAGAGTGGATAATATACAAAAGTGCAAGTCTCCGTCCAGTTCAGTCGTATGGTCGTACAAGTCCAAGAGCGCACCCTCCCACGATCATCCTCCCATATCCGGTCATATCCTCCACTCTGATTGGTCAACAACGAAGAGCGCCCACCCTGTATGTTCCCGTATTATGTCATCCGTCTATCAACTCAGGGCGCTATCAGTGGCAGTGTCACCAGTTTTTGACCCGTCATCTCTCTGTGAACGCACTTCTACTCTGACAGTGCGAGGATGTCGACACTCCCATTCCTCTGCCCTTGCATACATCGACCACGCACGCTGACGTCACTGCGACATCATACGCAGAACAAAAGCCGATGCCCCCGTGGACTAAGCTCAGACGCATCTGGATCAAGCTCGTTCGCCCAATCGACATCTTCGCATATATCGCGTGACTTGCTCACAAAGTTACGCGCCTATTCACTGCGTAACCCTCCGCCTTCTCCTTCTGCTGATCCTTCCCCTCCCAAGCGTCATGCCATTCAACCTGATTACTTTTCACGTGCTGTACAGCGAAGTGACGCACTTAAGTCAACGTTCGCTTATAGGAAACTAGACGCTGCGATACAAGCCTCACTTGCACTAGACGGTGGCTACTCTGCACATATACAATGTGCTGATCACGTATGGGCAGCGTATACAGAACTATGTGACACAGTCCCATCTCTTCCACCTTCACTCCACAGGCAAGTACTCACAACTGCAATCCCAACACGTCAAGGAACTCTACGCCGAACCGCTGCGTCCAAATGGTTCGAACCGCGACTCAAATCCCTCGAGCATAGGATATTCTCCGTCCTCCGCCAGCTACGACAATGCGGTTCTCCTCCCACACGCGCGGACTATGCTTTCTGCCTATGGGTGTTCGCCCAGACGGGGCGGTACGAGAGCGCGCTCTCACTTTGGAGGGAGATGCGGCAAAGCATGCAGGAGGGTGACGAGTGGCTTCTCCGCTTGCTGCTCTCCTCTTTCCTCCTCCGATCAAAAGGGCGAGGGTTCGTTCGCCCAGCAGCAGAAGCAGCGCACCTGAGCACACAGCTCCAGAACATACTCACAGATATAAGGCAACAAGGCGTACTCCCTTCTCCCTACCTGCTCGACCGCATCGCCCGCATCTTGAGGGAAGTAGACGCCCTTCCCCAGTTGGAAGCATTCTTCCGCCTATGGTACGGCCTCGACCTACACCACCCGGACCGCATCAGCTCAGAGTTCGTCGCCGCCTGGGGCCCTAACGCCGTCCCGCCAGGGATAAGCACCAACGCGCTGAACACGCTCGTCCGTGCCTATTCCTGGCAGCGCGCCCCATGGCAGTCTCTACTCGTGTACGAAGTCCTCTGCCACCCTTTACCGCAACGCTTCACCCGACCTCCTTCGTCCGACTCCCAGCTAATAGCCTTCGACGAGCAAGACGAAGAGGACGCAACGCTCCCCTTTGGCACCTACCTCCGCCCATCTCCCTTCCCCACCAGGCAGGCGATACCCAACACGACAACGTACGAGAACCTCATCTCCAGCGCATACTGGGCGAACAACATGTTCCTCCTCGTCCATTTCTTCAACTGCATGGTCTCCTCCGAGCTGCTGGAACAGGAACGCGCCTTTACCCGGCTGGAGAAGACGGGCGTCTGGGCACCCCCGAAACATCGCACGAGCGCATTGGCGGTATACTTGATGGGAAACGAGCTGATGGACAAGCACCGAGGTTGGGAACTGGGCTATGTGGTGAACGTACTCCGGAAACTGGTGGAGAGGAGACAGGGCTGGATCGACAGGGCTATGCTGGCGCTGAGGAGGGAACGGGAGGCGGGCGGCATGAGGGGGAGGACGATACGTCCTAGGCAGTGGGAGGAAGGGAGGTCTGAGGAAGGGTCGTTACCGTCTTCGTACTCCCGCCAAACGCAAGACCTGAACCAAGAGCAAGTTGAAGAGGAAGAGCATAATCGAGAGCGAGATAGGGATGAAGAGGGAGAGAAAGACCCCAGCGACTTGCCCAACACACCCAACCTCGGCCCCGGGCCATTCACGACCCCGCAAACGAAAGCCCGCGCGCTGATCTTCTACCTCTACCTAATGCGTCAATCCACGCACCAAATCCAGTACCACCTCGACATCCACCTCCCGCACGCGCTGGTCGTCGTCGACCGGACTAGGCTGAACAGGAAGGAAGTCCAGACGACGTGGAGAGAGGACTGGCAGATGGCGCGCTTGCAGAAGGTGCTCGAGGCTCGGGGAGTAAGGACTGTGCCTCCGCAGAAAAGGAAGGGGGAGGAGGCGCAGGCGCCTTGGATGAGAGCAGAGGTTGGGAGAGCAGTTGGGATGCGTGGGAGAAGGGGGAGGCCAGCTTTGACTCGGAGGAGTAAGCGCCAGCCGGAGCCTGTCCAGCAGGGGATATTTAGCAACCCTGTGGCTGCGGCCAGGGGGGCGCTGGAGAGCGCTGCTTCGGTGCTGGTGAAGCCGTTGGAGAAGATGGGATTTTTCACTTCGGACAAGTCTGGGTCTAGATAACGCATTCCATTCCAGAGGCAAATGAATCCTATTGCTACTTGCTGATACTTGTTCTTCCTTGCACTTGTTGATCACTGGATCACTGGATCGCATCCTCACATCCTCGCCCCTCCCTCCCGTTTCCAAACCACGACTCTCTCCCTACCTTTATGCACCCCATCCGCGCTCAACTCACTAGGCCGGTCAACAACCTTCGTCCACAACCCCCTCCCAACACCTAGCGCTTCCTCATACGCGTCCACACTAACGGAATAGGGCGGTCCTCCCTCTCTCTCCCCGTCCAAAGGCCAAGCAACAGCAACGAGGTACCCTCCGGGGTGGACGAGCTCTGTCATCCTCTTCCCCCAAGGGTTGCGGAGAGGGGGAGGGATTGCGCAGAAGAACGTGTAGTCGTATGCTAGGGTGAAGCCGTCCTGCGGGATGGGGAAGGTGAGGAAGTCGGCGGTTTGGAAGTGCACGTTGGGGGGAGCGTCCAGTTGGGAGTTGAGGAATCTGGGGGTGGGGGTGGGGGTGGTAGGTGAGTGTGAGCGTGAGTGCGAGTGGGAGGGAGGGGAGCGGGGGAGGAACGCACGCTTCGGCCCTCTCGACCGCTCTGGTAGAAAGGTCAATTCCCCACGTCTCCAGCCCCAGCCTGGCAATAAACACCGCATCAAACCCCTACACCCATCAAACCCAACTCAGCGCACGCCCATCACTGTACCACTGTGCCAAACTCACACGCCCACAGCCAGGAACGAGCGCCCGCCCCTCTTTGGGCACGGGGAACTCGCCGCTGTCGAGCACTTCTTTCAGTAATGGGCGGACGCCGTCCGTTGTCCGGTCGTGTGTTTCCCAAGGGGTGACATCTTCCTGCCTATTGAGGTATCCAACCCAATCAGCGGGCGGGCGGGCGCTTAAGCAGAGCCAGGGGCGTACCAGGCTTTGTCCCATCCAGCTAGGGGGACGTCAGCGGATGGAGTGATGGCGCAATCCCTGCAGGCGATGAGTGCGTACCTTCCTCCCCGTTCTCTTTCATTATCTCCCTCAAGCGCTGTACACCAGCCGATATGGGAGGTGCGCTCATCTCCGATGTGTACCTGCAATATGGGTGAATTGACCTTGTGCGAGTGGACTGGGTAAGTGCAGCGAGGGATATGAGGGATATGCAACGGGGAGTTGCCTTACTCAGCAGCTTTATGGACCAAAAGGGATACATCCACCAAGCTGTACTTGCCAGTGTGATCAACCGCTCTCCCAACCGGGTAATTTACCATTACCCGCAGCACAGCCACGCACATCATTGTCTGTATTAATAGTTGATAACAACAATGCCCAACATGGGTAGAACATCCACAGAAAGCGCCCATGAGCTGAACGGCTCGCGTATCAACTCTCTACTCCGCCCGGACGGCGGGGAAACGCTCACCGCCGACCAGCTTATGATGGGGACTGATGCATCCTAGGGCTATATCATGACGATCATTACCCGATCATGCACATCTTCTCGTAACACGCGTTGACGGCAACATGTTGCGTCACTCTGTCTGACCGGCGAAATGATTCACCAGAATCGGCGCCGCGTTGGGCATCATCGGCGATAACCTGCGAGGCACGTTTGTGCTGGCACGGCTGATGTTCACGTTGCTCGACATCGGGGAATTGCGCTATTGGACAACGTACTGCCTGCGTTTCCCAAAGTAGCTCCTCACTCCCGGTCTCCTCGGTGGTCCGAGAATCCTTCGGCCGAGTACCGCTGAACACGTCCAACAAGACCCGTCTACCTAGAGATCAAGCGCAGAACTCCCAGTTAGAATGTCCTAGCGCACAGTCGAACACTCTCTGAGAAAAACAAGACTATGATATGTATTCCTCCGCATGCATACTTTGGGACGACTTGTAAAGGACTGGACATCTGCCACCTGGCGGTGCATGTAGAGTAGCGAGGGATAGACGGTACACGATTCAGAGACAAGGGGTACGAAACAAACAAAATTGAGAAATCGGGGGTAACGAAATGACGGGAGGGTTCGCGCACGAACGGGCGACCACGGTTCCTGGCGTGTATGCGACCGGGGCGGCGGCGGGTGGGGGACGAGGACTGCTCGCGGGCATGACGGGAGGGAGGGAGGGGTGATTGTTCGGTGGCTGCGGATGAGATAGGCTAGATCGGCGACTCCGGCGACAACTCAATGCTCAATTACTGAGCCTCACGCCTGTAATATCCACCGCCTCTGTATCCCGATTAGTGGTCGATCGGACGACTCGGCACAAGGACTTACGGAGGGCCGTAGAAGTTGTCAGCTGCGGGGGCTACACCGTGACTGTCAGCCAGCTCGGGCTCCGGCTCCGCTTCCCGCTTGCTACTGGCGCCCCAGCTGGAAACACTTTAGTGACTAGTTTCTTCGCACAAGGTCGGTGGGACAAACCTGGGACCGTAGAAGTTGTCAGGCGTAGGAGGGGCTACGTCCCGCTTCGCATCCGAGAAGACTCTAACTCATACTTTCAGCGTACTGATAACAAGAAAGATAAAATGAGGCGTACGGTGCACCGTAGAAACTGTCCTCCTTAGGAGCCACAGCTTCACGCTTCCCATTGGAGTAGAACCTGATTGATCCCGTCAGCGTGTTGACACTAAAGAGGTTGAAATGCGTCGTACGGTGAACCGAAGAAACTGTCCTCCTTGGCCCCCTTGGCAGCCTCTGTGTCACGTTTCGCAGGGGAGAAGATCCTGATCCATCTCGTCAGCATGTTGACACTAAAAAGAGGTTGAATGCGGCGCACGGTGAACCGAAGAAACTGTCGGAGGAGGGAGGGGCTGCGTCACGCTTTGCGCCCGATTCGAGCCTGACCCAGTCGGTCAACCTAGTGTTACAGAAGAGGTGTGCGATGGGACATACTGTGGACCATAGAAGCTGTCCTCCCTCGGTGGGACGGGCATTGGGGCGGCCAGGGCGAGGCCAACGAGGCCACAGATGAAAGCGACAAGGGTGAACTTCATTTTGAGGTGTAGAAAATATTCAAGGGTTGGATGGTCAAAGAGTGTGGGTACTTTGTTGAGACAATGTTTCAGGCAAGTGTGTCAGGGACTTGAGGAAAGGGGAGAAGGATAAGATGTATATCGAGAGAAGGATGAAGTCGAACTAGCGATTTAGAGGGAGGGAGGGAGTCAGAGGCGCGGCCAGTGAATGTCGAGGTATGAGGAACGGCTAAGGGGGAAACCACGGTCGAACTTCTGACGGAGATTGACCGTGTAGGAGAAAGGGGGGGGGGGCGTCTTATAGATTGCTGTGTGACCGTATGACTGGCGAGGCGGGACGAGATTCAGGGCAGGCGAAGCACCATAGAGAAAAAAGAAGCACACGGGAGAGCATGCATCCCTCTCAGGCTCGGATCACGCACGTAAACCAATTCATCGAACACGCGCACAGCTCAAAAGCCTGTCTTCAAACAGCATCAATTCCGCCCTTCTTCTCAGGGACAGTCAGTCTAGGCACAACTCACAACAGCACATTGCCCTTGTTCACTGGACCAGCCCGTCAACAATTCGCACCGGCAGCCTTTCTCCTTCGGCGGAGACGGATCGACAGCAATTGATCAATTCAGTCCACTGGAGGCGATGCATCTGGATATGGCGTGAGGTACCGACCCCTCCCCCGGTCAACTGAGTTTATGACACTCACTCGCACCGGTACCATGTCGACCTCATCGGCCATTGGAGCAATCGTATTCCGCAGTAAAGACTACAAAAAACCGCGTTGACAACCATGAATAATGGCGCTGACGACGCCCGCTTCAGAGTGTATCCCCTGCCCGGAACGGAGGCACTTACCGCGCGACCAGATACCAGAGCGCCACATACATCACCGAGCGAGCAAAATTCGTGTCGTCCACGCCATTGGTTCAACCAGTCCAAGCCAAGTAATCAAAGTGATGCCGGGCTCCGGACCATTCATTGGGCGAATACTGCCGTTTTCCCGCCTGCCCTGTGCCGGCGATCCTTTCTTTCGGCACAGGGCGATGTACAGGGCTGATGCTCTTCATCAATTTGAGTGATCTTCATCAATTTGAGCGATTGATCACTCTGAGCGCATCCGGTTCCTTTCAAAAAAGTGGTAAATGAAAGCTAATTAAGCGTTCCACCATGAAGGTGGGGGGACATGCCGGTCCAGTCCGCAATTTCCCCAATAATTTCGCCAAGGTGTTTCGATTAGCTGCCGGCGACGCAAACATGCGATCCCGTAGCTTTACTTACTTGGCAGGCAGGCTACTTCACCTTTTACTGATATGCGTTGAACTGGAAGAAGATATAGTTAGATTAGGACCCTTTTCTAATAACTGTAGAAAAGGAAAGCACATACCGAAAGTTCGGGTGTATGCTGGATGTAACCCTCGGAGATAGCGGGTGTATTGTTGTTGCTGCGCCACGTAGGGTGTTGAACCACAAAGGCACTCTCTTGCGACTTCCGGGCCCTGAAGGTGTGTTCTCGCCTTATTTACTTCAAACATGCTTTCCATCCTAATCCCGCTAGCAGTAAAATTCGGGAGTGCAATTCCCGGAGCGTGACGCTAGCTCTTTGACGAACGAGGAAAGCGCCACAGCATTGCACCATAGCCATTTTCCCTCGGACGTAACTTTGCGTAGCGAGTAAGCATGACGTCATTGGACATCTAGCGCATCACAGTTGCCCATCATCTGCCCTGGCCAGGTTGGTTCCTTGATAGATTTGCTCCATGATCGTATGGGCTTCAAATTTAGCTGATGAATCGAAAGATTTTGACAGTGACTAGAGGAGTAGCTGTGTCCCCCAGCGTGCTGCCGGGTCGGGCTCCATTCAACGTATCCTTGATCGGGGACTCAGATAGCCTCCACCCACCACGTCCTCGGAGCAAAAAGACCATAGTGAGCTGACTGGCATTACCGGTTGTAGCACAAGCAGCATCCTTGATTGCCATACACTTCCTCGGGTATGTCGGAGGACCGGCCTCGAGGTCGGCGGAGTTGTGATACCGACCTCGGGTAGCCGTAATGGCGCTCATCAGCTGACGGGTCCGAGAAGTGGTTGACTAACTCAGTTGACAGAGAACCGGGCGGTCAGGGTAGGTCCTGCACAGTCATTCGTGTTTCGCATGGACAAGGGGAATACGCAGGGTCTTGTGAAAGGCGATTGATGAAACTTTGATAGATAGCATGAAAGGCGATTGTAGTCTGCAGACCGTCCGCAGAGAGTGACGCGCGTTGTTCGGTCGTTTTCCAGCATGTATATTCATTCAGCCGTTTTTCAATGAAGATGAAAGAAATAAGGAAGGAAATGTATGCGAAATGGCGCAGAGATGAGGGGTTTAACAATGGTTAAGGCGGGACCGAGGCTCACCCCTATCCAGCATGAAAAGTTCCGTGACGCCACATCTGCCTGTTTTCTGCTTGTCGGGCCGAATTGGCAATTCACCACAGCTGCATTATCGACTCACGAAGGTATTCCAATCCATATATTTCATTTTCTTATCAGCTAATACGACCGCTATACCCAGAAATGCCAAATATCCGTGTTCTACGAGACAACGCTGTGCGGAAAGGCGTGAAGGCGCACGAAATCGTTCGCCGTGCATACCTCTATGTCGCACGCAACCAGACGCTTCCCTCGCCCCTGCGCTACCAGGCCATGCTGCAGCTGAACAACTTTGGCCGATATTCTCGTCCGACGGTGGTCAAGAGCCGGTGCACTGTCAGTGGGAGGGGTAGGGGGATTATCAACGAGTTTGGACTGTGTCGTGTGAGTACAACCTTTACTGCTGGGTATCCGTTGCACTGATTCTGATCACTTCCACCTCTAGTATCAGTTCAGGTTAAAAGCGCTCAAGGGAGAACTTCCAGGCGTATCCAAGGCATCGTGGTGATAGTCGATTGGGGTAGACGATACAATTCAACTCTTCGTGTCTTAACTAGAGGACGACCGTAAGTGTCACATTGCAGAAAGTCGCTCAAACGAAACCCACCAAGAACACGCACAAACCCGGATTCCACCGCTCCTTCTCCCAGATCCGCTCTAATATCATCTCCGACCATAGCGACTTGCTCCCCCTTCCATCCTCCTTCTCCAGGTATGCCCTCCAAACTAAGCTGATAGAACATCCTCCCGGGCTTGCCCACGATCTCTGCCTTCACCTCTGCTGCCTCTTCTAACGCGGTAATGAAAGGTCCTGGGCCCAAGGAGAGAGCACCATCCGTATCGTGGTAATATCGCGCCCGGTGTGTAGCTATAAGTGCTGGGGGCTTATGACCCGCCAGTAACGGGGTTACAGTGCTCGGTCGTTCAAGCTTAAGGATCCGGAAGGCTTCGTTTAGCCGAGGGTAGGACAGTTCGGAGGGCGCAAGACCGACGACGACACAGTCGTGCTCTCCTGCCTCTGGTGTAGGGAAACTCTTCTTAGCCGACTCGGACAGGAGCAGCAGGGGGTTCCTAGAACACGTCAATCATGAGCACTGCAGAACATACGTTGGGGTCGCTTCAAACGAATGCGATGAAATCGGCATATGCCCCTGGAAGACTGTCATGATCATGATCATAAAACTGACCGAGTGCGAAAGGATACAAGATAACTAAACTACCGTCTGGAGGGTGGGCTTAGCTGACGTCAGCTCCTTGAACGCTTCCAACTCCTGCACACGTGCACACTTCGCTTCACGACGCTCGTTCAGCTGGCCTCGCGCCTCCTCCAATCTGGTCTGTGCTTCAATATACTCTCGAACGCGTGCCGCCAACGGTTCCCCGTTCATGAGGCGAAGCTCTGCGTTCCTATGTTGAAGAAGCTCCAACTCATGATCAAGATCTACTTCACTAGCCTCGACCAGCTGCTCTTCAAGCCGAACCATCTTCGTCGCGATGCAATTAAGCACCGACTGCAGCACAACCAGACCCGCTGGCGTGAGTTGGCCAGTTGCTGCTTCCGTATGCGCAACTTCCTGCCGAGCCTCTTCCCACATACTCCAAGTATTGTCCGCTGAGCGATCATAGACGTCGCAGGCAGCGTTCACCCTCGTGATCTCGCTCTGGAGGTAGCGATTTTGGACGACCAGAGTGTCTGACTCTAAAGGGGTGCGAGGATTGGGCTTGCATAGAAATACTTCGAGCCGATGATTCTCTTCACGAAGGCGACGAATCTTCTCGAATTTCAACAAGCTCGATCGGATAATAGGGACGTGAAGGGTGAGGAAGTCGAGAGTACTCTCGATCATGTTAAGGGTTACATGCAGGGTCGCGGGGTCACCTGTAGACGACATCTTGGATGGATATCGCAATATAGCTGAAATACTGTGCTGAAGACGCGTGAGAACCATGTTCACGAACATGAACATGAACGAGTGGACTCACATATGACAGAAGGTGGTGGTGGAAGGTAGCAGAGTGATGCAACCAGCCGCACGTTTATAACCCTGGAATGGAGACCTGTGCACAACCGGTGCACGGTCAGTGGGAGGGGTAGGGGGATTAACACCTTTACTGCTGGGTATCCGTTGCACTGATTGTGATCACTTCCACCTCTAGTATCAGTTCAGGTTAAAGCGCTCAAGGGAGAACTTCCAGGCGTATCCAAGGCACCGTGGTGATAGTCGATTGGGCTAGACGATACAATTCAACTCTTCGTGTATGCTACACAACTTGGGCACGCCGAGAGCCGCTGTAATCTGCTTCACTCTTTTGACTGAAGCAGCATATCCACGAATGCTGCAAAGCTTTCCACGACGAGATCTGGCGGGTGGTCGCCTTTATGCTCATCTCCGGCTCTATATTTGCCTGTCTTAACTAGAGGACGACCGTAAGTGTCACATTCTAGAAAGTCGCTCAAACGAAACCCACCAAGAACACGCACAAACCCGGATTCCACCGCTCCTTCTCCCAGATCCGCTCTAATATCATCTCCGACCATAGCGACTTGCTCCCCCTTCCATCCTCCTTCTCCAGGTATGCCTTCCAAACTAAGCTGATAGAACATCCTCCCGGGCTTGCCCACGATCTCTGCCTTCACCTCTGCTGCCTCTTCTAACGCGGTAATGAAAGGTCCTGGGCCCAAAGAGAGAGCACCATCCGTATCGTGGTAATATCGTGCCCGATGTGTGGCTATAAGTGCTGGAGACTTATGTCCCGCCGGTAGGGGGAGAGCGGTACTCGATCGTTCAAGCTTGAGGATCCGGAAGGCTTCGTTTAGCCGAGGGTAGGACAGTTTGGAGGGCGCAAGACCGACGACGACACAGTCGTGCTCTCCTTCCTCTGGTAGAGGGAAACTCTTCTTAGCCGACTCGGACAGGAGCAGCAGGGGGTTCCTATAACACGTTAACCATGACCACTACCACCCGCGTCGAGGGGCGGAGATAGAGCAGCCCACCGGTACCCTCTATCTTGCACTAGCTGTCGAGCAGCCATCAAGCTCGTGCTCACCTCCCTCGCCTCAACAACAAACCCGATCCTCCTCAGTCGGTCGAGCAAGTCGGCCGGTGACTCTTTCGTAGTGTTTGAGCTTGAGACATGTCAGGTTTGTAAAGCGAGAGGAACAAGCAGACGGACCATAGTCGGAAGGGTATCTTTGCTTGACGTAGCCTTTGGAGGGCAACCACCGCTCCTGGCGTTGGCTGGTCGCCGACATGTAACGTCCCGGACAGGTCGATAAGCAGCACTTTGACACCCGCCAGACTACCCCATCAGGTGAGTACGATAGGCCAACATAGGAGGTAGGGAGGGTAATGTACCTCCTACCAGAAGCATTGTCTGTCGACGCCATAGATGTCATGGCTCTTCCTAGAATCTTGACGTGGGACAGAAGCAACAGCTTCCCGGTCCCGCTTACGATTAATGCCGGGCAGAAGCTGGGGAGAAACGGGACGCCTAAAAGGGGAATCTCAGTCAGTTGGGAAGAAGCAAGGCACGAATTGAGTGATGTTTCTATGGCCGATTCAGGCACCAAAGGAACGCGTGGCTGTAATCCCTAACGACCGGTCGTCGCATCTCATCGGGGCCATTTTCAGCTTCTGACAACCCTAGGCCTTTGCGACAATCATCTAGCGCATACCATCAGCACACACATTGCAACAATGCGAGTTTGTAACATGATCGTGGGATCCAAGGCGACGGGTCGTCTATCACTGGATTGGAATGGAAGAACATTCCTTGGTTCATTAGATGTGGGATCTGTAGATATGAGCTTATGGACTGGCTGTCGCTTAGGTTCCTTAACGACCACAAGTGCTGACACACCCGTTCGAAGTTTGGGCGATGCCCCACCGGCGAGCCTGTGGGAAAAGTTTTTCATGAGAGGAGTGTAGAATGAGAACGATGGGTTTCCTCTCTGAAAGCGAGCTCAGGAACAATCAGCAGATCAAAATGTATTCAGAGAGGATAATCAGTATGGAAGGAACGGCCAGGGAACAGTTCGAGATTGCAGAGAGGAGCAGCAGACCGATGAGGTATGAAGATACAGCGGGTTATCGCGAGGCAGATGCTTTCGATCAGACAGAGAGAGGAAAGAGGAAATGACGGAGTCCCTTTGTGTATAAACGGCCCAGTGCAGCCGCAGGCTGCTCTACCACGCGATAAAAAAGGAATAATGAGAGACAGAGATGAAACGATCGGATATCAGAGAGCGACAGTAGCGTTAGCCGGGGTACCCGACCGCGGCTGAGACTCCACTTCCCTCTTGCTGTAAGTTTCCTTGTTGAACTGCGCTGAAATGGGAGAAATAGGAAGATTCGGTGGGAGTGTCGGTATCGACACTGGTGTCATAGGGTTCATAGGTGAACGCGGTGCGTGTGCTGCATGGCCTGAAATGCGTGGGGACGCAGTGTGCGGTGCAAGTCCGCCAGCGATGTCGGCGGATGAAGCACGGGAGATGTGTGATCGCAGAAGAGCAGAAATGGGCGCAGGGGCGATATCGGGGTTATTGGAGCGGGGTGCGAGAGCGAGTGGTTGAGGACGATTGGCACGACGCAGGGACTGGGAGATTGGGGGAGTGGGAAGAGCCTAGAAAAGAACCGTAATTAAGGTTTGAACGACTAATGGAGGAAGGGTCGAGCACACCTTCTCAGCAGTCTTATTCGCCTTATCGATATTGATAGACGGGAAACCTCCCGCACGCTGAAAGGACGTAAGAACACGATATGGACGACGAGCTCGGGTACTGACCCCACCATACGGCGCGAACCTGTGCCTTCCCTGGTTCTCCTTGCTGGCCAGTCCTCCGGTAGGCGACCTGCTCTTTTTCCTTTGGACGTCGCGGAGCTGACTCGGAGGGCGGGAGGGGATGACCGGGCTGGCACGCGGCGACCGAGAGGAAGTCGTGCTCCTCGTGTCCGACGCAGCGTCCTCGTCGATCACAGGTTGTGGGTTACGCCACGCGGTCGTGCCGGTGGAGGAGATGGACACGACAGGGGCAGGCTCTTCAGGATGACCGAGTGACTCCATGAGTTGAGGGAAGGAGGGAAGGGAGTCTTTCACAGCGAGCATTTATGCTTGCTGCGGGTGGAATATGACAGAAGAGAGGGAACAAGGGTAGGGCCTTAACGGGTGGCTGGCCGCGCACTGACAGGAGACTTGTATCTGTCGGAGTTTAAGAACGATACTTCCCGACGAGATGGGTCGATGAACTGAGCCGAGTTAGGAGGAGAGTGAGGAACTGAAGCTGAGTACAAATAGGAAACTGAGGAATATGAAAAGAACAAGGGGTTGAGGAGGAGGTGTAGGAGAGAGGCGTGAGGGCGCTGCTCTTTTTAGTAGATAATGTGCATCTCTGTTGCCAAGGGACCCGTCCATTGACTGCTTCCGTTCACGATCCTCCTGTGTCGCATGTCTTTCAGTGACGCCCCTTCTCTCCCCACCTGTTAACCCCGTTGCATCGTCGCCGTCTCCGTTGCGGTCGTATGCCCCAACCCCACACCCCCACTAAGACCGTTACTCATTCCGCATGACCTTTCCATGAGGACTGAGAACAACCGTAGAAGCAGAATAAATCCATCATCATCTACGTAGAACATCCATCGGAAAAACCACTATTTGTAACACATATCTGCAAAAGGAAACATAGACCAGGCGGATCGAACAGGGTCTCCAAGGCGTCGTTGCTATTCCCGGTCGTCCGCCCACATTCCAGTTGGGGCCACCGGCGCGCCGGCGCAGCAGCAACGACGAACAAAAGCGCGCTTAGCCAACAACCATCCACGCCGTCCGGGAAACTGTTGAATGAGACCAATAACAACAGAATAACACTCGCCGCTGCTGGACGCGTCCTCTAGGTAGCCAACGCCAAGAGAGACCGAGAGGACGCATCCCGCAACAGTGGTGTCTGTTCGTCGTGAAGCTGCTCTCCGACCGCTCCCTCCTCTGCCGTCTCCGTTGCGCCCTCCATGTCTGGCTTCTCCCTCGTGTGCCGGTAAAACACATAATGCTGGAGAATGAACAGCATGTCGAACAAGATGGAAAGGAATGAAAGGCCGCTGTTTCGAAGAATCAGTATGATTATCCAGATCGCGACCGGGAAACCCCTGTCTGTCGCGAAGCAGCGCAAGATCGGGACATACAATTTCACGGGGTTGCCGGTGATGGACGTCCAATCACGTGCGAGCCATGAATCTAGGAACAGCTGAGCACTGGCAATTGACTTTGTAAGGGATTCATACACAATCGGGAGCGGATAAATACACTTACAGGGAAAGCACACCACCGCTGAAGTCCTGTATCCAGGAACGAAACGTGGTCACTAAGTGATGTCATCGAGTTGGAAGGGTGACGCTCACCAGGAGGATGTTGGAGATGCTCCACCCTACTGTTGACTTGCGTTGATAATTCAACCATGCCTGCGCGACGACGTGACGATGAGCATTCATATCATTGTATACCAGTGGAAAGGGCAGCGACGATGTGCACGGACGTACCTGGGGCACATACTTGGCGATGGAGACATAGAGTTTGAAGTAACTCAAGTGGTTCAGGAACGGGAGTACCTGCTCTACCCGGCTCGCTACCAATGTCAGGTCCACGACACAGAAGGTCCCGAAAGCCAGGAGGAGGATACGGTTGAAATTGGAAAGGCGTTGGTCGGGTGCGCGCTACAGCAAGTGTATTAGAGTCGGAGATTGGTCGAAGTGGTTGTGTAGGGCGTAGACGTACCGGATACCAGAAGGTCTGCAACAAGGTGATCGTTGCGAGCGTGAATGCCTATATTCTCATTCAGGAGACACTTGGCACAATGTGGAAAGCGCGCACGTGGACAGCGAAAGCAACGTCGTTCGCCCGTACAGAACTGTCATGCCCATCGTTGTGCTCCCGATACTGCCGTCTTACTTCAGCGCTGAAGAACATTGCTGTAGTGAATACTGCATAGGACCCATGTCCGAACGAGTTGAGCCAGGTGAAGTCCATAGACAGCCCGTCCACTCTGAGCGATAGAACAGATGATTGACCTTGTTAAAGGACTTCTATTGCCGAGAGCAGGTCGTGCGCACCTCTTTCGGCGGAAGTTGAGCACCACTTGTCCGTAGAACGAGAAGCTCCATAGGAAAAAGTATGTCCATCCTATGATTATGGATAGCACTTCAAGCGGAGCAGCCATCATCAGCAATACAAACGACAGTGAGCTGACGAGAGCAAGCAGGGGAACGTCGAAGTCGCCATCATGGACGTCGGCTCAGGGGAAAGGCTGCCGTAAGTCCGACCGGCGATTGCGCGACTTTCTGTAATCCCTGAGCCGCCCATAATTTTCGCCACTCGTTCATCCAACAACACTCGCTTATCCAGCAGCACTCGTCCATCTGTCGTCTCCCACCAGTACTACTTCGATAATGGATCCCTCAGACCCCAACCGTCAAGCACGCGCTGAAGCTCATCAAGAGATGATCCAGCGTGAACGTGCGGAGCTCGAATATCTCTGCGCTGATTGTGGGGCTAAGAACCATATCGTCCCGAGGCAGCCGATCAAGTGCATGGAGTGCGGACATCGGATTATGGTGAGTTCACATCTACTGTATTACTTTAGGGCGAGAGGCTGACTGTGGATGCAGTATAAGAAGAGGACTAAGAAGGGTGAGTCAATATGATAAGATGAAATACGATCGAGCTGACCGTTGACCGATGTGTGGTATGATGACTCAGTCGTAAGTTCACATCCTTTCCTGCTTGGAAGACAGCATATCAATGCTTTCAAATAGGTTCAATTTGAAGCTCGATAGTCACTCAGACGATCTCAGTAGCCTTGATTCGTTGTCTTGCTGGAAGATGCGATCCGGCCCAAGCAGCTGCTTTCGACTCATCTTTTGTCATCGCCTCTCCCTTATGTCCAACCATGCCTGTACTCCTACCCATTGAGCTTAATGTACGAACCTTGTCTCTGAAGATTTCACTCGATATTGTGTCTCATCCATGTGCACTGAGCACTCTCTGTTCCTGCATGGTACTGGTCAACCTTGGTCTCCTGCATGGATCCTCTGAGTCCCCTCTGCTTAACTTGTCAACGGAGGTCCTGTGTAACGGCTTGCCGAACAATTGACTGAACGACTCTCTGGTACGCTTTGGATGCGATCAGACAATCTACTTAATCACTAGCCCCCGACCAAACTCCGTTTGGTCTCCGGTTGTTGAACGAGAACGACGTTGTTTGTCTCTTGCCCCGATCTGGCTTTCTGGTTTCGATCCGTTCTCCTTCCAACAAAGAGGGGATAAGCGAAGTTGTCTGTTCTCTGTATGATCAGACGACACATCGGCCAGCCCCAGTCACCCAGGATTGGCAGCGCAACCCTCTAAAGTACTGCTTTATCCACTAGGTCTCGAGATCCTGTAATTCATCCTCGCGATCTTGCCCTGTCCAACCGTGGGAACCGACACGCTCATCAAGGATAAGGGTTCCTGATCGAGCACGATCTCGGCCATATTTCAACACGAAAGGAAGTAACACCACTGCCATACTTCGAGGAATCATGATATTATGCCGTTGGCAAGAAGGATACGTGTACTTGACGCATGTGAATAATAAGACAAAAAAGTACGGTTCAGCAGTCCTTATACAGAAGGAGAATGACAGCTCAGCAGCAGACGTACTTTCTCCAGCCTGTCTTCTCGCGTGGGCCATCCTCGTTCTTCGTAGCGGCCGGGGCTTCCGACTTCGGAGCGGGAGCGGCGGCGACGGCAGGCGCGGCAGTGGTAAGCTCGAGGTCGTACCCTCCTGCCTCTTTGTGCACTTCCGCGGGGTTTTGTGCCGATGCGGGCACTTCGAGGGCAGCGACAGCAGGTGCGGGTGCAGCCGCGGATCTTAGAGCAAAAAATGCACAATTTCAACAATTTATGCATTGCGCGTTGGTCAGGACTGCGGTAGGTTCTATGCTAGGCCTGAGCTCACTGGGCGGCCTTCCCTGCAACGTAGGTGTTCACTACTCCGGCAAAGTACTTGCCCTGGTACTCGGCGACGGACTTTTCGAGATCGGTTGGTTGGCGAGCTGCATAAGATGATCAGTATACATCGGCTGAAGAGCACCGGGGGACGTACAGCCATCGCTGCTCGCCATGGTGGATGCGCCCCATGGGGAGCCGCCGTGGATCTCCTGAAGGTTGAACAGGTTCTTGTCGACATAACCGATCGGGACGTAGATGAGGCCATGATGAGCGAAGAAGGGCATCCTGTGTTCTCGTCAGTTCCGAGGGTCTGCAGTTGAAGGTCGAACTCACGTGGTAAGATGGGTCGTCTCTTGACCACCGTTCTGCGTAGCAGTGGAGACGATCGTAGCCGCGAATTTGCCCACGAGGGCACCCGTAGCCCAGAGTTGGCCAGTAGCGTCAAAGAACGCGGATGCCTGTGCGACCGCACGGCCGTAACGGGTCGGGAAAGCGAAGATGATGCCGTCGTATTCCTTCAAATCGGCGGGGGTGATGATAGGCACAGCGGCGTCCTTGGGAGGAGCGTGCATCTTCCCCAGAATCTCTTCGTTCAGCGTCTCAGGGAACTGGTAGAGCGTCACGGATGCGCCGGCGGACTTTACGCCCTCGACAGCCTTCTCCGCGAGCTGCTTGATATGCCCGTACATGCTGTATATATGCTGTTAGCTTTCCCGGCGTGGACGGGATTGACGTCCGACGCAGCGACTCACGAGTAGTAAATGACTGCGATCTTTGCGGGCATGTTGGTCGTTATTCAGGGAGGGGGATGTCTACGGTGTGGAAGGAGGAGGAAGGGGGGAGGGTTGGTGGCTTGCAAGTAGACGCCGTGCATGATATACATAGTCTCTGAGTGATGAGCAGGTGACTTGGAAGTGTAAAGTTATGGGAAGGCGTACCCCAAAGCAGCAGACGGCTTCCCGGTTAAGGCATCCAAGCCCATCAGTCTGGGTGATGACGAAACACAGCTGACGAAGGCGTGGGCGACTCCTTCCATTTTGGGTAACGTCTTCTCCCGCGTCCTATTCATCATCCCCTCAGACCACACGTTGATCGACCCAGATCGGACCCTTGAACGCTTTATAAGCCTCTGGAATACAGGCCTCCGTTCCGGATCCGGCGGAGATGGTGCTCTTGTGGAATATTTCTTCTCACGCCTGGATAGATTGATATTCTATCGATGGCGCAAGAGTGTAATTGCAAAACGGCCACGCACCAGGCGTCTAAGCAAGGTGACAGAGAACTGGACTGGCTGAGTGATGAACGATGGTGCAATGTGTGCTTTGAACTCGCACCAACCGCTTGCCATCGCCGACCCTGACATACCAGTATTGCGATCGCAATGCGTGCGAGACGTCTTTCCAAAGACCGTTCCATCCGTTGACAAGAATCGAATTATACTGTACATCAAACTCTTACAAGATCCTTTCCTTCCTTCTTCCCCATGCGCACAATCAGTAAGCGACATATGCGACACAAAGCAGGGGGAAGCCCGCCATGAGGGACATCCAGAAGACGACGTTTCCTAGCGTTTTGTTCTTCTTAATAGCAGGGAGACGACCGAGGAATATCATGGGGATCTGACACATCTGCATCATGAACAGGTACATCCTGCGCCGGGGAAGATGAGCAAGCAGCACATGAGCGAGGAGAGCGGACCGCACCGGAATTTCTTGGTCACGATTGCCATTACCAGTTCGTGCATGACAGCAGAGAGGAGGAAGGTGATCCACATAGCAGAAGACTTTGAGATCTTGTAGCTGCTGATGGTGCTCGCGTAGACGTGTCGGAGGAAGAAGGTGTGCACGGGTTTGTTCCATTTGCGCGCGAACTCGTCGAATGTTACCGAGTTCCACCTGCTGGTGGTCAGGAGGATGAATGAGGGAGAAATGTGGAAAAGGGACGGACCAGTCTTCGTAGAACTGCCGATCGGCGAAGCGCGACAGTTCTGCAAATGCATTACATATACACTCAAAGATGAGGTAGAAGAGGATGATATAACACAGCTTCGCTTGTCAGCAACGCCCAGTTAGAAATGGACAGACTCACCATAAACGGGAGTGCGAGATCAATCAAAGAGCGGAAGAACGACTGGTCGGGCCTCGGCGTCAGCGGCATGATATAATGTTCCGTCACAGTGTAGAGGAGTGTGAACGTCCCGAACGTCGCTACGGTCTTCTCGAACAGGTATGTAGGGCGTATGCGGTCCGTACGCGGGTACTCAAGTTCGTACACCAGCGTGGGAATAAGCATGTAATCCGCAAAGTTTGTGAAGGTGACGTTTGCCGGCCAGCGGATCCGGTTCAGGCCTACACTAGTAAGTTCCTGCTCAAGTGAGCCGAGCTCTTCAGCCAGCTCGGAGATTTTGTTGTTAGGATGGTCGAATAGCGGGTGCTGGTGTGATTCTATAGGAGTGAAGTACGGCTTCTTCTCCTTGATGGTTGTGTCTAGCGGGGGAGTAGCAGCGCGCGAACCGGCAGGTGTGCCTTCCACCATGGCCATAATCCTCGGTCGGAGGCCCTCGGCAATCGGGTTTCCCCCTGCGTAGCCCTTCGTCGTCGCACCCTCCGGGAGGAGCGCAGGGGTACCAATAGGGGAATCCTCAGTGCTCGTCTCTTGCTTTTCCCGTGCCTTTTGGGCTTCCTCGAGTGCGTGCTCCCAACCCTCGCTTTCGGAGACGCACAGGGCTCGAAGTTGCCGCTCTAGGGATTCGGCATGCCGGTGCACGTCAGAGAGGTAACCGTTTACCGCCAAGTAGGAGTGAACCTTCATGCACATGACCATTGCGTGCAGGGTTAGGAAGCCCGACTGGACCCAAGGCCATTGGCTGCCCTCATCTGGTCAATCCACCGCTTCCTACCAAGGAGTGCCACATACCGGTTAAACGTCCACGTGATAGCCGCGACGAGCGTGAAGACCATCCACGTATAGTGCAGAACCGCTCCAAACGGCCAGTATCTGAACCACCCTCGCTTGACGGCTTTCATGAGCAAGACGGACATGCCCGTGCTGAGGACTAGCACCCCGTCGCTCAGCGCAAGCGTCTTAGCGTCGCGCGAGAAGAGGCTGGCGAATGCGAGCGAGAGGGGGTACCCATTCTGTTCGTAACTGTTCTCTGGTCAGCATCCTCTAGGCAGCGCTCAGGATACACGCACCTGGTAATGAACGTCCTTATTATAAGCAGAAACATTGCGATCCAGAACAGGGTATAAAACCCTCTGAATTGGTCCTGCCCACTCGTCGCATTCTCCCTATCGAACGCCGATATCCTCGGTGTGAAGCTCACGACCGCGCGGAGGTGTTTGGACCCCCGTGGGCGGAAAGGCTGGACATGGATCGTACCCTCTGCAGTCTCGATCTTGCTCCCTTGGGTAGAGATGGATGCGGTTTGGACGTCCGTGTGTCCGCCATGGGGGTGGCTTGTACCGTTCATTGTTGGTGGGGAGTCGGGGACTTGGATGACGGGTACAGAGGGGAGCCTGTGATAGTCAGATGAGTTGGGAACTGTAGATGTTTGACGCACTCTTTTCCCTCCAACGGTTTGCTCATCCTTGATTCGACCTGTCGATTTCGAGATGGTGGTGCGTGCCTCTCTCTCTCGCCAGGAAACAAGAGTTATATATGTTGAAGGAAAGCAAGCGAGCGCAGCTCAAAGTAAATACTTAAGTTGAGATGATGAGCTGTGCAGTTACTGTAAAAGAAGCAAAGGAGACAAGGCCGAATCAGGGTGGCGGAGCAACGGCCGGAGATTCGGAAGTGATGACGTCGGATTGGTTGACAATAGGAAAGGGTCTCGACTCGAAACATCTTTTGGTAACGTGAGTAGAACATCTGTCAATGGCTGACTGGGCGCCTTTTTGTCAAGAAGGCACAGGGGAACGGAGATATCATCACCTGACATTGCATGGCGTTGCGGGAACTGGGGGAATACATCGGACGCCGATTCAAGGAAAGTGTACAGGCATGTATGTATACAATTATCAACAGGCAATGTACACTGCCTTTCGGTGATCGGGCAAGCCCATGTAGTTCTTTGTACGAGAACGTCATGCAGTACTGGTCAGGAGCCAGACTGGTAAAACTAAGTTGGTCTAAACATTCCAATACCCCGCATTCCAATCGCTAACCTGCAGCTAAAATTATGATTGACTTCGCACTCCTTTCCCACGATCGTTCCAGGCTCGGTACCCGCTTGTTCATCTCCTCGTTGCCCATTTGCAAACACCCGAGTGACCCTCGGGTGAAATCATGCACTATCCTGTGTTGCACCTCCCCTTTACTTTTAACGGTTCGCCCAGCCAGCCGATTCGATGATGTATCCAACCGCAAGCTTGGAGAATTCCAGCATGTGATCAAAGCTGAACTCGTCCGAAATGTCGATTCGACTAGGGATTGTCGGTAAGCCAGTCCAATCCTGATTAAATAGAGCGCTTACTCATTCGCGGTATGGCCGTGTTCCTAGCAATGCGTAGTCAGCAGTTGATATCCTATACCGGTACAACATACCTTATTCTCATTCTCCCAGGCGCTCTCTATACACAACGTCATCAATGTCCGATATCTAGGAGAGTCAATGTTGACTTGCCGAGACAGAATCCCCAACGGTAGCCGGCTTTCCTCCACGATGCGTGATCCGAGCATGCAAACCCGCATTTCGTGTCGACATATGGGATACTGCAATACATGTTGACCAAGGTTCGTATAAACTCGGCGAGGCTGGATTGATCCCAGACATACGCGTCAGCATAGAGGACGAGCCTCATCCTCAAGTTCCTCACTCGGCATCAACATAGTCGGTGATGATCCCGATTTCTTCACGCGTTCCCCGCTTGACCCACGCCGTCATATCAAACTGAATCATAGATTGGATATTGACATTTCTCTCGGCATAGGACTGAGCCACAGCCTGGGATCCGAGCAGACCGCCCTCCTGTTTCCAAATTTAGATGATGGCAGGGTATGCCACATTTGCTCACCTCCGCTGCGTACCAATGGAATTCCACGTCCTGCACCGGTGTGTAGTTGCTAGCAAGCAATCCTGAGAAAAGGAGGTAAGTCCACACGAGGAAGTTCCCTTGGAAAGACGACACACCTCTGTACGCTTCGAGGATAGTCATGGTTCCTGAACCTACAAGGAAGGTTACATCCAGCGACTCGTCCAGATCCTAACAAAGCACGCTCACCATCATCGTCTGCTCCAGGCGCAGGCAGGAAGGGGTCATAATTGGTAGAATCTAAGTGTGCGCCAATGACGACAGTGCCCTTCTCCGCCGTCGCGGCTTTAGAAGCTCCCTTGATTCGTAGGATCTACCGCACACTATGGATCAACGGTCGGTCGGTCCTCTATGCGCGAGGCTACTTACGATCGAGTTCTGCCCCCAAGGGTGTATGAATTCAGTGAGGTTAACGAGGTGCTTCAGGGAGGGTGAGGCGTATTCGGCTGTGATCTACGTATGAGCGCACAGGTGAGAGATCATATGCAACCCCAGGACTGTTACTCGCCTCACTAACTGATACGATTCAAAAGCCACTTCTGGCTCTCCTTGCCCGTCTCACTCCGATAGTCTAGAACAGGTTTAGCATCGAGCCTGAGTGTGAGGAATACAGTGGATTGTGCATACAACGGGTACGGAAACTTGTGAACTTCTGTAAGTTGCTGATCATACCATCGACCGTTAAGTTCGCGATGACGGCATTCACCAGACTTTGCTTGTCTGGTGAGGGATACGCTTTGAAGTGATATGAGTGTATAATGCAGTTGATCCGTTGACCGAGCGGTCTTACCACGGGAACGAGCGAGGGGTGTTGGAGGACGCTTGAACCACGGCGTATGGGTTCTGGGGAGAGATCACTCAAGCGCATGAGCTTGATTTGGGGTTGAAGACTCACATATCAAAGAACTACGCAGTACGGGATCTGCAGGTGAGCGGAGGATGTATATGTTCGTTGAACGCTCACTTGACGGCCCGAGGCTTTCGCTCGGATCTGGCAGGCGCATGGTCAGTGGGTTCAACAACAGAGGACGAAACACAACGGCGCACCTTGTCCCGTTCCGTTATCCACATAGGCTCCTCATCCTCGGCGAACTGAACAAGTCTCTGCTCGTTCAGGTCCAACGTGAAGCCTTCAGGGACGGAAGAGAGTAGCTTCTGGCTAGCTAATGCCAGTATCGCGGCGCACAGAATTGGAAGTCGACGCATGTTGAGAGAGAACTTGTGCATTCGAGTGAGCGCTGGATGTGCGGGGTTTAGCAATCCCAGTGGCGAGGATGACGACTTGCGCAGCGAGCATGTCGAGATGAGGTCAAGTCTGTCGCAGCCGGTTCTAACATTCCAATGTACATTCCAGTCGCATAGTTGTCTACATCATCGTATCAATTTGGCCTTGCTCTTGCATGATCACGAATTTCCATTGCAGAAATGTCCGACCTCATAGAAGAAAGTAGACAATAAACAACCATATGGTATTCGGTTCCGGAGTGTTCTTATTACGACTTGCAACATCGTGGCATCAGGGACTAACCAACATTGATTGTTCACTTCGGCGTCTAATATCCCTTATACCCTCTGATTTGCTTTATTCCCCCCCGTACTGCTTGATATACAACGTTCACCTACTGTCAACTGCAATTACCATAACTGGAAATATCTGTACAATCTTCTGGGAAATATCTGCGTTGTCAGGGAGGGGAAAGGCGTGCGAGGGGTGAGGCTGCCTGCCTACTTCGATTCACGCTCAACCTCGCGTATCACAACTCGTGAAGAGACGTATGCGACGCCTTTCCTCTGCGGTATACACCTTCCCTCACTTTACCCTCTTCTCCTCTCCCTTTAACCCTTCATAACAAACCACCATGTTCTCCCGTGCACGTCGGCGTCAAACAGCAGACTACGAACGTCCTGAGCCGGTGCATTTCAACGACCCAGAGGATATCGCAGCCATCCGTTCCATACACTCCGGCCATCATTTTCTAGGACGTCAACAAGGCAGCGTTCGACCGTCATTCGATTCTCAGCGAGATCCCATAGCCGTCGCCCCCGCTTTTGAGCCGAGTCACTTTCTCGATCCCGCACCAGAGCCTACAGAGCGCAGAGGATGGTTCTCCCGCTTGCGGCGGCCTGCTGCTGCGCGCACTGCCCCACCCCCGACGCGTCCTGAACCCCCAGACGATGTCGTACCCATGACACCTATCGCCGGGCAGCCGCAAGGAAAGCCCACACCTCTTCGCAAGAGCAGGAAGCGGTTCTCCCTCGAAGAGGACGATCCGTTTTGCCCTCGAGCAGGCGTGTCTGCTGAAGACGCGGAAGCGATGCGCTACGAAGCTGGACCGAGCGGAGTCCCTCATTCCGACAAGGGCAGCGTGAGGCAGGGGAGTGCGAGGGAGGAAGTACGCTCGCAGCGCTCGATGGCTAGGAGCCAGAGGTCGGACCCGCATGCGCAAGGTTTCGCATATGCACAGTTTAGTGAGGAACATCATCCAGCGGCAGCGGAATACCCGCCTATTTCGCAGATGGACAGAGGGTTCCAGAGGATCAGCGGGGGGAAACTGACCAAGAGAGGGAGGAGGAACACTTTGGTACGTTGCTTTCTCCTGCGTTCTTTTCTGCATGCTGAACATGCATCCAGGAAGGCTCCGAAGGTGCACCAGACCTGTCAGCCTACATGCCCGCCCAATCCGAGCGCAATCTCCCGCCAACAACCGACGCGCCTCGAAGGCGGCTCTTCTCCCTCGGACGGCGGAAGTCCACCACCGGCCCTGCACCTGCACCCGCGCCCGCGCCCGCACCTGCACCTGTACCTCCTCCCAAATCCGCCTCTGTCCGATCGGTGCGCAGCGAAGGCCCCCCTGTGCCGGCACACGATGCTCCCCTTCCTTCTTCCCCTGGTTCCCCAGGCCCGGGTAGCATGCACGAGCAGCCTTTCCCACTCGTCGTCGCCCGGGAGCTGACCGCCTCCCCCGCCCACTCCCGCACAGCTAGTCTCCCCGACCGCCGAATCTCAGACCCGCGCAGCGCCGGCTCCGGGGGCACGCGCCGTTCCTCCCGGCGAGTATCGGACGTGCCCTTCCCCGGCCAGCCCCCAGCAGGCTACTACCCAGAGATGTACCACGACCAGACTGTCTTCCAGGAAAGCGCGAGCATTGCCCCGACGATGTCTCGCGGCCCGCCGTCGTTGCAGGAACAACGACAGCTACAGAGGAACGTGCTTTCTCGTCGGTCGGCGAGGAGGAGCACTAGAAGCGGGAGCGTGATGGGTTCTGAAGGGGAACGGAGTGGGAGTGTGCGGCCGGAACAGGGTCATCCGCCGGGGAGCACGCAGGGGAGTGTGCATGGACCGACTATACATTCCCCTGAGGGCACGCCGGGGGAGGCGAGGGACCCGTTTGATCGACCAATGCCTGTGACGGAGGGGCCGCAGAGGAGGAGAGTGCTTAGGTTCTTGCCCCCTTTTGGGAGGAGAGAGGTATGTTCCAGTTCAGGTTGATGAGCACGTGCTGATACATTTGACAGACGTTGCAGTCCCCTATTGAAGAACGGTCGGAGGGCACATGGGAGCAGTCTCCGAGCGAGGAAACTCGCCCACGCAGGCCGAGTCTCCTGGGGAGGATGATGAGGCGGCGATCTGTACGCTGATTTCATTTTATATTCTACTGCGACTGACAGCGCTAGACTGAGGGCCCGAGCGTACACGAAGCAGAAGTTCCTGCAAGCGAGGGCGACCAGCATTCGCAGAAAGGCACGCGTGGAAGGAGGAGCAGTCTCCTCCGGACCTTTACTCGCAGGGTTAATGTCAGTCTCCCAATCCCTCTATTGACGAAAGCGGCAAGCGCGCTTCTTTATCCGGTAACTGACTGTCCTTGAAGGACGGCCCAACCGAAGTCATTGGTGACTCACCGATGTCGCCCGAGATGGGTTCCCAGCACGCCGGGAGCTCGCACCAAGGCAGTCGGGGGCGGAAGAACAGTCTTTTAGGCTTATTCAGGCGCAGTTCTAGGGAAGAGGTAAGCCACCACAGTCATGCCATTGTCTTTGTCTTTGTCCTTCCACACATGTTCTTGCGTCTTCCTATCACTCTTGCGGTAACCACGTGGTCGCCGCATGCCATCAAAATTTCCGTATTAATGGTTATTTCAGCCACACGAGGAGGCACCTCTTGCCACGTACGGCTACGATATCCCAGGCAGCGTACAAGACGAAAGCAGTCACACGGGCACGCAGCGCTCGCGCTCATCCAAACGACGCAGAGGTAGCTTACTGTCACGCTTGAGAGGCAATAGGATGGTTGGTCGTTATTTCGTATTGGTCCTGAGCTGGCACTGACTGCTGGCATAGGAGGAAGATGATGCTGGAGCGCCTGTCGACGACCAGGGGTTGCATGACGAGGGGATGCATGGTACGGAGGGACCGCATGAGTTTGGCGGAGACGAGCACATGCCCGAGGACATGCATTTCGAGCCCGCGGTGCGCTGGATCCTCCTCCTCTGATGCTCTATGACTCACCCTCATACAGGGCGATGAACATCCAGCGTATCCGGTGGAGGGCATGCAGGAGCACTCGGGCTGGGGGGAGCCGACGGACATGCCTTCCCAGCCAGAGTGGCACGAACAGGAGGCGATGGCCGACGCGCCAACTACTCAGGAGCCAGAGGGCATCCCAGTTATCGCTCGTGCCGTCCCGGCCGAGAGCTCCGTACGCCCCTCCTCTCTAGATCTCATCCCAGCCATACTGACGCAGCCTGCAGGCAGCAGCAGCCGCACCGCCCGAACCGCTGTACTACCAAGTCCCGCCACTCGATCCTGGGGCACCTGTGGTGGACGCAACGACGTTTGGGATGTCCACGCCCGGCACGCGTATCAAGAAGGAAGCGTTGTTCGACGGGGCTCTCGTGCTATATGTTGACGAGGAGGCGAAGGTCGATGTGCGTCGTCTCCCACCCCGTAGACAGAGCAGGATACTGAAAGGACTTGTTATAGGTTGGTAGGCTCACGCCTGACGGACAGGTCGAGTTCGACACTCCCGTACCCGAAGGTTGGAAGATAGATGCCATAATCACCTTCCCTGCCGGGCTCGCTCTCAACCCTGCATGACCAGGCAGTGTCTGCGACGTACATTTTGTACAATACTGTACATATTGGCACTCGATGCGCCACGAGTCCGCGCTGTTTCGTCTGCCTGGGAACGGCGTGAATGTATATAAATCTGGTTCCTAGTGCCTGAGCTGTTGCACGTTGTTGTCGTTTACATAAGAATGTCTGTTGTAGCAGTGCAATCCCATGAATCAAATCGATGCAATCAATGCAACCCATTCAATCAAGTTGACTTTTTTCACACGCGGTCTTATCGTTTCAGCCACCGTACTCAGCAAAAAGAAATGTGATAACAGTGTTGTGCATCAAAAACAGGCAGTAGGGTATGTGCAGCAGTGCAGGTCAAGACAATGCAATGCCTGCTCGGTTGCTAGCACCGGCAGTGTGATGTATTGTGTAGTCGTAAAAGTGGGTAATACGAGATGAGTGGACAGGACAAGACAAAGATGAACGCGATCCGATCAAGGACCGCTCCTTCCCCCAGTCCTGGTACGGTCTCGGACTCTCCAACATGCAAGAATTCTAACCAATCCAACGGAAGTTACGATTGTGCTTTAGGTGCAAAACGGGTAACCGGCACGGCCGGTACACGAACAGTGTGAAATTTCCAAATTGAGGGGGGAAGGGGGGAATGCCAGGCTGGATGATGAAGGGAGAACGAAGGGGAGTAGTCGTTCGGGTATATTGAGCGGATTGTGCGTGCTCAGCGCGTGTGACGCGTCTAGCTGAAGACGTACTGGTCGCCGAGCGCCGACAGGGACCCATCCTGGTTCATCAGGCCATCCGCGGGGTTCACACCCTCTGCATAGCACAATCAGAATCGTCATTGTGGGGATGTGGGGAAAGGCACTTACGCATATCGCGCATCATGCCGAACCAGAAGTGGTACTCAACGAAGTCTTGCGAATCGAGCCAGCTAACGGTCTGTGACATGAAGCCGGGGACGTCGTCGCACTGGGGCCCGCCATTGAAGTTCTGGCAAGCGAACTCGGTGACCCAGATGTTCCGGTTGAAGGTGGTGTGCCAGAGGTTGACGTAGGTCTGGAAGTCACCAGCGTCAGTACCGTAATAATGCAGGCACATGAAGTCGATCTACACCAGAGAGGGTCAGTACAACACTGACAAGTGGGGGGCGTGACATACTGTGCAGTCTGGGCAAGCTGACATGAAAGTGTTGGTCCAGTCCATGCCATTGGGGTTTGACGAGGTGGCAGCAGAACCGAGGCGGTAACCGTGCTGGTCCTTCAGCCACTGCATGTTGTTACGCCAGTAGGGGACAGCGCTGTTGGGGTCGATGTTAGACTGGCCGGACTCATTGGGCTCGTTGAAGAAGAGAGCAACATTGGCGCCAGCGTTGAGGATGTTCGCGGACCATTCGTCGGCCTTGTCCGGACCCCAGAAAATGGGGGCGAAGGACATCTTGCCACCGCTGTTGACCGGCCAAACCGACCAGGTGTGATAGTACAGGCAGTTCCCGTGGTCAGTCAGAATGGTTCCATCGTCACCGTTAGGCCAGCCAAGACCACACTTTTCGCCGCCCGAAGAGGCGGGACCCTGGGGAGTAGACACAGGTGCAGGTGCAACGGATGTGCTTGAAGGCTGGCTATCGTCGGTGCTGCTGGTAGGCTGGGTCGAATCACTGGTAGAGCTGGAAGAGGCCGCAGCAGACTTGGGCGTGCAGTTGCCGCGCTTCTTGTGGGCACTGCGAGCCATGGCTTCTTGGCCTGAAGCCGAGACAAGGAGGGCAAGGGAGATGAGGGAGATGAGAAGAGAAAGGCGAGCCATTGTTTATGTGTTGTGGGGTGTAAAAACGCGTTGGAAGCGGCGGAAATGACCGTGTTGATATAAACGAGTGGGTTTGAACAAATGAGAGTGACTACGCCGTCCAAAAGCGGGCAGAAAGCGGGTGGATGGCGAGGAGGACGAGGAGGACGTCGAGGAGAGAGTGAGAGACGATGAGGGGGGGGGGGAGTGAAGAAAAGAAAGAAGGAAACAAGGTGAAGAGGAAACATGGTTGTGCGTTGGGTTAATTTGGCGCCGCCAAGGTGGTTGCGAAGGGTTTCCAAACGAAAGAATTACTTCCGGTGCTTCCGCGTGATTCAGCGATGTATTAATTGTCCCTGTCCTTTCAACCGTGTTACCATACTGCACATCCATTCGTCACTTTGCCTAGCCTTTTATTATACACCAAATAACAACCACTTTCACTCACCTCGTAATATCGCGCAGTCTTTTTCTCACTTTTGTTTACATTATGAGCAATACTACTCATAACCGTACCTGAATTAAACAGAACCCTTACAATCCTTGCACGAAGAGTGCCCCTTCCTTCCGGGACCGTCTGCCCCATTCAATGGATCCAAACCATCGTATCCAGGAAACGCCAAGTGTTACGTGTTCCGATTTCTATTCTCACCTTGCGACTTGCCAGCGCGCGTCGCCCTTCGTGTGAAGCGGGTGCACTTTGCGCAGCAACTGGTTCTTGGTTTACTTATTTGGCGCCTCGCTATTCTTGGCTGCCCTTCTCTTTTTCCATGCGCGTCCAGCAGACGCGTCGCGTTCTTCTACGTTTCTACAGTTTGCGGGGGTCGTGTTGATCTTGAAATTATGCAAAATTAGTCCCTTTCTAGTATACCTGTTTGTACATCGTATCGTCCGCCCCAATGCAACGTGTTCTCGGTGTCAGTAATGAGTCAAGAACTTTCGCGTGGTATCATGAAAATATCCTGACTAGTAATTTACTGTAAATATTTCAAGTCCATGCTGCGCAACCCTTTTGACTGACATCCAGGCGAGCAATTCATCTTCAGTATAAACCAGGCTCTGCTAGAACATTCGGCGCTCCATTACCGCTCCACGGCAGCTGTTAAAGCACCTGCGGAATTAATGCCTTGTGAGCGGCCTTTAGAGTACGTTGGTTATTATTCCCGCACAGTCAAGCTCCTGTAATTAGAAATTTATCCGACTACCGCTCCCACCTTTTTGTCCGAGGCTTACGACGATCGACGAAGGACACATCGACGTCATACCTCAATACTACGCGTGTCCATGATGGTAAGCATTATCGGTGACTATACAGTCACCAATTGTCAAGCCCGTAATCGGGCCCAACCGTATCACGCGGACATCGAAACGCTAGGGGGGCGGGAGAGGTCGCGTGCCGCTGCGTTCTGACACAAGATGAGTCCGTACCATCCCCCTACAACTCATAAGGGGCCAGACACGTAAGGACGGAGTACAGCATAGGATTTAAAAAATGCATTAGATAGGAGTAGATTCTTCTAGACAAAGACCAAGTCGCGCTTCTTGGTGCGTGTTGCAAGCCTGTTTTGCGGCTGGGCCTGTCCTGTCGTCTGGCTCCGCGCGGCCCTGAAGTAAAAGTCGGACGCATCGCCACTTTGACCGACCATCGTTCTGACCATTAACCACCACCATCAAGAGAGAACGAGCGCAAGCATCCAACGCCGTCCTCGACGTTCAAAACCAAGCAACCCCCTACCGGCCTATCAAACGCACGCCTCGTCTCCGGTCAATACCCGCACAATGTCTGAGCCTACTGCCGCCGCTCCGCAGCTCGCATCCGCCCCCAAGGACGCTGTGCCCGCTCCGACCGACGCGGTCAAGCCTCAGGAGAACGTAGAAGTGAAGGTCAACGGCGCCAACGGCGCCGCTGTAGAGGAGCCTGCCGGCCCCAAGGTGTGTAATTTTTGTGCGCATATATGCGCCGTCTTCCTTACCTCGTCATCGCGTTTCGGCTGAACGCGTTGTTGCATAGGTTTTCGCCGGCAACCTCGCCTACATCACCTCTGAGGAAGGTCTACGCGGCTTCTTCAAAGAGTTCGAGGCAGATATGTACGTATATGCGCGCATATATGCATATTTCTGAGCATCGATGATACTGACTCTAATCTCCGATCAGTCTCCATGTCAACCTTGTCCACCGTGGCCCTCGCCCGGCCGGTTACGCCTTCGTGACGTTCTCTGCCCTAGAGCGTGCTGAAGTCGCCGTCACGGCTCTCAACGACAAGGAGCTCGACGGCCGCAAAGTTGCCGTCCAGATCGCCAAGCCCGTAGAGGAAAAAGAGAAAAAGCCCAAGAAGAAGAGGACGAGGGTAGCTCCTAAGCGGGTTGGCGAGGTCACTGAGGAGGAAGCGGAGGGTGAAGGTGCGGCTGAGCCAGCACCTGCCACCCACGCTAGGATCGACGTGCCAGAAACCGTCGCTGCCGATGCCAAGGAGGCGCCCAAGAAAAAGAAGCCGGCTGTGAGTCAGAATAACACTACTGCCATTCCCGATTAACGTTCTTCCGCAGCGCAAGCCCAAGCCGGCTCGTCGTGCCAAGGCCAATGGTGACGCTGCTCCGGGAGAGGCCACCGAGGGCGCAAAGGCCCCAGCTACCAAGGCTGCGCAGCCTGCCCCTGAGAGCGACGAGAAGGCCACCCGTGTCAAGAAGCCTCGTGCTCCTCCCCGCCCTCGTCGTCCTGCTGGAACGGACCCTGTCGGCACCCTTTCGCCCAACATGCTCTTCGTCGCCAACCTGCCGTTCACGGTGACGGACCAGACGCTCGCGGAGATGTTTACCTCCGCCGGCATCAACATCGTCTCTGCTCGCATTGTCAGGCGCCGTTGGCCCCCTCGCAGGAGCAAGGGCTACGGCTTCGTTGACGTCGGTGACGAAGCCGCGCAGAAGAAGGGTATTGAAGCGGTCAATGGGAAACAGTTCGAGGGGAGGGAAGTCGCCGTCAAGGTGGCTGTGAACACCCAATTGGAGGATGCGGAGAAGGAGGAAGCTGCTCAGGAGGGAAGCAGCCCGGAGGCGACTGTGCTGGCTACGTGAAGGGAATGAGGGTCAAAATACCCTTGCAATGTGCGTGTCCGCTCATTCTTTCCAAGCCAGCCCCACCCTATGTCTATCGTTTGCGTTCGTCTCGCGCCGTGATCCCCCTTCACTCGTTTCATGCTTCGATACTCTAGTCGTTCCAGCCCTGTGTTGTTAGTCAGTCACATTCATTATCCATTGCACAAACGATGCCATCGCAACTCTTCGTTGCAGTCGTCCCACCTGCCACTGGACCCTGTGAGAAGCACCGCTTTATACCTCGTTGTCTTTCCCGTTTGGGCAAGCAAGCAGTTTTTGTCACCTAAGTATCCCGCGGATCCCAGCACACTGCGGGCCGCTCGGCCGCCATTGTTCGCCAAGAGGGTGCCAAGCTGGATGTTTATGTTTTCTTTAGACTTGTGGGCACACCATTGAGGATGACTTCTGATCGGTTAGAGGGGTAAAGCTCGAGAAGGGAAGCTAATTTCGTCCGAGCGCCAGAACACATCATGGGCGAATCCACTCTGCTGATGCCGGATAAGGCGTTCTGATGCAAGTGATTGTGGTCTTCTTCCCCACTGGCTCCTATCAAAAGCCCCCCCAGAGTGAGGACTGTGACGCCACGAAGGGCGATTTCGTAAGTTGGGGGCTAGAACATGCACTGAGTCGCTACCACTTTTCCGCCGAAGACCGGCGCGACGCGTGAACAAAGGGTGTTATAGCCACGTTTCTCTCAACAACAGCCCGAGACAAGGCTCGGATTCTCGTGAACATGAGACCACGTGGGCGTTTCCAAGGGGAGTGCAGGGACAAAACGGCCTGAATTCCGGAATCGACTACATACAAGGCACAGGCTAAGGATCTCAAATGGAATACGGCAAATGTTCGTGCATTTTTGGATGGTACCGGTGAATGCTCTATCCTCCGGACAAAGGTGACGCGTACGTGAAGGAACAGTACTGAGGCGTGAACAAAGGAGTGCGTCTACATGTAACCCAGCTACAACTACGGAGTGGTAAGTTACGTCACTCGGAAGAAAGCTAACTATATGCGCACCCCCCGCTGGATGGAAAACCGATACAGCATAGCGGTGATGACGATCATGTCCATCTATGTGCGTATATGTTTCAGATGCGATCGGCGGGTTGTTACGCAACATACCAGAGGAGGGTGAAGCACAATGCCACCGTCCTTCGGGACGATATGCAGTTCTCCACAGACTTCTTGTCCCATGTATCGCAGAGTTGACTTCACCATGCGATAGAAAGCAATTTTGAAGCCAGTCGGATCTAAAAGGTGCAGTTCTCCATTAGGTGCCGTGGTCCACATGTACTGTTCGACAAATTAACTTAGTTAGGTTGCCAATACTGGTTGTCAAACTCACGATGTATCCATCGGGTCCTGTGAAAAGCCGGTCCCTGTGAGTCAGAGTCAGGCGCCTATTTTGAGGTATACAGTGATGATACACAACCATTCTCCATAGCCTTCTCTGCGCATCATATCGGCCATTGGCATGGAAAGGCGACCCATTACGGCACGGCCCCAGCCATCGTTGCCGCTCCATTCAAGTCGAGCGATACGATCCTCCTTGTTATTTCGGATGCCCTTCAGGATGGTAGTGATAACCTCGCCGGTGTGATCCTCCGTAATGAAGCGATAAGTCATTGCATAGCTGGACGGGAACAGGGCCGAGTCACGAGGATCACGGGAGGTCCTAAAACGTAGCCACCGGTCAACTCGAGTCAACAACAGTAGAACCACATTATTATTCACCAGTTAAAGGTTGTAGGTATACCAGTCATGGCGATAAGTGTTGTAACAAGGAGTGAGCTGGATCTGAATGGGGAGCGACGAGACACAAAGATAGAAGATATGTTGCTGTTGACTGTCTGACAAGGTTATATCACCTGTTATATACCTTCCCATAGGGTGTCGCAGGGTGTCACAGTCAAGGAATTCGCCATGCTGCTGTCTTCCAGGTGCCACTTATTCTTCTCGTGGCCTTCCAAGTTGGGAACTTGCGAGTTGACACCGCCACTTTGTTTCATGCTCTCCCCACACGCCGTCAACTGGCAGGGGACAGCGGACACCGAGGGGTTAGCGGTAGTCAGTACGCGTGGCCACCCAGCTAGAGAGGCCAGACTTCTGCATGGCGAATGGAGGGGAAGGTGGATGAGCGTACAAAAGGCAAACGCCCCGGACTTATACCGCTCGTAGGCCTGACGATCGAACTCGAATCGCAGCATGCGTTACACCAAAACCCGCTTCAAGAAACGGATTAGCCACGGGAATCGGGGCGATGTATGCGATTATGGTTCCTTGGCAACGTGGGCGAAGCGCAGAGTGTCGGGATCCGTTGATGGCCGCTCGGCGTTTGTCCTGGAGCGGAAAGAGTGCTGATTGTATTCACTTCTGGACGACGTAAAGGCACGGACGGACCCGAGCGTGCGTATCGGTTCCAGCGAATAAAGGCCGTGCCTCGCGCTGCGTTGAAAGGCCCGAACCTCATTGTGATCACGTTGTGTGACTGGACCCCAGCTCGTTGTGCGCAGGTGTTGAAGATGCGGCAGAACACGCGTCAACGCAGGAATGCTGTCTATGTTGATGGTGGTTGAGCCGATGCCAATCTAGGGGAGTCGACCGTATCGTCGTTCGACACAACCGCATATGCGAACTCTCACATGGGGCCTCGAGGACCCCAAAACAGCTTTCCCACCAATGTTTCCCGTTCTTCTACCATCCTCCACACTCATCCACCGCGAAACTAAAGCTTAAAGCCTTTAGCTAGGTTAATCAGGCCAGTTTCGTCCTTCTTGGTAAAAATAAGCATCGAGCCTTATTACGACTGCCTTCCACACATTGACAAGGGATGCTTCGAAAGGCGAGGCCCGTCTAGTGGTTTGCTGGCAGGTCTTAACGACTGTGACTTGTAATCCCTTATCTTGGACCAACAAGGTGAGCAATAAAACCAGATCACTGTCACTTTGTCCCTCATAGGAGCCAAGACGGGTGGTGCCCGGTCCATGGCCGACCACATCCTGGTGACTCAACCAGTTAGAGTCGTAACAGGAAGCAGCCCACGAGGGGATAAGCGCCGAAGAACCGGGTGCCGATGTGCCGCGGCCACGTGCAGTGATCATCTACAAAAGTAGCTTACATATCTATTCACGTCTGACCCCTTCGTGCTCAGTGAGGTAGAACCTCCGGATGAAAAGCGGGTGGTACCTCTGCCCAGTGGCGACCGCCAGCACATACTGGTCTGAGCAAGACGTCGAACGACATAACGCGCCGCTGCCTCGTGTCTGGTAAAGGGAAATGCGCGTGCTCTAGTCTTATGGTAGTGATTTGTATAGTCGCGTTGTAAACCAGGTGTACCGTCATAATTGGTTAGCAATCTCAACAAGAGGATCGCATCGGCAAGGGTTGGCCCTATTGCTTGCACCGCGGAGGGGCAGCCAATGTCGCTACGTAGTCGGCGTTCCTGCAGGGCAGTCGGGAAAGATCTTCCGTTTTCGTTCTCTGAAAGAAGGTTAGAGAACCGACATGACGTTGACACACGGACATCCATGAGACCGGGTCGGAGCTGAAACACCTTAGGCCCAGGTGTGTTGCCAGCGGAGGATAAATATGCACTTGCGAAGCATTCAGCCGCTCAGTGAAGAAAGCGTGCACGGAAACCCAAAGAAGGAAGTGAAATTACAGGCCCTCCGGCACTCTTCTCGTTCTACATGTCGCCGGTACACTCCAGAGTGTCGCAATTGACGAGGAAGTCTTCCCTTTTCATCGACATTTCGCCGTTTGCCTGTTCCAATAGCCAATCGCAAATTTGACTCGGATGTCGGGAAAGAAGGCAGCGTATCGGCCGTTGATGCCAACGATGTACAGCAACACATGCTCTGGGACACTATTCAGAGTGTGGAGCACGAGAGTCGATTGATGCGAACGCACCTGATCCTTAATCCTACAGCTGCCTTATTCCACGAAGTTAAACCTATGGTATGACGGCAACTGAGTTGTTCTTGGCGGTCGCGATGACAGTTTTTGCGATGGCTTCTAGGGATATGTTCGCCATATGTTCGTCAGTTGCCTTGATTTTTGCAATCTCATATACATGCTTGAGACTGATCGTTCCGATGGGCTGATCATGCTTCCCGTTGCCCTTGTCAATGCCGACGATCCTCTTGAGGAAGAACGCCGTTGGCGGGGTTTTTGTTTGGAATGTGAACGTCCTGTCCGCATTGACGTTGATAGCGGTTGGTATAGGAACACCTGCTTCAATATGTGCTGTCCTGGCGTTGAACTCCTTGCAAAAATCCATAGACTTGACACCTCTTGCACCTAGAGCAGGTCCAACAGGCGGTGTTGGGGCCGCCTTGCCAGCCGGTATGAGCAGCCTCTATTCACACTTTGTTAGTCTGGGTGTCATGAGCCATCAAAGACGGCACGCACAACAAAAGAAGCCTTTGCAGCCTTTGCCGCCATGGGTAATATGAAAGAGAGTTGAATTGGCTTGGGGCCGAGGAGGCGCTGGGGAGAAGAGGAGAGGCGTTGCGGTTGACGGTGAAAAGGCAGGCGTCCAGCATGCTGATGTAATCCTCCGCGTTCCGATCACGAGAGCGCCTCGTCAGCCCTCTCCAGTGTGGGTTGTTGAAGACCCTGCACCGTTTCCTTCTCCTCCTCCTTTCAACTCTGGTGCAATACTATCTGGACATCAACCATGCGTGTATTTCTGAGTTCTCTTCTCTGTGCTGCTATTCTTGGATACCGGGCCGGAGCCGTTGTTATTGACGACTTCAGCATGACCAGCCAGAAGTTCTTATCGTCTGGTGTTCCCGAAGGATTCACGCTCGACTTGAATGAGGAGAGACTTGTCCAGTTCGCCGAGGATGACAAGCCTGTATGGATAACGGAACGGGAGAAGGTGCGCAGCTTTGTATCGTGTTCTGTTGTTGAACCCGCTGACCATCCCTGCTAGATCCGAGCCAAAGCTTTGGGCCGGAAAGTGCGTCCTGCCAATTGAACACATGCATCCTACCTACTCACTTGCACATGCGTATTCCGTAGTTCTTTGACATGTAAGTCTTCTGCCATACATTAGGCCCGTTCGAATTGACTCCCTCTTCCCAGAACCCATACGCCGTGGTTCAAGCGTCCTCCAACATCCCTCGCTCCTTCCCTTGGTGAGACCGCTCGGTTAACGGATCAAATGCTTTATATACTCATATCACTCCAAAGCGTATCCCGCACCAGACAAGCAAAATCTGGTGAATACCGTCATCGCGAACTTAACGGTCGATGGCATGATCAGCAACTTGCAGAAGTTCACAAGTTTCCGTACCCGATGTATGCAAAATCTTTTGTATTCTTCAGGCTTCTGCTGAATCTTTCTTAGACTATCGTAGCGAGACGGGCAAAGAGAGTCAGAAGTGGCTTTTGAATCGTATCAGTGAGGCAAGTCGGAGTTTCCCGGTTGGATGTCATGGGATCTAACACGTGCGCTTCATATGCAGATCACAGCCGAATACGCCTCACCCTCCTTGACATACCTAATCACCCTCACTGAATTCACACATCCTTGGGGACAAAATTCGATCGTGAGGGACCGCACAGATTTAGGGACGAAAATTTGCTAATCCACGAATTGTGGGCAGATCCTGAAGATTAAGGGCGCTTCTGAAGCGGCAGCAGTTGAGAACGGCACCGTGGTGATCGGTGCCCACCAGGATTCCGCCAATACGATTCCCTTCCTACCGGCGCCCGGCGCAGACGATGATGGTGAGCGTGGTTTGACGGGGTGCCGGCCCGTTGTATGTCTAACCCTTCCTTGCAGGGTCAGGAACCGTCACCATCCTCGAGACATATAGAGGTATGTCGTCTTTACAGTGAACCCTTCCACATAAGACGAAGTTCTTTTTTCCCAGGCCTGCTTGCCAGCAACTACACACCGGTGCAGGATGTGGAATTCCATTGGTACTCAGCGGAGGTAAGGAACGTGGGGCACACATGCACTTGTTTATCAACTAAATTTGGAAATAGGAAGGTGGTCTGCTTGGATCCCAGGCTGTGGCGCAGTCCTATGCTCAGGAAAATGTTAATATCCACTCTATGGTTCAGTTTGATATGACGGCGTGGGTCAAGCGGGGAACGCGTGAAGAAATCGGGATTGTCACCGACTACGTTGATGCCGAGTGAGCCGGGATTTGAGAAGGATGTGGTTCGATTTCACTGCTGATATCTTCCACCAATCCAGTCTCACCGAATTCATACGAACCCTCGTCAACACTTATTGTGGTATCCCATATGTCGACACACAATGTGGGTATGCATGCTCTGACCATGCCTCGTGGGGGAAGGCAGGGTATCGTTCGGCATTCGGCATTGGTAAGTCAGCGTCAACGTCCCTTTTGGATGTCGAACCCTGATTATGCTGTGTACAGAGAGCACTTTTGACAATTCGGATAAGGTATGGTTCTATGGCGGTCCGGGAGATTGAGTTGCTGACCGACCCTTTCAATCAGAATATCCACAGCACGAACGAGTGAGCACCCTGTGAATTAAATGACAAGCCACCTCACGACAATATTTTGTTGTAGTCGCATGGATATTTCGGACGAGTTCAGCTTCGATCACATGCTGGAATTCTCTAAGCTTGCTGTTGGCTATATCATTGAAACTGCTGGGTGGTCCAAACTCTAGTCGCCTTACTCTCTGATATTCCTCCGTCGTGTGTACTCTCGCCAGCAATGCTATCGACTGTTTGATCTTGGACGTGGCTTCCTGCGATCTAAGCGGGAGCATCGGGCCCTATTTTCTTCCTGTCACCTATCTACGAATCCCTCGACAGGATGCGGAGATAGGTTGTCCACAAATCCGCATTCCGCGTTGCGCTCTCCGTCCGGAAGCCACTACACTAGGGCATCAGGTCCACCTCCGCTTCAGGATAGTCAATGCACGTCCTGATGGGATATTTCCAAGCGAAGGTTCGGTCGTAGCGAGGTATCGTGATCGGATTGGAACGGGTCTCTAATATTCGTACCATCCGTCTGGTCGTTGTACAAACTCATGACGGAGTCCCAAAGCAAGAGCGAACGCTCACGCGATAGAACTAACCGACAGTAGCTTACTCCGATCTGGGGAAAGTCAAGCAATACCCCGAAAGGAAATGGTGGTAGGTTTTTTGCGGAAGGTGGGACAACAGCATCACCAGGCCACCCAATAAAGGAAGCGCGGACAAAGCAGGGTTGTGTGACAGGCGGTCGCGAAACCCTTCTCTATGTGCGGCTAGGACATATAAGGCTGCATAAAGGCGCGAATGTTAGCTTTGTTAGGAGGAGGCTCTCTTTCCTTTGCACAGCGCCTTCTCGACTTCTGCATGTGAAAATCCTACTGAATGGGATTCGGTTTCCTTTCGTTCTCCGGACTAGACCAATTCCTTTCTGGGTCTTTTCCAATGACGGAAGTGGACCCTATGCATTTTAGCTTTATGGCCAACTTGGCCCAGCTTCTCTCCCCCGTTTTTGGAAGAGTACAACAACGGAAGTTTCGGCCGCTCCTTCCTCTCAATCGACAGCTTCGCCCGTTCAAGACCGGGCTTATAACGTCCGCTCTAGGAAGTCAACTTTTTGCCGAAACATTCTTAATTCCGGTCGTGCGTGGCTCTAGAGAACCCTGTACCTGATAATCCAGATCTGGCCAAGGGAATAGGCGTAATGTGAAACCTCAAATCCATTAATTGGGCTAGAGCACTGCCGGGAAACATTTGATCATATTCAGTTGCGAGATCTGCTGGTTCTCACTTCCCGCCTTTCTGGCCAGAAAGCGCTGTCTTTCCGGAGCTGCTGCTTCCCCATCCGAAACATATGACCATCGTCGGGATATCTCACCACTGACCATAATCTTTTGTGATTGATGGCCGAGACCATGAAAGGACATCAGCCAGAGAATCTCGCCATCGACTCGGGCTCTCGCGTATATAAACAGCTCCATTTCGCCTACTGTCTTTCAGCAAACGGTTTCCTCGCCAAACTTCACACATACCCTCACGCGACCTCCTCCGATACCCGACCCCGCAAAACCATGACCTGCAACATTTCCAACGTCGACATGCACCACGATAACCCCGGGGCCCTCGTGGACATGGTGGTTGTTGAGGTCACTGAACCTATCGACCTTCACTGTGGAGGTTCTCTCTGTAATTGCAATTCGACGTAAGTCTGAATCTTACGAACTGCTCGTGAAGGTATATTGATTGTGCTGTAGTTGCGGTTGCGAGTTCAACATATGCAAGTGCAAATAACTGCCCATATTTTACCATATACCCCTCCGTTTTATCAAAGTTTGAAGTTGGACCTCTCGAGAGGTGTCGTTCGTGGACGCTGCGGGAGGAAGGGCAATAAGCATGCGTTTCTGTGACAGTGGAAGCTGTGATCCATTACATGTATTGCATCGAGTAGTGTAGCGAAGAATCTCGGCAGGTGTAGTTGCGTTAATGTCAGAGTTGTTCAGTCTCCAGACGAAGATAGCAACCAGGTCTCGGCAGGCCATCCGGGACTACTGGCACAGTTCTCAGATAACGCAGCTAAGACATAAGGAGAATTGTCCTGAAATGGACGGCGGGCTTCGCGAAGGCAACACGTAACATCGACCAGAATCACATCAATCATGGCAAGACCGGAATTCATGTCAAATAGATAGGAACCGCGCTGCTGCCCCCAAGTCAAAGTGTGATTTTGAGGTTTTTCATCTTAACGAAGGCACCAATGACGCATAAGCTGATAACGGCGGGAATCAGATGGAGTTGCACGATGCCATATATCCAAACCGTGCTGAGAGGTGCTGCCTGTACCACTCTACATTAGGATCCAGCAGACACAATTTCCCAAGAGACAGCGCACCTGTCGCATGACAGCTTTCCACGTCCCTTTGTTGACAACCCAGAACAGCCGCATACCACTCGCACACGTGAGAAGGGTCAGGACCCCTTGCACCCATCTTCGCGTCTTGTGACGCTTCGCTTGAAGATCTTTCAGCGATGACGACCTCCGTTCGTCAAGGCCTCACATACTATAGAAGATAAAGACGGCTAAGACTTTCACGATGCGTTTATCAGCGGATGTGAACGGTATTTATCCAGAAAAACTCACTTGGTACTGCTTCAATCAGCTTGCTGACTTCCCCAGAGAAGGTAATCGCTTGGCGATACTGTTGATGGACAAGTCTTCTCCCCGAAGTCAGCGGGTCTGTAGATACGCCCATAACAGCTCACTGACATGTCCATCAAGGCATACAGGGACGAGAATGGAATAAGATAGACGAAGACCTGGAAGATCTCGTCGTTTTCTGTCGGCTGCGGATCTGGTAGGGTCTTCGTGCCAGTACCTTGGGGTATTTGAGGTACTTGCTTGAGAATCCCGGACTCTTGCACTAGTCTCCACTGTTCATCTTCTGGTATCTCTTCAATAGTACTTGATTTTGCTGATGTTCTCCCCGACTTTCGCTTCCTGCGCGTATTAGAAGACATGATGATGTTTGTAGTGAGTACCAAGGTCAGCAAGCTAATATAAAGTGGTTGGTTGTCTTGACGTTGCCAGTGTGGACCCTTATGCGGTCGGGGTCTATCACGTAAATATGACTTTTTGGCAGTGCATTGCGCGCATCTTTCTTTCCAAACAACTTTCTTTCTGACCATAATCTGCTTTGTTGTAATACTTCGCACCACTGCGTTTACTCAAAACTGATCCGATCTTGTCAACAATCATGTCGTCAGAGGGAGATGCTGAAGATCGTGGCACGATGCTGGCTGCTTTGGAAGCCCATGGGCAAGCATTCCTACGATCTTTTGGGCCGTCAGCCATTCCGGTACACGGGGTCAAGAGGAAGAGAAAGGAGTCAATAAACTCGCATACCGATAACGTGGATTCTTCGAACCCGCAGCAAGGAGACGAAGACGAGTGGCATGGATTTGGCGATGATGGGCCTGACCACTATCAGTCCATGCCCAGTATGTCGGCGGATGTGCCTTGCGACGTTCTATCTGAATGCCCGTTGACAGGCAATGATGCTTCTAAAATGGATCTACCGGCATCAGGCCGGCCGGCCACCGATCGACCGAAAACACCTGTTGTTGTGGACTTTTCTCACAGCAGACGACCACTTTCAAGTGCCGGCCAAGCACGATCTGACAAGACATTTATGGTTCGCGCGCGCAGTTTTCATCTCAAATGTCTGACTCATCGTTCCTTTTAGTCATCCAAAATATCAAAAATGAAGGAAGATGTGTCTCAGCGCGGCGATGCCACGGCCGGACAGAATGAAGATGATGAGCAGCAGTTGTGCGTATCGGAGCACCGACATGAGATGGGTAATTGATGCAATAATAGATCAGATCTGCGGAATGACGCAGAATTACACAGGATTATCCACACACAGCTCTTGTCCGGTTCTCTGGATCCAATGATGGATTTGAAGCCATCCCAGAAAAAGAAGGCGATGGCTGGTCGAGTATTGGAGGTCGCCGGGAAAGTAAAACTCGGAGCGGGAGAAACGGATGTGCGAAAGGAAGAGCACAACAAGGCGTCCAAGCATATAAGGGAAGGTATAAGGAAGAAGCAAAAGGAAAGAGCGGCACAGGATCTGGAGGAGGTAAGATGTTGATCGGGTGGTCTTTGTTGCAGAGAGTTGATATTGGTCCGTCTCAGGCGAAGCAATTGGGCAATTACCACCCGACAATAAAACGGCTCTTCGCGGCGTCGTCACAACCTTCCGCACCGAACAAACGTGCGCGGGGTATCGGATCCGGAGTGGGAAAATTTGTTGGTGGCACCTTGAAGCTCAGCCATGCTGAGATAGCCAGTGTACAAGGAGTGCCCTCGAAGACCAAGGGTCGGCCAGGCAAGAATGTTCGAAGACGATGATAAGATGTCTTTATCATGTGGTTTCAGTAGCCGATGTCATCTATATTGTCATGTTGCCCCATGTATCATGTATTCGAACTTGACCCTTTTTGTCTTCCTTAATTGCCAAAAGCGGACACAGATACCTAGTTGAGCCATTCTATTGACTACTGTCACTTTCTAGCTTGCCTTGGCTTCGAGGTGTGCCCTGAATAGAGGTTGCTCAACCGTTTTACCGGTCCCGCATTGTGCGAAGAGCGCGAACATCATTGCACTGTGCTTCGGGGGTGACAGCACAGCTATCCTCCGGCGACTAATCCGGTCAAGCTGTATTCGACCGCGGTGTCCATCAGCGGGTTGGACGTGGATAGCGTCGCTCCCGATTGTCTCTCTTCAGATCTCTCCGATTCGGACGACGACATGGCCTCCAGAATCACCAAGCTGCCCCCGGCACTGAAGCACATGCTCACACTCCGCAACCCGAATTCGACGCCCTGTCCCAATATCGACGTCCTTCAGGGTGTGCTTGCCAGGACGAGAGATGTCGCCCGGCAGAAGGGAGCGGAACAGGGCTGGCTGGCCGTTTCGGTAGGTGCTCGTCTTGCCCCTGTTGAGTGATTGTGCTGAAAATGGATGCAGACAGCGACGATGCTGACGAGGAACTGCCCGCCAGCGATGGCGGCTCTGTATGCCTTCGCTACACGTCAGGAAGGCCCCGAGGCCGAGACCGCACAGAAGCCCATAGCACTGGAACGGCGTGTGAGGATAGCGGCATTGATGAGGGAGACGACGATCAAGGGGTGTGTGTTCGTTGGGGTGCCAAAGGTACGGGCGCAAGTCACCATTATCATTATTGATCTTATCAAATTGAAGGTCATTAATTGTCTTGCCGGGTTGACGGGTGGGCTGGACGACGATGTCAAGGCTGCTCTGGAGAAGACGTCATATCGGTCAGGGATAATCTGTGATAGATTGGCCGGTCTATTAACTGATTCTGGACACTACTTAGTGACGCCGAGCAGACCAACATCCCGCCCATCCTGGAACGGGGCATCAAGCTGTTCAGATCGGTGTACGATCCACACACGGAGAAGTTGCTCGCTAAGCTGGGCACGTATCATCCAGACTTTCCCGGTACGCATGCTGCTTATTGTACCCGATATTCTCACGCCAACACGCTGGCAAAGGCTTCATCATTCGAAGCGAATATGGCCCACTTCTGCAAGCCCCACCGGAGATGCCAAAGGAGTATCAGATCAGCCGTGCTCTTACCTCGGCAATGGGCGTGGCGTGTCTTCGGGCCGAGGGCGGTGTTGGGCCTCAGTTGACGAGCCATATCTATGGATTGGTCAAGGCACAGGGATGGGAAGGCGAGACCGAGGAGGACAAGTGGTTGGCCACGGAGGAGGGCGCGGAATGGGTTGTTGGACTTACGGACGAATTGTCGGACTTGATCCGGTACGGAGAGGATAGGGCAGCGTCCAAGTTGTGAGTATTATACAAAGATATTCAAACAGATGAGTGTATCTGTGACAAGGATGGATGTTCGGTTATCGAATTAATGGTGTTTCGAACACAAGTTTGAGGCATAGCCATTGCTCGCAACCGGGCGATCAATTCGGAGACGATGGACACATGAAGGGGCGGAACACACCACAACCGGATGAGGGACAGGGTCTTCCCCCTCGATGGTGAGCCCGCAGCTTCCTATTTCTTCCAATCAAAAGAGAGTAAATTGTAGTAGATTTGGGGGGATATTTCAGTTCAAGTGTAAGAACCAAATAACAAAGTTTTCTTTATGAACCTGTCAACTGTTAATGTTATTGTCCATTTGGGCAACTCCACACGACCAGGGCGGGTTATCACGCGGGAAAGGTGGGACGGAAGGAAATTGGCGGGTATGACGCAACCGAATTCATCCGTTTGGGTGGTGCGGGCACGAGGATGCTGACGGAGTGGACGGGGCGGGGGGATGCAAAAGGCCCTCAAGGCCCTTTTTGCCCTTCGTCCACTACGTCACTACCCTCCCCCCACCTCATCTCACCTCACCGCCCATCTCCTCGACCCTTTCCAGCCCCAATTGTAGGTCATAATTTCACAATTTACAGTTCGAAACATTATTATTGAACATCATCATCGTAACAGCATTCCATTAACACCCCCGCGCTAATAAGGCACAAGTGACGACAATTGTCACACAAAAGGTCGTAAAAAGGTGCCGCTATTCCGCTGACGAAGCTCACGGGGTTTACCGGCGACAAACAAGCAGCCTCTCTCGTCCAGATGGCCGTCGCTCTTGCGCCTCGACCAATGACGCCCACCTCGAACCTCAGGACTGGTGCCGAGATCAAGACAGAGACGACGTCAGACAAGTCTACACCTCCGAAGGCAGACGGAGCTGCGGCTGCGGCTCCTGCACCTGTTCGACCTCCAAACAAGCCCTCCCAGTCGTTGAGACTCGAACCCAACCCATTCGAACAATCCTTCTCCCAGTCGTCCACATCTCTTCCCAAGCTTGCGGACGCAAGGAGCAATGGTGATCGGTCTCCTAGGCTCCCGGCACTCAAGTCACCCCGCCTTTCGAGCTCGCCGACAGATGGTGCCAAGTCGCTGACGACCCCGAAACCTATTCTACCCCCTGTCGCTGCCATTTCGTCACCTTCCACAGGTTTCGAATGGCAATCGGGCGATCTGTCTTCCCTCCGCTCCGGACCCCTGTCTCCTGCTATGCTCGCTGGTCCTAGGGAACGCCCGACACCGTCTGGTCTTACCCCCTTTGTGGGAGGAGAGTTCCGCTCTGGTCTCACGCCCGACGTCGGCCGTACTGGGCTTACACCCTTGGTCGGTGGTCCGGTTTCCTTCCCTCCACCATCTCCGAACACGGCCGCATTCCTTGCCATGGTCACGAATGGTGCTAATGGTACGAACGGCTTGCAAGGACCGGAAGCAACGATCACCCCGAATACGCTGAACGCGCTCACCGGCGTGCTGAACGGCCTGTCGACTAATAACGTTCCCGGTGGCCCTGGTAACGATAACCTCCATCCTAATTCAGCAGCGAACCAACAACACGCTACCTACGCGAACGATCCTAAATACGGGAATTATTACCCACCTGCTGGTGCCGATCCCCGCACGCTTCCTTCCGGTCAACAGGCCCCCGCACCGGCACCGGTCCCTGGACAGCAGCCGGTCAACGGCCAAAACGGGTACGCTCCGGCGGCGTCGTCGGCCACTGCGCATGCCGCAACCGGGCTATTCCTGTTGTCCCAGGCGCATCAAGAGCTTACACGTCGGGAGGAAATGGAGAGGCTAGCACAGGAGCAGGCTGCTCAGCAACAGGGCGGTGAGAACGGCAACCGAATGCGTCGGATGAGCACCATTTCCGCCAGCACGAACGACACGCAATCCCCTGTCGTCGGCAAGCGCAAGTCGTCGGATGGTCACAACGGACCTGTACCCCAGCAGCAGACGAACGGACGCGCACAGCAGGCAGCTCGGCCATCAAAGCGCGCTAAGACGACGAAGAATGCGAAACGGCATACCTCTATCGAAGACGACGAGCTTGGGGGTGACGACGATGAGTTTGATGATGACGAAATGATGGGGGGCCAGTCACAAGGCACGGAACTTGTCAAGCGTCCTGAGACAGATGAGGATAAGAGGAAGAACTTCCTCGAGCGGAATCGTCAAGGTCCGTTTCGCATTCCCGGTGTGTTGTGCATATGCTAATGGAGAGACAGCCGCACTCAAGTGTCGCCAACGTAAGAAGGCGTGGCTGCAGCAACTGCAGCAGAAGGTCGAGTTTCTCACTGCAGAGAATGAGCGTCTGCATGCGAGCCTCGGTGGTGCGCGGGAAGAGGTGAGTATATGCGCATACACATGTGACTCCCTTCTCATAATTGTGCACAGGTCCAACGGCTTACCGCCGCCCTCGTTTCCCACCGTGATTGTCCCCTTCACCCACCTAGCGGGTTACCGCAGTCACACGCCATAAGCCATCCCCACCTCGCTCAACATCCCGGCCATTCCGGTCCTGCGATGAACTCTGGCATGCCTCCTCACCATCAACCGGCTCAGTATGGACCTCCAATGCAGCACCAAGGTGTAACACCACCTCACGGTCCGCACGCGGCGATCAGTGTACCTGTGCCCGTTGGCGCGCAGGGTCGTGGCGGCGGGTTTGGATACTAAAAGCGCTGTCCTTTTATGTGGTTGAAGAGACGCCCTCGAGTAGCAAAACACGTTTCTTTTCATCGTATGGTCCTAACACGCCTTGGGTAAGCCTATGCTGTCACCAACAGGTTGGGACGTCGAACTTCTTCGTCTTATCCCCTTTCTAGTCGTTCTCTCTTCCTTCTTCTCGCGGTATATCTGTACTTTCCTTATTCATCTTATCTCCTGTCCTTCGTTCTTTTCACTGTTTCCTGTGCCTATGCTTCTAGTCCTCTCTCTTGCACCCTTGTTGCACCCCTCTCTTCTCTCACCCTACTGTTGTCTCGCCGGGCTCGGTACCCCTGTATCGCTGTAGATCGTGACATGGATTGTAAGTCCTGAAATACATATACGGAGATGTAAATAACTGCAGACGAATGCCAGCGCTGGTCATCGATCTGCACAGGGCTGTACATGTAGTGTAGTGGTGGCGTGGGCGTGTGTGTTTGAAAACTGGTGAATTAATGAGCTTGAGGACACTCGGCTCTGATCATGTGATGATGGATTGTATTACAGCGTCCCCGGGTCAGTCTATATTGCTTGAAGAGATCTATAAATATGACCATGACATACGATGTACAGCCCCAAAATGGCCGTATGGATCGAGGAATCGACCGCTGTCGGGCTCCCGTATTCGATTACTGGGACAGTCGTAAACGGACATCTTCCATGTTGCCGGCCTTCGGCAATTGGGGGCTAGACCGAATATAGGTGAAATGTATGCCACCCGCGCATATCAGGAGAGGGATGCAAGGTCCACACTGCGAAGCTCTAGATCTCAGTCGTGATCGTCTTCCTCCGTTCCAGGGCATTCCTTTCCCAGCTCCTCGGCGTTCGAGTATCTCGTGCCGCACCAGAAGCAATAGTTGTACATCTCACGCAGGTGGGTGAGCAATTGTTCTAATCGTGTCATCGGCTTCATATCCGTTTGAGCATGCCTAGACCGATGAAAATGAGAATGAACTCACATCCTGACGCAAGTACGCTAGTGCTTCCTGTATCTCAGTATCTGAAAGCTGGATCTCCTCCGTTTCTTGAACATTGTTTGCGATGTTGATGTCGCGGATAGAACGAGCTTGCCCCGGGCCCATGGAAAGGGGTAATGAGTCCGGATCTGGTGAAAAGCGGAGAGCATCACGCTGCATCTGCCAACGGAGGCGCTCTGCAGCCGCCTCGTCAACAGCACCGACAAGTGCTTCGGGATTGTTTGCGATGTATTCGCGTAATGAAGGTGGGAAATCGTTTGGTACATGAGGATTGAGCCAGAATTTATCGAACTAAACACATTGAGCAGATAACCCAAGGACATATGCCAGTGGCGCACTTTCTTTCCGGTTTCCTCATCCAACGTCATGCAGGTCTTGCGAGCAGTCAACAGCCGACCCTCAGCTCTTCTTTCTTCAAACTCTTGTCTCGCCCGATTGCGAAAAGTGTCTGCGCTTGCGGCTTCCTCGGCCATTAGCTTGGCCACTTTAGAAGCCTTCTCCTCGGCCTCAGCTGTTGGTGACAGTGCTCTTTTTCCTTTCCCCAGTCCTTGACGACCTATAACATGCATGTTATATTAGACACTTGTGCGGTGCGTGGGAAGCAAATAACGAACCGGACCAGACCGAGAGCGGTATGGGCGTCTTGCGATGTGCGAACGCAGACGGGGTGAATACAGATAGACCATCGCTCTCTCCAACTACTTCCACCGTACCAACAGTCTCGACGGTGTCTTGCTTTGGAGAAGAATCACCGTCCACGTCAGGCGGGGGCTTCGGCGACGGTGTTGATGGTCCCGGCGAAGTGGTTTTGGCGCCTAATGACTCCCCGACCTTGAAGCCCATCCGCTTCATCATGTTCAACGCCTTGCTCTCTACTCCCAACTCTTCCTTCTCTTCCCTTGCACGCTCGAACAAACTTTTGTTCAATCCCTCCTGCCTTGCCTCATCCTCCAGCTGTTTCCTGCTCTTCTTTCGGCCAGCCTCATTCTTCTGTTCGGAAATGCGTGCTGCCTCCTTCCGAAGGTCGGTGTAAGTTTTTGGCTTGGTTTTCTTTGAGGCCGCTTCTAGTTGGGCAAGGAATTTGTCCGAAAGATAGTCTTCTTCCTCGTCGGACATGTGCGATTTAGATTCGATTCATAATACAACAGTTAGTGTGACAAGTATACGCAAGCAGTGGCGTGACTCGCACGTGATGGTTCGCGGCTCTCATAAAGACGCGCTCGGTGCGGACACAAACAGCGCGCCTTTCTTGCGAGTTGCGGAGGAATGGACATTAATTCTGGACATGTCACAGCAAGTATCGTATTTTTTCCGCCTTCGTTCAGAACCCATACGGGATATTGACTTCGATACAGGAAACGCACATATATCGATCTCACGATCGATGATGATGATGTGTCTCCTGAACCGCTCCCCAAAAAATGAGATGTCAGGAAGCACGCGATTCCCCTGTAGACGATGACGATGTCAAGTTTTGGGTGAAGTTTGATGGAGGGGTTTCTGATTCAGAGGGAAAGGGCGAGTGCCAGGACGAAGGCTACGTCCAAGTACCTATGCCAAATGGTTGCAAAAGATCGGCATGTTCGGATATGGGAGAGTTGGCCGCGCGTAGGAAATTGTGGTATCAAGAAGAAGTGAGAAACTTGGCAAAGAACGGCCTGGCCGTTTGTGATCCTCCAATCTTGTGGTATGTATGGTGCATCCAATTTGCGTCAGTTCTGACTTTCTGCACTCGCATATCATGTATGCAGTCCTGATGGGATGACGTTACACTGGTATGATCGGATGTCCGTGACAACAGCATTTCGCTTACTAGAGACAAAGGAAGCGCCTCAAGAACGATTCGTTTGAGAAAGATTCGTGTGTTGTTGGACCGTCATCTACTGTCAAACGATCCCGTGAGAACATGCGCGAAAACCACGGCGGACTCGGAGCAGACCTCGAAAGCGAATCCGCACATGAGCAGGAAGTGACGCCCGTCATATCGCCTTCGCTGCCTGTAGCTCCGAGTGTTGGACAACGCAGTTATTCTTCATCTATGCCCCAAGGTCTAACTCCGCCTCCCATTGCTGTGCTTGAGGTTGACTCCCCCGAACAAAACACCTCTTCGGTCAGTGATCGTGATGAGATCTATGGCAATGATTGTCAAGACACTGAGAATTATCGAAGCGATCATGGAGAGGAGACAGACGCAAAGAAGACGGCGGATTCAGAGGAGGAGGAGGACGGACTCGACGAGGATGTCAAGTCTGATGAGTCTGATGACTCTTCATCGTCAAGCATGATCACCCGATCTAGTCCAAACGGAAGTCTGCTTTCGAGTCATGAGATCGTGCCGTCCCACATGGACCGCTCGATCTCACACGTCATAGATCTTACATTGGAATCTGACGACGAAACAAATGGGAGCCAGTCGTCCCGGGCAACCGCAAGAGAGCCGTCGTACGCTCCGAGCACTGAGACAGAATCAGAGACAGAAGATAGCTGTACGGAGAGTGACGATACTTCTCCCGCTTCCACTTCTCCGGAGCGATCTAGGCAAGAGTTCCGTCGAACCGCGGTTCAGGGAAAGGCTGAGGCGGCGTCGAGGTTTACTAAATCATCTCATGTGGCTTCCAGACGACTCCCGGCCAAGAGGATTTTTGAGCCTGGAACGTCGAAGGTGGTTCGTATCATCAAAGACGGAACGAAGAAAGGACGTCGGATCTTCCGAATGGGTGACGACGTTGTCACTGTGTCACACGCTGGCAGCTTGGATCGTATTTCTAGTGACAAGTGAGTACTTCCCTTAAGCGGATAATAGCAGGCTTGACTGACACCATATCAGGAAATGGATCAACCGAGCGTCTTGTGAGGTCGATATGGACAAACCACTCAATTACGTATTTGATGCGGCGCCGCTTGACATGGATACCATTATTATACCATTCGATTGCACTGCATCTGAGGGTCGGTCCAATAGCCCTGGCAACATAGGGATCTTTACCTGGACTTCACCGGTAAGTGGTATCCTCGGTCTGCTGTCAGATCACCAGGCTGACATTTCTAGCAGATGACCAAACCTGTTGCTTCCTGGCCCACACAGCAGCCACATGACGCGCGAGGTGTACGGGCGTTAACCACAAACAACGGTATGCTCTACACCGGAGGCTACGATTCCACCCTGACACTATGGAAATTCACCGATGACAAAGAGGTGAAGTCCACCCAGCACTTGAGGAAGCTGCACACATCGCGGATTGCTGCACTAGCCTGTTCCTCGAAACGTGACTGGCTCTTCTCTGCGGGCAAGATTCGCGGCAACAAGGCCGAGATGGTGGCATTGTTGGACATCAGAGCAGATCGACATGTGCAAAACTTTCCAGGCTCGTACCCTGTGCAACAGATGCAAGAACATCCTCAGAATCCCAATGTCATCCTGTGTGAGGTATGTAAAGTTCCTGGCGGTCATCGTGCCCTTCGAGCATTTATTCTGATATGCCTTTCCAGTCTGTGGCGATCCGTGATCAGTTCATGCTCATCGACGTTCGGATCAAGAAGCCTCTCCCCAACTTCGGGGATACTGAGGTTAGGAGATATGGCCCCTCTTTCGACTTCCGCACTCCTTTCTTCGGCAACACGGACGAGGTGTCGAAAACATCCACCAAAGCTGCTCTTTGGGCGGATCGCTTGGCCAAAGGCATAGGAAACTACACCATACGGGTGTGGGATCTGAGAAATACACAACAATTTCAGGACGTCAAAGTAGGTATTCGTTCGCATGACGTGTAATTCGGTGCGAGAAGCTTATATCTTGCGGCAGATTGCAAACAAAGGCGCACATCGCACGATTGCCCATCTTTTGCTGGAACCGCAGGGCATTGTTGCACTCCGGAACGACTAGGTCACGTTTCTCAATTGGACGCTGTGACCTCTCCAGATCGCATCGGGTTGCTCTCTCCACCCATGATGCTACAACTAGCTTCACAACCCCAATCAACTCGTCATTTAGCAACCACAATTGAACCAACAATTTTGTCCGAATGTTCCCCCGTTTGCAAACTCGATAGTCCGCGTTTACATTACTTCTGACGCACGATACTCTTCAAATTGTATATACGTTCCATTTCATGTACATACCCCGTTACGTACACCATTTCATACCGTATAATGCCTACATATCCCATAGAAAAACCGAAAGCACCGAAAGTACCAAATGGCGGGTATAGCAAAGGATGCAGGAATGCTAGTCATACAGTTGGAACCGGCCCGAGAAACCCATGAGAGCGAGAGTTGGAGAGAAACGCGGTCCGGAGGGTCAGTCAGGCGGTGCGGATGGCGTAGGCGAGACAGACACATATTAGGGAGTCCTGAGGGGTTGTCAGGCAGCGAATAGGACTGAGGACGAGTTACGAACATTACTGAACATCTCTTGTGTGACCGTATCTGAGTCTTCCCAGTGTGAGACCAGACTTGCCCTGACAGAGAAACTCCTGAATGAGCGGAATTGGAAGTCATCAGGGAGGACTCACAGTCCACCCTGTCCAAGATTCTCGTATATTTGTGTTGTGACAAGATATTTGCTGCGTAAAATATAAGGAGATTGAAATTAGTTGTCGACCGGAACGTACAAGCCTCGTGGTTCAACCTCTGTAGCGACATGAGGTTGGTCCCATGGGCACACGCGGGAAGCAACTCACCCAACATCCTGTCCTTCACTCTCTCACTGATCTCATTACACCATCCTCGAATCTTTTGTTTTTCCCTTGCCTCCCATTGCGCTCCCTGCAGTGTGCTAGCCAGTAGTTTCTTCATGTATGGCTTGATCTGCTCGACGTCGAATTTTGGCCTTGGACTGGGTTGTGCGGAACGAGCTGCGAGCGATGGGGATGCAGAGTAGGAGTGCAGACCATTGGATGGTGATACTACGCGTTGTGTCATCTTGACGACCCAAGTACAAAGGCTCAAATGTCCTTTGTGAAGAGATGGTCGTCCTTCTAAACGCTACGAACTTGTCACTGTGCAGTTAGAGTGTTTGCAACGCGACTCCTTCTCGAAGAGGAAATCACGAGCGCGCGTTTGTTCTGCCTCCGGAATATCGTGTGCGCCGCACAAGGGCCATCAGGCGCACAACACCAGCATCCTCGCACACATACCCGGTTACTCCTCCTTGACTCATCACATCCTCGCACATCCCACGCTCACCCCTCGCTGGCCAATTTCCCCTCTTTTCACTACTTCTTTCTCATCGTCCCTGTCCGCAACTAATACGTTGTCAATTCTCTCACAACCGGTAGCGAGAGAGAATGTCCGTGTTCTCCTCACACCCACCGTCTTTCATCTCCGATTATGGATCTCAATCAATGTATGACAGCGCTTTGTCTACCACATCGGGGACCACAGCGATGGGACACAGCTTCCAGATCATCAACCCAAATCCGGCTCTCTCCTCCCTTCCACCTCGCTCGCGCACCTCAGTAGGCTCAGGCTCACCCACCTCTCAGCGCGCAAGCATGCAGAGCATCAGTGAAGAAAATCCAAACCTAAATACCAGGTTTGTGGCCAATGGGAAGGGACCGAAGACGAAGGAGAGGGAGGCGAGGTTGAGTAGACAATTTGAGGAGGAGATCGAGAGGGAGGTTCAGCGTAGAGCGGGTCCGGGAGAGGTGTGGAACGCGCTCCTCCTTACGGCCAAAGGAAGGTACATCATACCCCGAGTGCTTGTCTGCTTAATATGCTGACGGAAGATCATGATAAGAGAGAAGACGTTCAAAGTCATACAATACACATTGAAGGTCTACCTCCTTACGCACTCTCGCACCCTCGGAACCGTCCTGGCAAAGAGCCGCGGGAACGCACTGCAGGACAGTATGCAACATACTATCTCCTCCCTGTCCCTCTTTCGGTGAGTCACCTCAGTCCATGAGTCGTGATGAAAACCATCTCACCTTGATGCAGGAAGATAACAGTCATGTTCGCCTGGTTGTCTCCGCTAACGCAGATCCTTAACCCCCCTTCCCTGCCCTTCAACACCACTTTGTCGGTGACGCCGTTCGGCTCCGCGCCCCCAGCGAAGCCCATGGCACCGTCAATCCTGCAAAAGCTGCTCCGCGCGCCCCCACCCGTCCTGCTTTCCCTGCTCCAGTCCTTCTCGGATGACATCTACGTCCTCTCCCTCCTCCGCATCATGCCACAGCGCGTTGGTAAGCGTGCGGAACGACTGGCTAATTGGTGTTGGTTCTTCAGCACCCTCGCCCAGCTTGTCGAGAACGGTGCGGAGCTCACGATGGTCCGCCAGCTGGTGAAGGAAGTACAATCAAAGATCTATGAGTCAGAACTCGAAGGACGGGATCTGGAGAAAGAGGGGTGTGGGGATATCGAAGAGGGAGAGAGGGAGCTCGATAGGCTGCAGCGCCAGCTGGCGTCGATCGATCGACAGAGGATGAAGCTGTTCATGGATCTGATTTACGTTTGTGAGTGACTGCTGTTGGACGGTGGAGGCACGTGCTAATGCTTGTGAAGCATATGAGGTGTTCAACTTGAAAACCTATAGGCAGCCTGTCTTGGCCACAACGGGGCTCATCGCCGGTGTGCTTAGGTATGTCATCATTCTACATACACTTCACGTGAGGCTAAACGTTCACCCTAGCACATCCCGTCTGTATGAGACGCACAAGCAAGATCTGCTCAAAAGGGCAGCGGCCGACCCATTCTAACGCCGAAATAAGGTGATCTTTCTTGCTTATCTTTCCTCTTGGTTATCGTACCTTTATCTGGTCTCAACTGTATAGCATCCGCAAGTCGTCGCTGTGCACATCGGTGTTCCTAACGCTGGTGATGCGTATGTCCATCTGTATCTTTGTAGATACCCACTGCAATCTATTCTGTTTCGCATTGAAAACACGATACAGCAGGGATACATTATTGTGGTTATAGTTTTTCCCGGCGAGGGTGCAAGGTTCCACCTTTGGCCCGCTTACATCAGTGAGAGGTTCCCGAACTTCTCCTTGTACCCGGGTACGGTGAATTTGCCCTTGCTGAACATGGTCTTGAGGGCCTTTTCGACCTCCGGCCGGGCCGCGAGGACGTCATCGACCTGTGAGTGGATGTCATAAGCACCGTAACCAAAATGCTTCTCAAAGATGACAAGAACGGAACGAGAAAGACGTACAGTGACATCCTCAAATGGCCTTGCCTCCTCAATGTTTGCAAGTGTCTTCTTCAACTTACCCACCTCCTGATCAACGTTCTTCTCCGTCGCCTGGGCGCTCTCGACTGCCTTCCCCTCAAAGCTCTCGATGCTCTTGATCCACGCACCAGTATCCACCTCCTTGGGCTTGAAGTCACGCATGATCTTCTCGCACTCGTCCACGACGGCTTTGTTACGCAGCACAGCGCGGTAGTGCGCAAAGTCGACGGTGGTAGGTTGGGAAGAGAGAGCGGCATGCACGCGCTGTGCCTCGTATGCGCGCTTACGGAATTCTTGCAGAGCGGCCACGGTCTCTGTAGGTCGTATTAGTAGTGCAGACGAGAATGATGAAGGAAGACACTGACCCTTGCCAAGGTTCAGAGAGCCGTAAATGCGTGTCCAGTCCTACGACGGCAATCAGAACCACTTCCTCTGTTCCTCCTCATGCAAATTGAACATACGAGGGCCGCAGCGGCAACAGCTTTGGTAGCCATCTGGATATCAACATGAGTATTGTTATTCAATAAAATAATGGAGTATATGCTCACTGTGTTGCACGTCTGTAAAGGTGGATGTCGAGAGACGGACTATAGTACTGTCCTTTGAGCCGTCCTTCCCAGAGAGAGGCAACGACAGCTTCCGTTGGCTCCCGATTCCGAGTGGCAGTGCTTATTTCTCCGAATGCTTAGGGGGTGGTCCGAGCGTTCCATCAATGCCTCCGCTAAAAAGAAGTGCGGGGGTTATCCTAATGGGATCCGGAAGATCGGGCTGAAGAGGGCGTTACCACATCCCGGCGCGTGATCTTGTGTCAGGGCTCTTCCTCATTCGCCCCCACAAACAGGATAAACTTGGGCCTGACATACATTCACAGCGGAGTGGCCGCTCCGTTGCCGGAACGTCAGGGGCAGGCGATCGGTCTACAACTCTTCATTCTCACCACAATATTGTCGGGGTAAACATTCAGCCTGGATACTGCTGCCCACCCAGCCTCGGGAATTCGGCTCAACTTTACATTACGCTTTGTGATGCCTGGGAACTGACTTGAAATGTTGCCAAAGGGGAACACCAAGGGATCAAGCGCTGGCAGGTCGAGGGAAAGGGGGTATAAAGCATACGGCACCGCGGACGTGCTTGAGTGACTGCACGACCATTACTCACCCCCTTCCCCTCCTGCTGCCCCATTCGCATCAACTTCTTCGCTAGACTTCTAATGGCTTCTGCTGGTACTAACGGCACCAATGGTGTCAGCGGGCATGCCCCGCTGCCCGCGTACAAGGAGACGCCCATTGACGAGATCCCCCAGGTACGCCTTATTCGGCTCCGTGCTCAACAGAAGGACGCTAATCACGGCATTCTCCGCTCGTCTCCAGATTCATGCCGATCTTGTCAAGTCATTCCGGACAGCGATCATGTGGCCGCTCGCGAAGCGCAAGGAACAGCTTGCCGCGATGGCCAACATGATGAAGGAAAATGCGGACGCATGGTCCAGAGGTGAGTCACTTGTCCCATTGCCCCTCGTCCCGTGGCTGCGATCATTGCGATATTTCTCTAACTAGTATTTTTCAGCGATCTATGCCGATCTGGGGAAACCCGAACTTCAGGCTCAATTATTCGAGATTGCCATCTCTAACCAGGCCGTCAATGCCATTCACGAGCTCGAAGAGTGGACCGCACCGATCAAGCCTGACGTGCATGAACGTCACTCGGAATGGCAGCCCACAGTATACAAAATCCCATTCGGCGTGGTGCTGATCATTTCGTACGTTACCTTTCTATGTGTGTACTGCGACATGTTGAATTGTTACGCAGGCCCTGGAACTACCCCCTCACCTTGACGATGCAGCCGCTCGTCGCTGCTCTTGCTGCCGGCAACTGTGTGGTGCTCAAACCATCCGAGTTGGCGCCAAATGTAAGCGCACTCATGGCTGAGCTAGTACCCAAGTACTTCGATCCACGTGTCGTTCGTCTCGTAAATGGTGGCGTGAAGGAGACGACGCGCCTGCTGGAGCTCAAATGGGACCGGATCTTCTACACTGGTACATCCTCTCTCCTTGTTTGGTGAGTATGCTTACTGACTTCGATCGTTTGCGTACAGGAAACGGCACCGTCGGGCGTATCATCGCACAGGCGGCCGCAAAACATCTCACACCTGTCACACTCGAGCTCGGGGGCAAGTCCCCAGTGGTCATCGATCCCGAAGGGCTTGATTTCACTCTAGTAGCCAAGCGGATCCTACACGGCAAACTCGCGAATGCCGGGCAGACGTGTGTTGCGCCCGACTACATCCTCTGTCCTGAGGCGTCGCAAAAGCCGCTGATGCAAGCGATGACGGCCGCGATGAGCGAGTTCTTTGAGGAGACAGGGGGCAAGGCGCTCAACAACCGGCATTATGGGAGAATCGTGAATAAGCGTCATTTCAAACGCATAAAGAACCTTGTCGATAAGAGCAAGGGTGAAGTCGTATTTGGTGAGAAGCAAACGGATCCCGAACGATATGCTATGGAACCGCTTGTCATCAAGACGACTGGTGATGACGATCTCATGGGAGAGTGCGTGGATTTTCGCTCAGTCTCCTTTCGGAAATGCTGACCCTGCTGTTTAGGGAGATCTTTGGTCCCGTGTTCCCGTTGATCACGATCAAGGATGTGGATGATGCGATCAACTTTATTGAGGACCGCGACCATCCTCTCAGTCTGTATGTCTTCACCAAGAGCGAGGAGACGAAGCAGAAATGTGAGTCGCGCGGATCTCCAATCTCTAAAAGTGCGAAGGCTGACCCTATGTACAGTCGTTTCTCGGACACGATCTGGCGGCATCGTCTTCAACGATACCATGGAACAGCTGGCTGTGGGTCTTCCCTTCGGTGGCATAGGCGAGTCCGGGATGGGCTACACCGTCGGCCGCGCCGGTTTCGAGTCGATGATGCACCTGCGTGCCAGCGTTGACATCCCATACGAGCACGAGGAGGCAGTCTCCCTCCGTTATCCCCCATATACGCAGGAGAAGGTTGACATTGCGAGGATGATCGCCCAGCCCCATGTTCCGGAAGTAGCTCTCTAGGGGGTAGTCTTCATGATTGTATTCGGGCAAGCGGTATCCACGGCGTGTGTGATGGTCCAGAAGGGTGGATGTATGCGAATCGACTATCTCCTTATCTAGAGCAGGTGTACTTGTCGGTGTCTTTAGCAACAATGGGAATCTACTTTTTGCTTATAACAGCACATCGAACCTCGGCAAACTGTTCAGTAGTAATGTGAGAAAAAGGGTTGACAGGACTACACACACTTGACCCTTTAATGACCGGGGCCCCACAACCGAGGCTTACGGAGCTGTTCTTGCATCAGATTTGTACTCTGATACATTTCCTTATGCCTGACGAATTATGAGGGATAACTTCTTTGTGAATTCCTAAATCGTTCAAGTGTTCGGTCTGAATCAGATTATTACTCCGAGGGAGGGGTGAATCGGTTCCGAATGATTCGGCGTACCATGCCCGTGGAGAACGAGCGAGAGGGCGGTGGTGTCTTCATCGGGGTAAACCTGGTTCGCTTGAGATCTTTGCGCTCGGTTTCCAGCCTGAAGACCCGGCCGCAAGCACCATCCGGCGCCCGCGTTAGCTCCAAATTCGATGTATGCACTGGGCGAGTTGGTTGATCGGTTGCCGTGCAGTCAGCATCAATGCCCGCAATGAGCACTGGACCCATCTACCATTGATTACGGTACACTCCTATCTCTCACGGCTCTGATGGAAGCATGGCTCTAGAACTCCGGGAGTCCGCAGCGTGACAACATCACCAGCTCGTGAAGGGCGCATGCGCTGGCCATTGCCATCAATAGCAGTATGTAATTTCCGAAGAATATATACAGATTGCTCACTCTCCATCTACTAGCGCTGTGTCCCTCTTTCGCTTTGTGCCTCTAGATATGTCTGCAAACCTGCATAAGAACGGGGTGAATGGCTTCTCCGACCTGAAGTTCCAGCACACCCCCATGGAGGATATACCCAAGGTGTGTATGTCTGGGGGTGGGGTCTAATCAGGAGATGATGGTGTCCGTAGATTCATGCTGGCCTTGTCGACTCCTTCGACTCCGGCATCATGTACCCAATCGCTAAGCGCAAGCGTGAACTCGCCGCTCTTGCGCGTATGCTGAGCGAAAACGAGGACCGATGGGCTGCAGGTGTGTCAAACTTTCATGGGCTGTCCGAAGACTAAAGTCTCAAATAGCAATCACGGCTGATGTGCATAAGCCACACTACCAGTCCCTCCTCTACGAGGTCGTCATTGTGAATTCCGCCCTTGCCGTGATCGACCAGCTCGATGAGTGGACGCAACCAGTGGTACCGAAAGTCAGTGATCACTTCCGCAGCTATAACCCAGTACTGTATCCGACGCCGAAGGGAGTTATCCTGCTCATTGCGTGCGTGTTTTCTTCGCAACGACCACGATTCATGGCGTTGATTTGTCGTCTAGACCCTGGAACTATCCAGTCACTCTTACGCTCTACAACGTGATCTCGGTTCTTGCAGCGGGCAACTGCGTGATCATCAAGCCATCTGAACTGGCACCCACCGTCGCTGCCTTGATGGCGGAGCTCGTGCCGAAGTATCTTGATCCAGCGGTTGCCAGGGTCGTTAACGGAGGTGTCAAAGAGACGACCCGACTGCTCGAGCTGAGGTTCGATCATATCTTCTATACCGGTGGGTGTTCGCTCTTCAATGGCGGAGGTTGTTTGCCGTTCTGACCCACTGCCAAAAGGGAACGGGACGGTTGGCAGGATCGTAGCTGCCGCCGCAGCCAGACATTTAACACCCTTAACACTGGAGCTCGGCGGGAAGTCTCCCGTTGTTATCGACACGAATGACTTCGATCCTCTTCTCGTCGCCCGGCGGATTTTGTGGGGGAAACTCATGAACGCGGGCCAGACCTGCGTTGCACCAGATTACATCCTTTGCCCGGAATCGGCCCAACCGGCGCTGCTTGAAGCGATGGGCTTGGTACTCAAGGAGTTCTTCCCGGATACGAATGGTCAGCCGTTCCACCATAAAGACTTCGGACGGCTCGTCAACGAAAGACATTTCAATCGGGTTCAAAAGCTTATTGAGCGCAGCCATGGAGAAGCAGTGTTCGGAAAGAAGCAGAGCGATCCGACGACCTATGCTGTGCATCCACTTGTGATCAAAACTGATGGAGAGGATAGTCTAATGAGCGAGTGAGTCAACATCTGCTAGTGCAATGTATTTGACTCACCAAGCGTCAGGGAGCTCTTTGCCCCTGTGCTGCCGTTGATTTCGATCAAAGATACGGACGATGCCATCAAGTTTATCAATGCGCGTGATCATCCACTTGCACTATATGTCTTCACCCAGTCACAGGAAGTTAAGGACAAGTGTAAGTTCGAGCATTCTCCGTGTAAGAGGCATCCACTCAAGCCAGTAGTCAAAGCTCGGACTCGATCCGGCTCTTTGATATTCAACGACACGTGGGAACAGCTCACGGTCGAGATACCGCTCGGTGGTTTCGGAGAATCGGGATGTAAGTTGACCAGTTAGGGCGGATATCATGTTGCTTAATATCTGCGTCAGATGGCGCATCCGTTGGCAAATTCGGTTTTGACCAGTTCACCCACTTCAGAGCCTCTATGGATGTACCGGCAGAGGATGAAGTGAAGCTCCAGCTGAGGTACCCTCCGTACACGCCAGAGAAAGTTGCAACCGTAAAAGAACTTACGCGTCCAGCGGTTCCAGACATTTACTAGAGTCTTGTTGTCACAATTGTCTTGGGTTTTTCATATGTACTGCATTAGAACACACGTCATGCTATAACAATACGTCGCCGTATACAGCCATTTTCAGAGTATCATTCACAGCAGTTATAAAAAGCTTGAGATGCTGGTGGGGAGCCGTCATCGAGAGAAGCACTGGATCCGAGCAGGTTAACGTTATGAAGAAAGCGCTGACTGCTCAACATATTTCTCCGAAGCGCTATTCTCCTGGCGGAGGCAAACGCGCCCGTGATGAAGTCCCAACGTGGACCGCGACCGTTCCTTACACTGTGAATAAATCTCAAATGGTGAGCATACAATTAAGGACCGTAAACAATTTCTGATTCAACGTTGTGCATGTTAACAGGCCAACCTCACACTATATTCTGTGTCGGCAGCGCTGATACTCGACACGGACGGCAACCGCATTCTAGCGAAGTACTACAAGCCTCCGCATGGTGGGCTGCCGACAGGCACACGATCACTCCACAACCTGAAGGAGCAAAGAGCGTTTGAAAAGGGTCTGTTTGACAAGACGAAGAAGGCAGGAGGTGGGCAAACTGCTGGGTGTGGAATTCGAGCTTCAGTGCTCATGATCAAACAGGCGACGTGATCCTTTACGATACCTACCTTGTCACCTACCGTCACTCCCTCGACCTGATCTTCTACTTCCTCGCCCTGCCTTCTGAAAATGAGCTTATGGTATCAACTGGACTGCAGACGTTCTTTGACGCAACACAGTTGTTATTGAGGCATTCTGTGGAGAAGAGAACGTTGTTGGAGAACTTGGATCTTGTGTTGCTGGGGTTGGACGAGACGGTTGACGATGGGTGAGTTCTGTCGCCACTTTTCTTTTTCCTGTCTCTCGCGTCCAAGAGCGAGGCGTATGGGGTTGTTCCTATTCGTACTCTCGAACTTTTGCGATCTAATGCTTATTGACATTTGTAGGATCATCCTGGAAACTGACCCGGCAACGATCGCAGGACGTGTTTCGCGACCGAAGGCAGACACGACCGACATCGTTCTGAATGAGCAAACCCTGCTTTATGCCTACAACAGGGTTAAGGAAGGTGTCCAGCAGCGTATTTCTGCTGCCCTATAGTATTCTGTACAGTACACCCGTTGTTCCCCGCATCACAGGCAGATAGGGTGCCCAGATAATCCTCATGCATTGCATTCCTCCCTGTCCAGGTCAGCATCTTGGTCAGCTGTGGTCCTTTTTCTAACAAGCGCTCCGCAAAAATGCGATCCGCAAGTAGACGCCGAGTGCTGAGTGGACAATCAGTTGGCGGCGGAGAAGGTGCGGAGCGGGCATGCTGGTTCAGGGTACCGCCTCCGACACGTTGAGCCCGGTCACCGACAACTCCTCTCCTGTTTTCCCCGGCCCGAGGACCTTCGGCTTTCGCCAGCCAGCCTCACTACTTCAACTTTTCTCTCGTCCCTCATATAAGCAGTTTCAGTCGCTTGACCACTCCATCAACGACCCTCTCTTCTCCACCACCACATCCTCAAACACCTCTCAAAGCCATGTCCGTCGCTGGTGACAAACGCAGGAGGGATGCAGAGGAGGCGCTCTGGCTGCAGACGAAGGGTGGTCTTTTGGTGTGCTCTGTTCAGTTCGGAATGTGGAGGACTCTGATTGACGTTTGACGTCTAGGGCGGTCTGCGGTGGACGGGATACGGTCTCTTTGCTGTGACCATCGCTAACTTCACCATTCCGGTGTTCAGGTACGACTAAGATTCTCTCCTTTCATCAATTGGTAGCTGATAGTCCTCGCAGGAGGCAAACTCTCGCCATCAAGGGTTTCTTGGTTACCTGTTGTATGTATATGCAAAGCCAAATCTATACGAAGTGATCTGACGCATGTGCAGCCACCATCTTCGGTCTCGTCGTGGGCGCCGAGACTTACCTGCAAGGGTATGAACAAAAGCAGCGCGCAGAGGAGAACGAGCTCCGCCGTCAGGCACGGTACGAGCTAGCTAAGAGGGGGATGATCGCCACCGAGACCAACATTGCCAAGTGGAGGGAGGAGCAAAAGCAGGCTCTTGTTGACGGCGGCAAGATCCCCGAGGGAATCATCCCCACTGTGGCTGCCGGGAAGACCTCATAATAGGCACCATTACGTCGGTGGCCCATTCTTCATGCATCGGTCACTGTGTACAATATCGCGGATGGTAATATTACATTCAGCATTGTCCATACATATTGTGTTTCTATTGTGGTGCCATTCTGCCTTGTCAATCAAAACACTACTCTTTGCATTACCTCATCACAACGGTCTCGAATATGATCTAACGATAACTGTTCGCCGGGGTGACGGCAGGGAGAGGTCGACCGCCAGGTTGCGGGTATGTTTGTGGCCACTGCTGAGGTGGTTGAGACGGCAGACTAGGAGGTTGCGGAGGAGGACCGGGAAAATATGACTGCGGGGCACCTGGGTGAGGCACGAACTGAGGGGGTGACGCCTGTGGTGGCGAACTGACAGGGAAGGGGCCTCCTTGAGCAGGAGGGTGACTATATCCCGGAGCAGGTGGCGGAGGACCCAGCGGGTGACCACGGCGATAACTCATTGACGGTGGCAGTTGGGTGTGGTTAGGAGAGGGTGGTTGATACGCGGGCTGAGGTGGCGGGCCGGGAGGAGCTCCAGGTGGTGTTGGATGACTGCCAGGGGGAGGAGGAGGAGGTAAGGGTGGCCGAGTAGGAGGCGGTCCCATAGGCGGCGTAGCATAGTTAGACCCAGGCGATGGTCCGTGAGGCGGCGTGCCGTAAGGGGGCCCATGCGGAGGTGTGCCATTCACGTAACCTTGATGCGTCTGGATAGGTGGTGCTGTGCTCGCAGGAGGTGCTCCATACAACGGCCTGGGCGGGGTAGGGAAGCTCGGTGGAGGGGCGGGTGGTTGTGGAGTGAAAGGCATCTGTGGGGGCGGATTATGCGGTGGAAAACTGTGGTTGGGTGGGGGCCCAGGTGGGAAAGTCAGCGGGGGAGGAGGGCCAGATGGGAAACTATGCTGAGGGGGTGGGATGGAAGGCGGATAGTTTGGTTGAGGATGTGAGTTGGCTGGGAACCCTTGTTGAGGTGGGGGACCATGTTGGGGAGGCGGATAGGGAGGATAGTTTGGCACCCCGGTCATCGGTCGGCTTGGTCCTTGATTTGGTGGAACAAGGGGCTGCCACGGCGGATGCGCTTGGTTCGGAGACGCCAGAGGCGGTGAAGGGAACGGTACAGATGGCGCAGGAGGCTGCTGGTAGGCAGGTCCTGGAGGCAGAGAATGTGGGGGCCCGGGTGGGTAGGAAACTGGCGGAGCCTGTAACGGATACTGCTGCTGCTGGGGTTGTGTGGGTGGAGAATGCTGCATCGGCGGTGGAGGTGCGAACTGTTGCTGCATGGGTGGTGGTGCCTGTGCCTGTGGTGGAGTAACATACTGTTGTGCCTGTTGCGGGGGCCCATATTGAGGCACTGGGGCCGGAGCAGGCGGCATTTGTGGGGTCATACCAGCAGAGGGAACAGAAGGCGTACTGTTGTTGTGCGTTGGCATCGGCGGCCTTTGCTGGGGATGATACTGCACACTCATGGGTGCGGCCGCTGGCGGGGGCGGGAGCGAACTCGCGCGATGAGGCGAAGGCTTTGGCGTTACCGGCGACGTCAAATGAGCTTGGGAACCAACGTCCGGCTCTGTCGGTCTGACATGGCCTGAATACGCGGTGTTTGGAGATGTCGGCAAAGGTGCGGACAAAGGTGCGGACAGACTTGGAGGAAAGTGAGGCGAGATTTGAGGGCCCTGGGGGGGCTGGGGATAACCGTTCTGCGAGTTCTGCAACTGCTGGGGATTCAACGGAAGCGGCCTGGCAGAAGTGGCACGGGGAGGTGAAGGGACAGGTTGTGGCAAATGAGGCGGGGAGTGTCTAAACGTTCCCTGCTGCGATTGACTAGCCTGGGGAAGAGGAGTAGGTAGAGGCGGTCGAAGACCACTATTCTGGGGTGGAGGAAGAGACATAGGCAGCGGCTGCGCAGGAGGTGTATGCTGAGCGGACGGAGGCAGCTGCTGGTATGCATATGGCTGAGGAGACGGGTTCGGCCTCGGTGGCGGGGCACCAGGGGTCGGGAAGGGGATCCCTGTAGCAGCTGGAAACTGCAACGAACTTGCTTCACCAATACTGGCTGGCGATATTGAGGATGTTGGAGTTGAACCCCGCGAGATCGTCTGGCCAGGTGGGTAAGATGCCTGAGGTAGTTGAAGACCACCGGTAGGCTGAGGAATATTCCAGAGATCAGGGGCAAAAAGGCCGGTCTGCTGTACAGGAGGAGCAGCCCCCATGCTAAACGACTGGCTATGTGGGCGAGGGAGAGGGCTCCGTCGCAAGTTGCTACCACTCGGTACGGATGTCGCCAGTGAGAGGCTCGATAGAGAGTCTGTCAGACTATTGGTCGAGTCGTAGCTTGATAAAGATGCCATGGAGGTCCGTTGGAGGTGATGAGAGGAGAGACTCTGGGAGCCAGAAATGTCAAACATCGACATGGGCCGCTGTCCCCTAATAGGCATGGTATCCGGTCGTCGCTGATCGAGCATAGAACCACCGAACTCGTCGTACTCTTCCAATGCGGGGTTGCGGCTGGATCCAGGCAGTGGCAGGCCACCGTCTGATTGTCCCATTTGCTCATACGGTGCTTTGTAGAGCTCAATCGAGGCTAAGGAACCAGATTGGCGCAGGTTCCGTATGCTCAGAGCATCCGATGCAATTCTCTGTCGTCCAGACAGGTCGGTACCCGTTCCTGCAGAAATAGACGCTCGACCTCCAGCTCGCAACGAGGTAGGTACGTCGGCAGGATTCACGTTCGCCGTGCTAACGGCCTCAAGAACCGGTTCCGCAGCTTTCTTCTTCTTCGGTTGGGGTTTCTCCTGATGACATCAGTTAGCTTCACTAAAGCATAGGACAATGAACAGCGACACACGTTCAGCCAATAGGTCATCTCCAGATAGACCTCCCCTTGATACCGATCTTTGCTGTAGATGGTGTACCATTCTGTCTCTCGTAAATAACCACGTGATGCCAGAGCGTTCATGACGTACCATCTGACTCTCCTTGGGACAGTACGCCCTCCAATTCCACCGTCCCTTCTCCGATGAATTCCGGCTCTCGTGGATCGTCCGCGTATATCTGAATGCGGAGTGACTTGCCACCTTTAATCTTAGGCACTTTGTCTTTTTCTTCCTCCTTTTCCTTTCCTTTCTTCGGCGTAGCATCTTTTGGCGGAGGGGCAGGCGCATCCTCGTCCTCCTTCGATTTGCTCTTAGCAAGCAGGTCATCGACGTCTTCCAATACCGGAAAGCGGAGCTCCTCATCCCACTCTGGGTGCTGCCCTCCTCGCTTGACAGCTTTGGTACGCTTGATGGTTCCATTCATAGTCACAGTACAGTATGGATCTTGCTTGCCGATATGCCTTTTGTTGGGCAGGTTTCTCTATCCATTGTACTCATGTTAGACGCCGTCAACGCGTCAGGGGCATGCTCACATACCGCTTTGAGCACAACAACAATGAGCGTCCCAAGCTCTCTCTCTGTCGCTGCGGACGCCATGTTGGGTGCTCGTGCTGGTCGCTGATCGAGTACTTGCTTGAACTTCTTTGAATATATCCCGAAAGAGACACGACTGAAGGATGGTCGATACCGACACAGCCAGGTGGTCAGGAGGACGGGTGTCAGCCAAGACAGCGCCAAGGGCGAGATCAGCGCCCAAACCCGAAAGTGAAAGGAGTGATATGATGGACACTGCCACCTTTCAACACCCCTCTCTTGTCACGTTTCAACGCGTCTAACATTTACATATTTCGCAGCAATTTATTTATTTTTGCGCAGCGTAAGAAAATCTGGGTATTAGGTAAAGTATTAGGTATCGTATTGTACAGAATCAGAGCAGAAATCGTGAAAAGCTACCTCTTGTCTCCACGTGCCGACTTCAGCGCCCGCAGCACAACCTCATAGGACCACATCGTGATCGCGCTGTTCGGCGCAGCCTTGATCAAACTCACACCGAGCCCTCTATACAGCCCTCGTATTCCCTCCCGCTGCACAATCGTTCGCATCCCCTCATACACAGCGATGTCTTTCTGCAAGTACTTCTCCCGCGTTGGGCCCTGCACCTGTAGGCGCTTCCGGATCAGGTCGAGCGGGAAGACGCCTGTCTTCGCAACGGTGCTCGCGAAACCGCCTGCCACGGCTGACTCGTATCCGGAAAACGAGAGAGCACCGGCCTCGTTGTGTCGTGTCAGGAAAGCACGTGTTGGCTCATATGTCGCGAAGAACAAGCCCATGTATGGGATAACTTGCCCCACGCCGGCTGTTACACCCCTGAAGAAGCCGGGTACGCCTTCCTTCGCGTAGATAGTTCGTACGGCATTGGCAAGGGAGGTATAAATGCGCAAGTCTCCACTGCCTTGAGCAGCAAACCGCGTTCGTAGAAGATCAAACGGATATGTCACGAATGCCGCGACCGCTCCTGCCGCGCCGCCAGCCACGAAGTCTTGTGCCGAACGATTTATTCCAAGGCCAGTTAGCGAGAGATGTATCGTTCGGTAAGTGTAAAATTGCGCGGCACCGTAGGTCAGGTAAAGTAGTTCGGCAGGGATGTTGCCTTTCCAGAGGCCGGTGATGCCTTCTTCACGGAGTATGGTTGCCGTTGTCTGGACGAGGCCTCGATATACAGGTAATGTGGTATCCGAGCGTGCGTGTGACTGTAGTTGTAGTCGAATTTTGACGACATCCAGAGGTGCTATTACGAATCTAGTCAGAGAGTCAGAATACGAATACCGCTAATCCATCAGCGTGACACACCGTGTTGTCACTCCCGATACTGATCCAGCAACTACCAAATCCCAATTTGAGCTCTATATACAATACATCATTTAGATTCATCACACGGGCATTAAACGTATAAACTCACAGTGTCGGCATTTTCTTTTCCAGCTGCTCGAGGCATTACCCGTGCCGCAATCCAGACGATCCTCGCACAGAAGCGCAACGTCATAAGGGGCCTAGTTCGGAGCCGAGGTGCGAAAGCCCGACGCGAACGCAAGGGATACATAGACGCAGCTCTTTCTGCAACGATCAGTTTTCACCAGGAAACAGAAAGCGTCGCTTCCTATCTGATTCACCAGTAGCATCGATGTCACTTGCGTGTACGACATGATGTACTCTCTCATGTGGAAGGCGCATTCTGCGGGGGACTGGTGACTATATGCTGAAGCAAGCAACGTCCTCATTGAGGGAGTTGGCCTCGATTTGGGTCTTCGGGCATATTGGACTGTATGATCAATCAAGGCAGCATTCCCGTGCTCGAGGACTCGCCTTGTTTTTGACTAGTTCGATAATAGCGCTATCCCAGGTTGGCCCACGACCGTCTTTACTCGTCAGTCGCATGTACGGCGACTTGTGCGATTGGTCCACTGGTGTGCGCCTGCTCGCGCGAGAGACAACATCAGAGGACCACTGGCACGCTGCAACAGCACCTCTCAGCGACCTCTTGTCATCAATACGGAATATGTATGAGACACACTCTACCCTTTGGCAGTTTTTCGCCAGCTCCAGTTTGCGCACAACCATACTTTATGGATGTGTCACCACCCGCCTTGGCCGCCCTTGGAACGATCCGTTTTCGGAGCTATCAGCCGAGCATCAGGTGTCTGGCTTGTGGAACTCCGTTCCTTGTATCTCTTTTGTTCTCTTATCGATGCAGTGGAGCGCTTATCAGACACATTATTGACAGACGGGGCATTTCCATTTAGGGCACCATTATCGCTCCACATCAGCACATTCCGATAGACCATGGATAGCCAACTGGGATCAGGGCCAACTGAATTTTTGACAAAGAAACTACTCGTTATCCTGATGTCGACTATTACGACATACCTATAATTCCCGAAACGGATGAGGTCCTTGTCGACCCTGAACTGTTCCCTGGAGCGTTTCACGTAAGAAGATGGCTTCCACGAGGACCTATGCCCCCCTGTTGGTGCCTCAATTTCTGTCACCGCAAACTCCTGGTGTCTGGGTATCGTTGTTCCCCTCCTTTCTTTGTTGATTGGAGTCTGACACTGCGCCACAGGAACACAGTCGGGATGTTGCTCTTAGCATTCCTGAAATAGCAATCTACCCTCGGACCCCGCGGATCACCCTTGTCCTCGATGCGTTCTTGGATAGTAGGAGCGGCACGGTACATCAGCCAGAAAACGAAGGAACAGGGAAGGAACCTCATTCTACTGGACAAGCTGCCCTTCACGTGGACACCAGTCGCCACAAGACCGTGTCACGGAAGAAATGAGCACAATCTGCTTACGTGTCCAATATATGCGCTTTCAGAATATGGCAGCACTTGATCACTTGCCATTCCAGGAAGACGTGGAAGAGCTGTTGCCTCCCCACCTTCTCGTGGTACACGAGTATCAGAGAAAGTGGTAAAATGTCTCGGAAGATTGGCCAAAAGGGTCCGACCCTCCTGCTTCGAACTTCTCATGCATATTAAGTGATGCCGGTGTCCTACCTAAGTTTTGCCTTGGCCGCGGACTGCCAGGTTTGGAAGAGAGCCGCCGGAGCGGTACCGGTGTTCCTCTACGAAGAAGAAGTCCTTCTTTTGTTACGTAGCCTGGAAGAGGTTAAAGTCTGTAACTCCTCCGAAGAACAGGTAAGCTGACGCTGCTTCTCAGGATGTGACACAACAACGCACTCCAGATTCGCCGAGAACGCTCTTGTTGTCGAGCTAGAATTAATGGGCGGCTTGACCGATGGTGCTCCGCCGATCTCCACAGCTCATGAACGCATGTCTCGGATTGCAAAAGGGTGCTGGTCACATATGGTTTGCTTCGATTCACCTACTTTCGATCGGTTCCCGATTTACACCAGTCATCGGTCATCTTCGAAGATATCATATAAAAGAACCGCGAACGTTTGCGCAGTCCCGTTCACGTGTTCGGCATCCTGAATACGGCACGAAGGATTGTTCCCCAGGCTCGGCGCAAGGCCATACCGAAACTTAAGACCCTCGAAATTTGTTCCTGTCCGAACCCTCGACACTATGACCCTTGATACTCCCAATTTTCCATTATAGCCTGATCATGGCCAGCCTTCGGAGTGATTGAACACGGACACTGATGTATAGGAACAAGGATCCTACATGAGCGGGCCAAGCCCTTTATTCAAATCGTCCCCTCGTTCCAAATCCACGGGTTAACAGCTCTAACCCCGGTCCAGCACCGCCAGCACACTCGGCGAGAATCCCGATGTCCTAAAACACATTTCCAGCAAATGAGCTACGTATCCGAAGTCGCCACATGCAGGGGCATAGACAGCGTACGTACTGTGCCGTACAGGAGCACGGCGCATTGTGCCGAACTGCCGATTCCTCCCATCGGCGGTGTTTGTCGCCAGGACGGAGGCTCCTTCTAATGCACACAAAGCCGGCTTCCGCTGTGGATCCGCCGCCGGCTCTCTCCATTCTCCCGGATATCGATGCTGTGAAAGCTTTCCCCGCGGATTCGGTCTGCGCTCAGCTTTCGTTAGTATCATGTTTTGGGCATGGATTAATGACCCAGGCCGAGATTCTGGTGGGACGGCATAGCGGAAACTTTGCACAGGCGTGCCACGCACGGTCAGACGGCACCTGCTCCATGTCCGCCTCACCGCGTATGTGGCGCCATATGGCCCTCCACCCCTTACATGCGGTCGGGGGGTCGGTTGGTAAAGAAGCCTGTCATATCGGAAGACAACATGTTGAATTTTATGAGTCTCATGTACAAATACACTACACACAATGGGTTGAGTCCTTTTCTTTGGGGTTGTGACAACAGCGGATAACAACATGCGACATGCAACAAGCAACAGGAGAACATGAAAGGATAAAGAATGCAAAGAATGAGTATACCAGAAGGAAAACACTCGGGTAACGTCAATGACAGGGGGTGTGAAATGAACCGCGTGCTGAGGGAATCTGGGCGTTTCATGAAAGGAAGGAAGTTGGAGGGAGACACGATGTATTTGGTTTTCTGATTTCTGAATGTTCGTTCAGTCTTCGGCTTTTTTTTTTTTCGGTTTCGGCTGTCGACAAGAACCCCAAGAAAAAGAAGAAATAGGGGGAACATAACGTTCGTTCCTTCGTTTCGTTGAAGGAGAAGGGCCGGGTAAGCAGATGTGGGCGGAAAGGGAAAGTCGCGCGGAGGAGCGGAACGGCTGCTTTCCTGAAGATTTCAGGGCCCGCCGATGAACGCGCTCCGCACAGTGTGTTCGACTTCCGTACCAGCCGGGCTGGGAATGCGGATGCGAGCGGGGAGCGGGGCAAGGTACAGGGGCAGGGCGGGCAGAGCCTGACGGATATCCGGTATCATATGTCATGGGGTATGCCGAGTTTTGGTTTGGTCGGGTCAAGTCAGGTCAGGTCAGGTCCTGGTCGGGCTTGCTGGGTCTGGTCAACGGACCGCTGGCACCGGTCGAGTTTCAGTTCTGCCGGACTCGAATTTTGGTTTTGGGTTTGGTGTAGGGTTTGGGTGAGGGTGAGGGTAACGGATCCGTGTGCAAGTCGAAGACAGTGGTGTGGGCCAAGGAAGATGTAGCCCGGACATACGTGAAATGAAAATGAAGCCAATCCAAATGAAGAAGTTGAAAGTGAAAGTAAAATGAAGAAGAAAGTCGATCAGTAGTGCTACAGGAGGTGTGTGCCATATCCATTCGGGCCAGGTCATGGTATCGTGTTCCGCGGTATCTTGTTTATGCATGCATGGTTGGGCGTCAGGCAAGTTCGAGCAACACCCGCCTCGCGCGCTCGAACCGTTCCTCACTGACGAAAACGTTCGCCGTGCGGAGGGTGCTCGTATACAGGTGGTTAATCTTCGCGCAAAGCAGGGCGTCAGAGATGCGCGTAGCGAGGCCAACTTTGTCTGTTCCTGGGTTAGCATATATGAGGGAGGGGGGATAAGGAGGAGAACGCACCAAGTCCGAAAGCTGAGAAGTCGATCTGCAGGCACCTCAGCGGTCCGTGCAGAGCCTCAAAACCTTGTTCCGCCAACTCCTCTCCCTCCAGATCATGTTCCCTCTCCTGGCCATGGTCCGAGCCCATTCCCAGCTCTAAGCCTAAACTGTCCTCTCCCTCCTCGCTCTCCTCGAACCTCTCCAGCTCTCCGGCACTCATGACCATCTCCCTTTCTCCCTGCTCGAACAAGCGTGCGAGCACCCTTGTGCTAGCGGTTAGAGAGGTAGCTCCTCGCGTGCGAATGAAGGAGAAGAATGGAAGGGCTAGGATAGCAGGGTGTGTAGGCTGTGGCGCAGAGGCTGACCGGGCTCGTGTGCGAGCATTGGAGGGCGAAGGACGAGGAATCGGTTCGGGGGAAGTGCGAGGCGGGGTCATTGGCAGGCGGAGCGGAGGGTGCGGTATCGAGCTCATAGAGGGTGTGGGAGAGTGACAAGGCGCAGAGAGGGAAGACGAGTCCCTTGACGAGTGCGAAGAAGCGGAGCCGTCAGAGTCGTACTCGTTCTCAAGCTCTAGTTCGAGCTCGAGTGAGTGGTCGCTCGCTGAGCTGCCGCCCGAACCACTCGAACTGCTCTCTTCGCTCAGTTCCTCCTCGGCCATCATATCATCCAGATCACGCTCGTCATCACGTCCCTCAAGATTGGCAGAAGACCGCTGCCGCCGATGGCGCCGGCCCTTGCGTCCCGAATCGAGGAGGATCTCGTGTGGGTCTGCAACCAGTCGGAGGACCTTGATGAGCCACTGCGGGTAATGCTCCTCTGCCAAACCGACGCAGGCAATACTTCCCCTGATTGGGTTGACGTAGTATTCTGGTCCTTTGATGGTGGCAACCGAAGGGCAGGAAGATGCTGCTGGGCTTGAGAGGCTGGAAAGGTCTGGTCCTTCCACAGGAGACGCTGGAATCAGGTCGAACGCCGCATTCAACGAGAGTGGGGGAACGAGGACATCCTCCCCCTGCTCTGATGTCCAACCACCCTGCCCACCAACAGAAGTCAAGTATGGGGAGGCCCCATGCTCATCGTATATGCCGAACCCCTCCCGTCGGAGTCGACCAACGACGTCGGGTAGGAGGGCAGACTTGACCAGGACGAAGTCTGCACTGTGGGAGGAGACGAAGAGGATGGGTATGCCTGCAGAGGAGAGACAGGAAGAGATCTGATGCATACGTGTACCGCCATCTGCGTGTTCGTCAGTGACTTCTCATGTTAGGCATAGATCGAGCGTACCCTCGTCATCATGCGTATCCACTTGGAGGACGCTCCACCGCTTGGAAGAGTACTCGATCGGCTTCCACCCCGGTTTGGGGAGATGCTGTGGGTCCCTTGCTAGCCTATGCTCCTTCTTCGCCATCCTAATTAGCCTTGTGCGGCGAATAACTTCCGGGTCAGCATATATGCTGAGCTCGAGCTCGTTCGCCACAATAGCGAGGAACTCTGTGCGTGCGAGGGAAGTAAGGAGGTTCTTCATGATGCGTACGCAGACCTCGCCCTGTACTGCCCGCTGACGAGGGATGTTGACGAGCGATAGCGTGGTGGGGAGGATGGTCAGCGTTGTCTGGTTCTCGGAGACGTTGAGGGTGGATATGCTCGGTGAGCGGGAGTGGGGGTAGGGGTAGGAGAAGGGGGAACGGAGGGAGTCCGGCCTTGAGTGGGAGGGGCCTGATGGACTTGGAGGAGGAGAGAGGTAGGGGTAGGCGAATGCGTACTGACGTTCTGAGGACATGACTGTGCTTGTGTGTTGGTGAGAGGGTATCGGATGGGGTATCGAGCTTTATACAAGATGGATGTATGCAAGAAGACAGCGTCGGGCAGTGTGCTCGCAGTAAGCTGGTCGGTGACTGAGAAGGGAGGGGGAGGGGGTGCACACTGACGGCGAGATGGTGGTAAGGAGGAAGGGAGGAGGAGGGGAGGGAGGGATGGCTGATTGAAATAGAGACAGAGACAGACCAAGGAAGGCCAAGGGGGTGGTTGGGTGTATGCGCCGTGCCCGTATGTGTGACTGTCCCGGTATAGAAATGTCTCCCGGCAGAGGCTCTCCCTGTGAAAGGAAGGGAGAAGCGGCAGCAAGGAGAGGTCTCTCCATCAATGACTGCCCACAGACAAACCACACACAACACACCATCGCAAGAGGTGCACAAGTCTCACCTACAAATACTTTCGGGGTCCCATCAAGCCCAAAACTGGTCGACCCCTACTCATCCCCTCCCTTCCTACTTAGGACTGCCGACACCCTAATCCCACCCACCCGACGCTCTTCCAAATACGGCCAGACCGCCGATCGGATCCGACCTCGCCCCTTCTTTTCCCTCCTTTCCCTCCCTTCCACCCTTCTTCTCACCACTCCCTTCCAATGCAACCAACCATGCCATCTCTCCTACTCACCCATGCTGATATTCACGAATCGCAACATACTCCGCCTTCCTCTGCAAGTATGTAATATACACGTACATCAAATACACACGCTCTCTCGCGTATCACATCCCATACCCACCTCATGCACCTACCCCTCCATACATGTACCATCCCATAAACTAATATCAATCCAAACAGACCGTGCTCGATTATCCCAAAAGAACAGAATGCTTCACACCCTCATCATCCTTCACTTCACCGGTATCCGGCTCCCAGCCCGAACGGAAGCACCCGTCCAGCTTCCCTATCATATTAATTCCCTCCCGGTCCAACTTCTCCATACAGACCGCACGCCTAAATGCTAAGCATACGTAAACTCCCGGCGCAACCTGCCAAACTCCGATCCATCTTCTCCGCAGGAACCCGCTTTTCACACGCCTCTATCAGTTTTGCTGTGCTGTGCTTTTTTCCATTGACGATCAGAGTGGACAATGGGTCCATACAGTTCATGCTGCGCACTGGGCCTTCCATTCCTTACCTCTGCGGGCGCAGGGTCCTCGGTCGGGATGTATGAATGTATACAGTTGACAGGGAAGGGCTGAATAAATTACGTGGCTACATCCCTGGCCCCGGGCCGACGCTCTTCACCTTACAGTCCAACCAAGCCCAAACCTCCCACGCACAAAGCATCAGCAAAGCCCAAGCCCAAGTCAGACGTGGAAACGGACGTGGGTCGACTTGGGACTCCTGAGTCTCGCCAGACCCACAGGAGCAAACCAGGAGCAGGAGACGTGGAAGTCGGAGTCTGCTGACTTCCAACGGCGGGCACTTTCTACTCGCTTTCCTTTCTCTCTCTGTACCCTCAACTGTGGGCTAGGGGCTAGCGCCGGTGCCGGGGGGAGACGCACCCCGCGTGCCGGTGACACGAGCGTGCGATTACTGATGATGACGCTCCTGATAATGCTCATGACGCCACCTCTCTGCATGACGCTACATCGCGTCAGTGTCAGCGCTGGCACACGTGTACCGCGCGTTCCTCGCCCGCGAGCTCGTTGAATCGCACGATAAACGCTTGCCCCACATGCGAACAAAAGAACATGCATAGCGAACACCAACACGGTGAATCGAACACATTAATCATGTTCTGACAATATACCGAGTAGGGAAAGTCGGTGCCTGACCCGGGGTTGCCAGCAACCAGCGGCCGGCTCGGTCACCCATCATCACGCAAGATCTAGAACTCCTAAGGCTAGGTGTTGATCAGAAGTTGGTGAGATGCTGGCAGCTGTAGGATCGCCCGCTCCGGGATCGTGGGTATTCTAGCTGGCCCAGGCCAGCTCCCAGCCCGCGGTAACCAGTAATACCCGTATTCATGCCGCGAACGTGCCGACACACCACCCGATTCTGTAGCATCGTACACAAAATACCGCTCGCGTTTTACTTGCTTTGCCAGCTTCAGGGCGGTTCTTGCGGCCTCTTGGAGCTGCAGCGGATAGCTTATTCAAGTAATTCAAGCATCTGTTCTTGGATCCCCTGATCACTGCCAAGGCGGTGTTAACACGTCGTATTCGCCTCCCTTGGGAAGGACCAGACCAGGGCACAGCATGGGAAGTTGAAGGGTTCGTCGTCCTCATCTATATATTACCCCTTTCAGTGTGGGGTGATGGCTAGGCGCTCGTCGATATTGGATCACTCAGCGCCCGTGCTGACTAAGCGTGAAGGAGAGGATGTCCGAGTAGTCGGCCGTTGTCTATAGCACAACTTGAGCACCGGCCCGTATGTATGCCCGGTATGCTATTAGGAGACGGGCAGCACCCGGCCAGCGCCCTAGGAGGCAGTCGTACGATGAGGAAACGAGGTCCAGGAGTACCTGAGTTGTTACTAGGCTGCGGCGTTTGAATGTGCATGATGAGGGGTATGTAATATAACGTGGTACCTTTCAGGTTGGCTTGCCGAATTTGGTACGGATGGGGTTGGCCAGCTGCATCCTCTTTCTTTCATGGAGCGAGCGAGGGTGGACGTTCTAGCTCAGTGCGCCTTTCACTCCTCTTTCTTCTCGAGCCTCTTTTCCGACCGCAGTGTGCTCGAGGACAGCACGTCACTTGTCGCCAACCTTGTGTTCTAATTTGGGATGTGACTGGTCTCGCATTTCCTATTCACGATTCAATTGCAATAATTGCGCGATGGTTACTGATGAGAAAAAGGCGTCTCTGGCCGACCTCATCGTTCCGCGCAGTCGGTCGGGTCCATCAACAGTTCGTTCCAGGATCGAAAACAGGGCATTTCGCACTCCGCTCGGACACTCTTTCCGAGCTTCAAATTCGGACTGTGGGAATCCGCTCAGTCAGCATTTTCGCTGGGGATCTTGATCCTCATCGTTGATTCCTGCTGATCCTTGGCTGTAATGTCATGCTTCTCACAATGCTTTATCCGATGGGAGATCTGAAAGATCTGCCGCGAGGAGCACTGGATCGCCGCTTCGCTCCTTCTTGGATTCTGTGGCAACCGTTCGCAGGCGGCGGATCAGCCGCTGTCCACCGCCGGTCCTCGTTTATTGTTCGACCTGTCCGCGAGCTCGAGATTTGCAAAGTGTGAAGAGCGAGCTCAGTGATGTGTGTCATGTGACATGATGATTGTCGCCGCTTGTGCCGAGTATCCTTGGGAACCCTCAAGCAGTGTCTGGGCCACAAGGTCACGCCATACATATGTGCCAGGGCATGACCATGCCGAGTCCAATGGTGACGAAGATGGGGTGCCACAACCACACCGGGCGGTCATTGGGCACGCTGTAATTTGCGGGGTAGATGCCCAGAACTATGGAGAGCCTAAGAGGACAGCTCCCCTCAACAAAGCTCTAAGAGGACAGCACCCTGTGGTAGACCCATAGACCCAAGCAGTGGTCTCCGTATCAAATATATATATTTGAATCAAGTAAGCAAAATATGGAGCGGAGAATGAAAATACTACCTACCGTTGAGGAGACCGGCTATTGCTTTGACATGACATCTGATCTTAGGTAAGCTAACAATGGATTTGAAAGACATTGTCAGTGAGATGTCTTTGTGTCTCTCAATAACCTCATGTGTGCTGAAGACAAGCAATGATATTGCTACACATAAGGACAGAGTATCTACCATGACCTCACCATGACCTCATGCCAATACTCAATCCTTCTTCAAACTGTTGATGGTGTTGATCAACACTGTATAAGGGTGTCAGGGCACTGCCTGTTACCACCCCTGGCCACCCATTTCACCCTAGGAGCAATGAAACAACAAGCTCCTGGAACTTCCTGTGCTGGTAACTGCCTTAGGACAATGGCAGTGGCCATACAAGACATTGTGCAGAGGACACCACAAGACTGCTGTGTCCAGACACTTGGGGTGAGACATAGCAGTGCCAAAGGCCCCTACTGGGAGTAGTGGGATGCAAGATGACACTTGTAGGAGTCTCCACAATTTATTGGAAAGGTTTGGGAGGCCTAGGGGTGTTGCTAGGACATCTATCTGACACTTGTAGGAGTCCCCAGAATTTACCTGGACTTTTGGGCTTCTGGTGAACACCTACAAGGTATATAAACAGTAGTACAGTGATGCTGTATCCCTCAGATTTGATCTCTGAGGAAACTCCTTAGTCTACAAGCAGTTTATAAGTCATCTCATCATCTTGAACCCCCTTCTACACACACCTGAACACCCTGCTCTCAGAAACCTGCCTTGACTCCACAACTCTTGCCACACTTTTCAGCTATCTATAACCAACTTATAACACCCCCTTGGACCCCCCAGTGTCCCCCTTGGACCCCCC